CTCTGACCAAGCTTTTCCAGGATTAGAAAAATTGGAGTATCTTGATTTATCCAACAATTTGATATCGTCACTTGACAAGTAAGGATGCAAAAAAATATTACTTTTTAAAATAATTATTTGGCTATAAGGAATCGAAAAATTGACATTATTAATACTTTGAAAAATATATGTTTAATACTTTAAATAATATATTTTTAATATTTAAAAAAAATTTTTTTTAATATCAAACTTTAACTTTGATACGCCAAAAATTTATTTTTCTTAAATTTTTCATTAAAATTTAATTCAAAATCAACTGAGAGCTGTTTCATACATTTTTTCTGAAAGAGCTTGAAAAATTGAACAAAAATAAAAAAAAAAAAGTTATGATATTATGGTTTGAAAATTTTTTATAAATTTTTCAATTTTGACTTTTAATCAATAATTTCATGATAATTCATATAATTTTCAATAATCTTGTATTTTTTTCATCTCGTGTATTAAAGATAGATTTTAATTAAGAAAAAAAAAATTATCTCAACATTAATTTTTAATTTTTATGGCCAAAAATGTGTGTAGCCTTACTTCGACATAATTAGTTATTTATAAAACTTTTTTAAAAATTAATTTTTTTTTTTATAGAAATCTTCTCTCAGGACTATCATCATTGCGTTATTTGGATATGAGTCGCAACAACATGAAAACTATTCATCCTCAAGCATTTCTCAGTCTATCAAGTCTCAAAACTATAGACTTTTCTTACAACGCTCTTACGTTGAAGGTAAATAATATGTTTGACTTCGAGTATGGTCCAGTGTCACCATTCCACCACTCTCAACAAACTTTGGAAGAGATAAACCTTGCTTACAACAATATTGACGAAATTTTTGGAGATTGGATCTTTGCAACTAGATTAAAAATTCTGAATTTGAGTCACAATCATTTTAGTGTTATTGAGGTAAAGTAAAATTCATAAATTCACCATTATTATATTTTTAAAATCAAAAAACTGTTATTAATTTTTTTCATTAATAATTTTAGGACACAGAACTGCAGTTTCTGTCAAATGAAATTAATGTGGATTTATCTTTTAACGGCATAAGAAAAATAAACTACGGACAAGTGGAACTTTTAGATGAATATTCTGTTGGTGACAATGTTGTGAACATTGAGAATAATCCGATTCGATGCGGCTGCGAGATGTCTAAAATGGCTCTATTTTTAGAATTGAAGTATCCTAAAGTTGATAAGAGATTTATCAGTTCAACAATTGATAAATTCAAATGCGGCAAACAGAATCAGATGGCTAATTCTGTATGTAAATTAGATCACCCTTTGGAAACTATGATTGAAGCGTGTCCTTCTCGTTGTAATTGTATTATTAACCCAGAGAAGAAATCCATATTGGTGGATTGCTCCTATCGTGGCCTCGATGAAGCACCAGCCACAATTCCTTGGTTCGCGGGAGCGAATGTCGAAGTGAATTTAACTGGGAACCACTTAACAAAAATTCCGTCGAGAAATAAAAAAGGATACGAGCATGTAACTGTTCTCGCATTGTCGCATAACAAAATTTCTAAAATTCCAATAGATATGCCATTGGAAAATTTAGAAAAATTATACCTGGACAATAATGAATTAGTAAGAATTGATTATGAAGTACTGGACATACTGCGTACGTCAACAAAAATAAAAAATCTCAGTTTACATGGGAACAAATTAAAATGTAATTGTCACGCGCGTAATTTAACCGTCTTAATTCAGATGATGGAGCAGAAAATTCCTGAATTAAGAAATGTTACTTGTTATGGCTACGACTTACCTATTTATACAATCAATTTAAATAGGCTTTGTTCTTCAACACGTTATTGGATTCTTGTCGTATGTATTGTCATCGGTATTTTGGGATTTATCGGTGGAATAATTTTAACGCTATATTTGATTAAAAGAAATAGACATAATAACAGAAGAAAAACCGTTTATGATACTAAGCATGGTATAAAATCAATTTTTGTTGTGTAAAAACAAAATTATTATTTATTAAGATTAAGATTAAATGAAAAATGTATATATTTTTAATTTTTAATTATTTTTTATTTGTATTTATACATCAGATGAATTTACTGTAGTTATAAAAAAATATTTTATAGAAATATTTGATAACACTATAATAAATTAAAGTTCAAAATAGTGTAACTGTATTCTTTATGTTTTAACAATTATAACTTTTTTTTAAAAAAAAAAGCGCCATTCGGCCATACCCGACATGGATAGGTAGATTTCTCGTTTGAATATTAAAAAAAAAACACGTTATTAAAAGGCAATAATGTCCTAAAATGTATTTTTTATCATAATCTCATATCGTTATTTGCAAAATTATGATAAAAAATACATTTTAGGACATTATTGCCTTTTAATAACGTGTTTTTTTTTTTAATATTCAAACGAGAAATCTACCTATCCATGTCGGGTATGGCCGAATGGCGCTTTTTTTTTAAAAGAAAGGACGAAACACGTTTATTGAAAAATTTTTGAAAATTTTTAAAATCACGAAATTAATTAAAAAAATCATTAAAACTAGACAGATGATAGTTTATATTGAAGGTAATTAAATGAAGTTTAAGATAAATCTGATAGATTTTATCTATCTTTTGAATCTGGAAAATTATTTTCATAAAATCTACGAAACTCAAAATTTTTTGAAAATGAAAAAAATTTTTAAACACCCACAACTCGTAAACTAACCGGCTGATTTTGCTCATCTTCGAACTTGATCTTGGTATTAATCCACAGAATAAGCTCACAAAATTTCATGACGATCGGTTGAGAACTGTGGGTGCAATCCTGCTGACATGGCGCGTTATATTACATATATACATATATATATATATATATATGTGATATATGCAAAATGTCCCGACTTTATCAGCCTGGCGAACTACCACCCGAAATTTCCGTTACTGACACTAGCTAAATTAATGGGTAGCTCCCGTAACGTCACAAGACGACACGAGGAGGGGAAAATCAGCTAAAAGCATGAGAACATGAGCATTGATCGACACTTCGATCTATCCCCCGGTGTGAACCACCACGCTAGGTATTTCTTAGTCATTTTTATCACTATAATACTACTATACTACTATTACTACTATTAGGTGATTACTCACCAGAACCTTAAATAATCTAAAAGTTTATTGTCTAAATAATAATCTAAACTAATATTCCTAATTATTTTTTATCTATATTATTAATTTTATATTAGGTGATTATTCACCACGTTTATTATCATTACTGTTTAATCAATCATAGTTTTAAGTATAAGTATTCAGTTTATCAAGTATTTCATTAATTACGTTACCGAGACATTATAAGTCTTGTTTAAAGTGTTATTTTGTGAAATAAAGTTAAATTTATCGTTATCATCGTTATACATCATTACTGAATTACCGCCATTCACTTATCCATTTGCTACGATCGTTTTATTCAACCGAAAGGGTCAATCAAGGACGCAGAGCATTGTAAGTAAATAAAGCAATTATAATTGGCACACGTGAGAACTTTTGCCAAACAATAAAATTATTAATAAGAATTAATACATATAAATCAGGGAGCGGAAAATCCCCGAACAGCGTATCCCAATTAAACGAAGCTTAAGTGATCATTTACCTATCCGCAAGGACTTGATGACTTAAGTAATTGGATTTTTTAAGTAAACAAAAAGTTCAGTGTTTCAATATATGTATATATATACATACATAAATACATATATAAACTTTTGAGCCAATGCCATTTTTCGACATTACTTGATGAAATTGAACATATTATGACAAAATTTTATAAAAATTACGATATGAGACCGGCTACAATAGATAGATTTCTAAAGAAATCTACCTAAAAAACTAATAATCTATTAATGGATTAATAAGAAAGTAACGACATAGATACTTTATTAGACCCACTACTTACTTGTCAATTAATATCACACTTCAATTTCAGTTTTCAATTTCACCTCGAACCTCTACTCTCAAAGCATCTTGTGCAACGCCTATTATTTATTATCAGATCTAAATTTTAATTGCCACAATATTAACTTTGAAAAAATTTTTAAATCTACTGAAATATATTTTGATTATTTTCAAAATGTACTTGAAGTGAAAAAATTTTTAGTTGGCTTGAATGATTGAATAAATTGTGAGTAAAAATTGACAACAACAATAAAAAGTTGTTTTATAAATTTAAACTTCGAATTCAATAGCATACAAGATCAGAATTATTTTATAAATCAATAAACATTTAATTGTGGGGGCTTACCGGTCATAAAAGTTTGGCATTTTATAAACTTTATATAATACACATATATATATCGTAATGATGTTCTTATCATTCTCTAATGCCTTTGTTCAACTTCAAACTAACTTTGAAGAACTTATTATCAACAAGCTGCTCTTTATCATGTTCTTCAGTTTTAAAAAAGAAAAAAATAAGTGGAGTTTAATCATCGCAGGTATTGTATTGATACATACAGGCTCGATCAAAAAGCAAATTTTTTCCTTCCATACCACAACTTGTAATATAATTTTTAATATTGCAATATACAATGTGAGTTATTTTGAATAATATCAATTTTAAAATAGGTTTTTAAATCTCACCAAATAATTTTTATTGAATAACCATAGTTGTGATGAGATTTATCAAATCAGTGAATATCTTGCAGCTTACTTCTTTTATATCTATGAGATTATATTTTTATAATAACTCTGATATCTGTTGACGCGTATTACATATTTATCGTTTAATGTTTATAATGATAGTAGTGTTGTAAAACAAGAACAAGTCGGTGTACTCGGAATTAGAAAATTACAAACCCAATGCAAAATCTGATCAATAAACAAAGTTAAATATGTACTTTTATTCAATCATCCAGTCGGAAAAAAAACTTTTTACTGGATTAAATGAATTTATTCATAAATTTTAATATAAAATCTTTTGAAAAATTTTCACTAATTTTCAGAATAAAAAAAATGACTTGGCTTCAATGGTGTCTGGCGCTCAGTCTCATCTCATCAAACTGGGCCAACGAATGTCCCAAAGGTAAATTCTGTAAATTATGTGAAATTTCAGGACCAGGGGAGTACATAATAAGTTGTATAAATAAATATCCAATTTTCATGATTGAGTACAAACCGGAAACTTTCTTGGATGTTTATTGTTTGGGTAACAACTTTACTAACTTTGACCTAGGTTCAGTTAAACAAGTAAAGCCGGTTCAATCTCTTTACTTTGAAAATTGTGTTTTCTCTGACCAAGTCAATCTTGAAAAGATTGTAAAAAATATATTCAACGATACTGTGGAAGAATTGAGCTTCGCGAAATGTAAGAATTTAGACACAGTATTGACTCAAGAAAGCTTAAAACATTTCAAGAAGCTCAGAATTCTTGATCTGCAAAGAAACAATCTATCAAGTTTAACTAGTGAACCTTTTAAGGAACTTTCAAATCTTACAAAATTGAATTTTGCTATGAATAATTTGACGGAATTACCACCGAAATTTTTGAACATTCCGAGTCTTAGAAAAATTGAACTTGGTTGGAATAAATTGGAAGTAATTAAACGATCAAACTTTAAAAATCTCGGACGACTCGTTTTTTTAAATTTATGGAAGAACAATATTGCCGAAATTGAAGCAAATGCTTTCGACAATACTCTTGACCTCAAATCAATTTACTTATATGCCAATAAATTGAGAAGTATACCACAGGGTATTTTTTCACAATTATCGAAACTCGAAACGATTAATTTGGGGTTAAATAATTTCACTAATGAGTCATTCCCAGAAGATTTGTTCCGTTACAACAACATGCTGGAAACATTAATAATGGATAGTAATTATCGTAATATTACAACTCTTCCAAGTGGATTCTTGAGTAATTTAACTAGCTTAAGAGAAATATATATGGAAAATAATGGATTCCATCAAATGCCAGAAAATTTTCTTTGGGGAACAACGAACCTTACAACTTTAGAATTGCAAAATAATTATATTTCAACAATACCACGATACTTCTTCAGAGATTTAAAAAATTTGAAGTTTTTAGACATGAGCGGAAATACAATTGATCATCTACCTAATGACGTTTTTGAATCGTTAAGGCAACTTACGAATTTGAATTTAGCAAAAAATCGAATTAAATATCTAAGCTCGTAAGTAATATTTTGATCATTGAAATTCACATGTCATATCAATAAATATTTTGTCTCTTCTTTAAAACATATCATTTTTGTCTTTTTTTTTTTTAGAAATCACCTAACTGGATTGTCATCACTTGAAACCTTAAATATGGAAAGAAATAATATGGTTCAAATTGATGGGAATGCATTCAAGGACTTGGAAAAATTGAAAGTTGCGTATTTCTCTTACAATCAACTCAATTTGACAAACAAAGGCTTGAGTGATGAATATGGTTATCGATCACCATTCTATAACTGTATATCTACGATAGAAAAGATATATGTCGATCATAATAACATTGTAGATATGTTTCAAGACTGGACTGAAATGAGCCATTTGAAGATATTAAATGTGTCTCATAACAAAATATTTTATTTACATGTAAGTTATAAATTCAATTTTTCATACAATACCTAACTAAAGATTTATTGATGAAATAATCTAATTAAATCATTTTTTCATTTTTGTTTCAGGCAAGAGATTTGACATTATTGTCGAGAAAAGCTGTAGTAGATTTGACATATAATATGATTGAGTCTATTAATATATATAGAAACGTCTACGAAAAATTGATTGAAAATTACCCTCATGATGTAGTTATAGACATCGGAAATAATCCACTCAAATGTGACTGTGAAATATATGATCTTCTGCAATACTTTGAAGGAGAACTTCCTTATCTACACAACAGGTTTTACTTGAAAGCAGAAGATTTAAAATGTGACTCACCCCAAAAAATAAAAGGTCTTGCAGTAAAAAATTTGAAGTCTAAGAACTTCACTTGTGTCTATCGTGATTCAGAAAACAACGATAGTAAGTCATGTCCAAACCAGTGTGAGTGCACAACAAGACAGTCAGATGAAGCTTTTTTAGTGAACTGTTCATATCGTGGATTAAAGGAAGCTCCTCAATCTTTCAACAATCCAGGTCATCATGTGGAAATGGATTTATCAGGAAATTTTTTAAAGACAATGCCGTCACTGAACCAAAAAGGGTATGAAAATATTACAATTTTACGGCTAAACAATAACAATATCAGCAGTATTGACGCTAATAATTTATCAGATACATTAGAAGAATTATATTTGGATAACAATAACATGACTGAATTAGACGGTAAGGTTTGGAAAAAATTGGAGAATTCAACAAAAATCAAACACCTTACTTTGCACGAAAATAAGTGGAGATGTGATTGTGAAACTCGAGATTTAATTGATTTTATTCAGCATAAAAGAGTGAAGATTCCAGAATTAGAAAAGGTCCATTGTCATAAAGCCAAGAGACCTATTTTTTCAACTCCAATAGATGAATTTTGTCCATCCGATCTATATTGGTTAATTGGAATTTGTGTCGGCATTGCTTTGTTTGGAATCGTTATTGGCGGAATCTCAGCACTGTACTACCGCTATCAACACGAAATAAAAGTCTGGCTGTACGCCCATCAGTGGTGTCTCTGGTTTGTCACCGAATCCGAGCTTGACAAGGACAAAATCTATGACGCATTTATAAGCTTTTCTCACAAAGATGAAGAGTTTATAGTGAACGAATTAGTTCCAAAACTTGAACAAGGACCAAAACCATTCAAAATCTGCGTGCATTATCGTGACTGGATGGCCGGTGGATGGATTCCGGAACAGATTGCACAATCAGTTGATGAATCACGGCGAACAATCGTTGTTCTCTCACCAAATTTCTTGGAAAGTATCTGGGGTAAAATGGAATTCCGTGCAGCCCATAATCAAGCTCTTAGTGACGGTCGAGCTAGAGTTATTGTTATTCTGTACGGCGACATTCAACCATCTGATATCACTGATCCTGAACTCAAAGCTTATCTTACTATGAACACCTACGTCCAGTGGGGTGATCCGTGGTTCTGGGACAAACTTAGATATGCTCTTCCTCACTGTATAATAAAAAAATCTAAAAAGAATAATATATTCGAAAACCACCAACCAACTATAAAGAAAGTAGATGAGAAATATACCGAGTCGATATCGTAGTCATCAGTTTCAAGTTTACAATAATAGAGTTCTGATAACTAATTGTAAAAATTAATTTTATTATGACAAGAAACTAATTTAAATCCATCAGTATGAATTTTCTTTATTATTAAAATTATATACGATATTTTTCTTATTATTTTTTTTTTTCATTGTTTATTTTGAGATCATATAAAGTTTTTAAAGTTACAATTATATTGTGAGTTTTTTATATTTATTAAAAAACTTTATTATTTTTTTTTATGTAAAGTTATGTACATTTTTTACATTGTTAAAATAGTTAAATAGCTTCATTTTAAGAGTATTAATAAAATTTATAACTATCAGGTTCAGTGAAATTTTTTTTTCTTAAATTATTTATATAGTTGACAATAATAATGATAAAGTTGAACTGATACCTACTCAGAGAGTAAGTATTTAATAAATTTAAAGCAACTGAGTGTTTAGCAAGAAAATATTAAACAGAGTTTATTTTTTTATATCATACAAATTACTGAAAATTTATTGTATGTACATTATTTATAATCTTAGTAAGTCGTCATCACTATCTGACTGACACATTGTATCTGGGCCATCCAGTAATGCATCTGCTTCAGAGCTTGTACTTATCTAAAATTTCAAACGATTTTACGATGGTAATTTTATTATAAATATCATGCAAAAACAAATAATTTAAAAAATAAATTTTATTTTTATTCATAATTGTAGTATAAAAATTATTGTCACAATACATTGAGTATATATATATATATATATAGATTCATGCATGTACAAGACTACAGATTCCTTAATGTATTCATTTTTAATAACAATTCAGAGATCTGCACTCTGACATTCTTTAAAATAAAAATATAATAAGCAATTGTGCATAATACAAACTAAAGATAATACATAAAAAATTATAAAAGCTGGCTTTGTTTATAAAAAAAATAAAAACAAATACAAAAGTTTGAATTCCTATAAATTCAAGTCATCTTCAAATCAGCCCTTTTAATTAGTTGTTTCTGAAATGAAAGTATAAAAATATAACTTAAAATAAAATAAAAAATAATTTTTTGATACGCTTCGAAATTTTTTGCTTTAAAATTTTGAAAACTGAATAATAAAAAACTAAAAAATATTTTAAAATTTCTACATATAAAAAAAATTTCAGAACGCATCGCAAAAATAAAGTTGCTACGTGTACATGTGTAATAATAATAAATAAATGAAAAAAATATCCTCACCTTATAAACTACATAAACAACACTACATTTTTTAAACAATAGTGTAATCAATGCTAATTGATGTGTTTAAACCTTACAAAAGCAAAATAGTGTGATGAAAGTCATTTCAGTGTGCGCATTCAATAAACTCATTCCAATAAATTTACCTTCGAATACCGCATCCTTACATCTGATTTCTTCAAAAATCTGCAGCGAAGGCAAGATTTTACGCACTCTTGTACTTTGGCATTCAAAAAACATACCGCCAAAAAAATACTACTTCCGACCAAAATGGAGACGATTACTATTCCAGTAACTAAAGTGACCGAAAAATTTCCAAAAAAATTTTAGTCAGGTAGTAATTATTCTTACTCATAACAGGTAAAGTATTTTTGAAGAATATATTACCATAAGAATTTCCTTTGGTATGTTTATCATCAGTCGATGACTCAACAACTTTCGATGCCGAAAAAGAGGATGCTTGATTTATTATATCTGCACTTTGTTTAATAACTGGTTCTTTAATTTGAGTCTCTCGCTCATAGTTAGATGATGAAACCTGTAAAATATAAAATATAAAATAGATTATTAATTATTTATTTTATGTAAGTTTCTCTTGATTATAAATTTTATCAAAAAAATAATCTTGTTAAATCATTAATAACATGTCCGAATGATTAATCGTTATAAATTTTATCTCATGAATTCTATCGCTAATCATTAAATTATCAATGAACACATATAGTACTCATACAGATGTTACACAAGTGTCTATATTAAAGGCTTAGCCTGCTGAGTTAGAAAGTAGTAAGAATTGCGGATACTATTTACACTAATAACAGAATAAATAATATAAGTAAGGTACTATTACACCGTTTACGCTATTATTGAATGACTAAATTACTTATACTTGTTATCACGTGTCGAAATTAATCAGTCTCTGATATGAATGATTGAAATTAAAAATTTTTAATTATTACTCTTATTATAGCAAAAAATAATCTAAAAATTTATGATTTATTATGACCGAACAACGGAGTTCAAGTTCATATAATACTCAATTATGATTGAATTCCTTATATGTAATGTTTCTTTCACAACGTTCTTTCAGATATTTCTTGGGGTATAGGAGATAATTTTCTTATTGTGTGCATTATACAATAGCGGGCACAATAGATATTTAAATGCACTAATATATTATGCATTTTCGTCTTTTAAATATTTATTTTTGAGAAAATAAATTATATCTCTTGACTAGCTGTAACAATTTGATTTAGAGTAGAATTATTTTTTTTTTTTTAACATATGCAGGATCTACGAAAATTTACAACCGTAGGACATCATAAAATCATTAGAAACTGGTTTTTAGTGGTCTCCTTGGTGAGAATTAAGGAAGTATACTTTTTAACGAAATGTGAATGCCCACGCTTTTAACAAATAATAATATTTGCATTTTTTTTTTCAGCATTAATTTTTTTTTTTTACTTAACTATTTACGTGAGACTTCTTTTTTGTCCTTATTTAAGTTGAACATATAATACTAGATAACGTAGGTAGAATATATATTTTACATGTAATTTTGTACATGTAAATTTTTTTTCTCATTTAAACTTAGATACATAATTACCCCAAGCATTTAGAAGTACGTTAAATTTAGCTTAACTATCCTAAAATTTCAATGTCTATAAAAGTTACAACTAAGAAAAATAATAAATCTCAAATAAAGTGCAACTTTAATTTTAAATTCCAGTAAAACGTTTAAAAGCAAAAAAAAACCGCTATTCTTAACAAATTATCGAGTAAAATAAAATTTTTCTACCCGTAATAAATGCTGCATAAATTTACCCAATTCAAATACTTTTTTTGTATCCTAAAAAATTAGTTCTAAAGAATTTTTATTTTCTTCAGGCGAAAAATGTAAAAATCAGTAAAGTACATGGATATTTTCTATTAAACTTTCTCACACTAAAATAAAATAAGCATTACTCAGGATTTACTTTTACGAAAAAAATAAAAAATTCTTTTAAAGTATGAACAGTTAAAAATAAATAACAAAAGAAAATTTACTCTTCAGCATCTGGACACCAGATTTTTATAAAATTTTCCCGAAAACTCGCTAATATAAATTCAAGGGCACAAGGGCTTTATCTACTAAATCTAATCCATGTGTTTGCAAGAACTAACAAGACTATCTCAATTGGTTACGCTTTTACAGTGTGTGAAACGTTGCTCAGGCGAAAAACACGTGTTAATTAGATAAGTAGTTATAATTGTTAATAAAAAAAAATAGAACTTTTAGATAGCAACGTAAAATAAAATACTTATATTAAGTTCAAGAGTCATAAGCCACAAGTTTCTTGTCTTAGTCTGGCAGATAATGACATGAAAACGGAAAAAGGTGGTAGATCATACATATATATTTGTAATATGATAACTAATGGTCGTAGGTCTGCATGTACATGTGTCTGGCGTCAGAGATTGAGGACTCGTACAAGAAAAATTTAACAGACTTTTCTGTAACAGCTCTACAAGTGATCCTGATGAAAAATCAACAGATATTTAAAGCCGCCTGACAGGAAGTATAATCTTTTATCTAAACTAATCTTATTAAGTCCCACGCTCTTAAATGCAGACGCCGTAATAGTACGTCCATGCTGCTTTTCGTTTTAGTTTATTTTTCATCAATCTCCAGAAGACTTTTACATATTATATGTATTTTCTATTAACTTGAAAAAGCTAAAGTATTTATATATTTGTAACCCTACTAAAATATCTTTTTATTTGATCATGATTGTCACTTCCCGTATTATATGTTTGTAAAAAGATTTTCATCGCTAATTATATAATGATAATTATACACAAAACTTCAAAATAATTTATTACAAATTAAATTATTGTAGTGTTTTTTTTATTTTTTTTATACTGTAAACGCATTCAAGAGGATACACATCAAGGCCGTTAATTTAAAATTAATCATTTCAAGCCAATCAATAAGATAAATAATAAAACTACGCATAATTATTATTCGCAGATTCAAATTATTTGAGAGCTGATTAGATCATTGAACCTGAATATCAACAATTTTCACAGATCAAAATTAAATTATCTATGGATAAAAAAATTGAATTGATTTTTCAAAGTACTACTGGATAAAGTGTAATCAATTTTAAAAGTATTTCTCACAAATCTTTATCACGATTGATAAAAAAAAATATTTATTTATAATTTATTTTAGATTATAAATAAACAAATATTCGCAATAAATATTATTATTTATTCCTCATTCTCTAACTTTTAAAATCAAGTTATTTATGACCAATAATTCGCATAAAATTTTTATTGCACGCCAATAAATATTTTGGAGTAAACATTAAAATTTCTGAGATACGCTGAATAAATCCATTGCATTTAAAACATTACAAGCTTAGAGTAAGAATTTTAAATTTATAATTATTTAAAATTATATTATTTCGCATAATGTTGCAGCAGTTAGCAAACCGGTACAAGATGCCCCCTCTCCATTTATCCGGATCTGTAAATTGTGGGAGAGATGACGACACAGCCAGTTCATTAGGCCTACTCTTTGCTTCTTGGTTCTTGCCTGTTAACATTATACTTTCATTTCAGTTTGCGTCAAGTCTCCGCATAGTGAACATCATTTCATGAACACGTTGTTTGTTATTAAGTTTTAAACATAGATGTAACAACTTTCTCTTTAACGGAGTGCATATTTTTCATTATTAATTTATTTGCCACTCAATTTTAAAAAATTCAGTGTTCTGTGAATATAAGATTGCGTAAAAATAAGGAAATCCATCCAACAAGTTTGATTTAATTCTACAATAAAATTATTTTTAGAAGTAAGTAAACATTTAATTAAGGATTAACATGTCATAACAGTGTAAAATTTAAAAATTTTTAGACACTGATAAAATAATTTTTGTTCTCATCACTTAATATTTTTACTCGTGAATCACGTATATGCTTTGTATGAAATAACTCTTGCTATAAAGACTTGACCGGAAAGTTAATTTTTCTCTGCGATATCACAACTTATGACGTAATTTAAAAATTACTGAGAAACCTAACGAGATTTTTTAAAAATACTAATATTATGTTGTAAATAATTTTTTTTTATCAATCCATCACGTATTTATTTTGCCGATACACGCTCTCGTGTTTGCCATTCAGAGAAACTAAGATAATTTTCAAGTAACGTTAAATATTTAACAATTACAACTGTTTGATGATAAGACGATTACGCCACTCAATTAAATGTTTTCCTTGTAAACAGTAAAATTTGGAAAACAAACTTGATTCAGTATCAATGACATCCAATATCCGGCAGAGATTATAAATAAAATTGATATTTATAACGATTAAATTAAACTTTTCCCTATCATTAATTCGAATATCACACCGGAACAGGTAAATGCATATTAAATTTATATTGAGGGAAATATACATCTGCTTGGTGATGTGTGATCATCTAAAACATAAATTATCGTGAGACGTACTATTAAAAACAATAAAATAATACGTGTTTATATTTTTATCTCTCGAGTGAGCCATCCGAATTGTCTATCTCTCTGGTGGAGAGGAGGCTAATTGATAAACCGCCGAAGCAGTGAGCGATGTAACACTAATCTTTTGTAGTAATATGTAATTGAATTTATTTTCCACTTTGTTTTCTAGGAATGATGATCAATAAAACATAATTTTTACTGTCAGCAGTAATAATTATTATATTAATTTAACATGTTAATTGCGCTGAAATAAAGTTGTAAAACATGATCAAGTCTTAGGAAATAAATTCCAATAGCGACGATGAGATTTATTAAATTAGAGTAGATTATGCAGCATACTTATTCTATTATATCTTTGAGATTATATTTGTTTTAAACTCTGATATCTGTTGACTAATATTTTATAGACTTATCAGTTGAAGTTTTCAATGAAAATAAATTATCTTATTGCGCTACAGGAGGAAACAAATCAAAAATATGCTAATCAAAATATCATAAATTTTGATAAAATAAATTATTTATTAATTTACGGATGTTTTCAATCATTATCCGTTGTTGATTATCAACTTTGACTGTATCGCGACGGAGAACTAGTCTGGCAAGATCGACGTCCTTGACTTGTATGTGAATGTATTATATTTACATGTGGAAAATGAACACATAGTTTTTACATACACGTATACATCTTCTTTTGTACGTGACATTCATTCAAAACTACAGATTTACGGTTACGGCGTATAGTATTTGTACTTGTATTAATGTATTAAGTGCGTAAGTCTTGTATAGCTTGTATTAGCTGGGAAAAATTATCACTCTCAGACATCTATTTATACCTGCTTGTAAGCGTTTAATAACTATTTTTGAAAAGTATTTAGACAATGGGCGGGATTTTTATCGGACCCAAACCCGTATATCGGTGACAGTCGTACCGAGTTTACAATGGTACGTCTTCAGAGAGAAGCCGAAACGTAGCAATTTTGCTCGATTCTTTAAATTATTAGCTTAAACCTAGCTTATTATTTACTCCATACCTGGATATTTATGGACGAATATTAAATTTTAGCAATTATATTTTATGACTAAAGCTACTTAGAAATTGCTTTTTACTTGAAAAGTCTCAATTTTATTTTACAACTTTGAATTTTTTTCGTTTACTTGATATAAATTACTTTTTAGTCCAGAAGGCAAAGAAAAAAAAAAAGTTTTTTTTGGGAAATTTTCGCTCATCCAATTTTGCATGTAAAATTAAAAACTTCAGTAATTAGCTAAAAAATAATAAGAAAGATGACATTTTCTATAAGCAGTCAATTGTTTAGTGGAATATCTTAAAATCTAATGAGAAACATAATTAAAGTATTGGCCAAGCAATTTTATACAATAGACTTTTTTGACTACGACTAATTTCCTTCTTATACAAAATCAATTCGTTCATGAAATGAAATCTATTCTGTGAGAAGAAAATGAATAAATGAGAATTTAATGAGTAAATAATGATGCAAAATTAAAAATTTTAAATCATTTCAAGGTTACTTATAATTAAAAATTTGTTAATAGGATTAAGCCATAAATAATGAAGTTAAAATAAATTTTAAATGGTTAAACTATAAAAATTGCATTTATGAAGTGTATCTAAAATTTATATTTTGTTTCTGTTTTTTTACAAATCTATTTTTCAGGGTTATAAAAGTTTCATAACACTGATTCATTTTATTTGTAGTTTACCCGACACGAAATTTTTGAAAGAATATTAAAAGTGAATAAATTAAAAAAAAAAAATATTTTTTTACAATAGCTATGTATGGTCGCTTGGATAAATAGTTAAAAACATTATCTAATGAATAGTTTTTTTGTTATCAACAAAGGGTGATCTGCATTTTTTTTTAAATTAAAAATTTTTTAATTTTCTTTTAAATCACCAATTTCTTGCCTCCTGGACTGCTGGATTATTTATATTCGGATCGCGAACGGAAACGAGATATAACAATTGTTGAGTTATAAAACATAAATAAAAGTCGGTGTATCCGGATTTAGTCGATTTCACACCAAATACAGGATATGATAAACGTAGAAAATTATCATGGATTTCTGTACTTTGAACCTTACATATAAACCGTAAAATAGTGCATACTTATAAGTATAAGTGAGTTTTCTTTTTGAATAAATTTGACTCAAATCCTGTTGGTCCCTTTTAAGATTCTTGGAATAACATCCTTTTAACCTGTTAAATTTTTAAATATGGTAATTGTTAAACATATTTCTCAAGTCCTAAAATTTTTTCTGTCGACTTGAAATAACGCCGTATTTTCTATTCTTAACGTTCTTAATACTTACTCTATTCACTAATTCATGTTTAGAGAGTAGGAAATAGAATTTTACCCGTGGGTTAGAATAATATCAATACTTATTTTTAAATATTCAGTAAAAAAAAATTTCTACGAATTGAAATGTGGAACCATTATAACTTTTTTTTATCAAAATCTTTGTTTATTTTTTTTTACTATTTGAAGTAAAAATAAATATGAAAAATAATATTATTTATCGTGTGCTCGTTAGATTAGATTAATTTATTTACACATGTTATTATAAAGTCTTTTTAATTGTTTATTGACACCCTTTCTAATAAATTTTTGCTATGTTTTTCAGAATCCAAAGATGAATTGGCTTCAATGGTATCTAGTGTTCAACGTTTTATTATTATCTTGGGCTATCGATTGTCCCAAGGGTAACTTTTGCGGACCATGTGAGTCTCATCCATTCAGGGTGTATGAAATCACTTGTAAAGAAGAAGAACATCCAAAGTTCATAGTACAATATAAACCAAGAAGTCATTTAATTGTTAACTGTTTGGGCTCAAAAAATTGGACTTATTTTGATCTAGGTTCAGTTCAACAAGTTAAGCCGGTTGAATATTTAAAGTTTGAAAACTGCGTTTTCTCTGACCAAGTCAATCTTGGAAATATTGTAAAAAATGTATTCAATGATACTGTGGAGGAATTGAGTTTCGAGGCATGTAAGAATTTATCATCAGTGTTGACTCGAGAGGGCTTGAAAGATTTCAAGAAGCTAAGAAGTCTTGATCTGCAGGGGAACAGTCTGTCAAATTTGACTAGTGAACCATTCAAGGAACTTCCCAATCTCACGGTGTTAAATTTTGCTACGAATGACTTGAAGGAATTGCCTCCAAAATTTTTGAACATTCCGAGTCTTAGAAAAATTGAACTTGGTTGGAATAAATTGGAAGTAATTAAACGATCGAGCTTTGAAAATCTCGGACACCTCGTTTTTTTGAATTTATGGAAGAACAATATTAGTGAAATTGAAGCAAATGCTTTCGACAACATTCGTGACCTTCAATCGATTGATTTACATGGCAACAAATTGAGAAGTATACCACAGGGTATTTTTTCAAAGTTATCAAAAATCAAAACGATTAATTTGTCGTTAAATAATTTCACTAATGAGTCATTCCCAGAAGATTTGTTCCGTTACAACAACATGCTGGAAACATTAACAATGACTAGTAATTATCGTAATATTACAACTCTTCCAAGTGGATTCTTGAGTAATTTAACTAGCTTAAGAACAATATATATGGAAAATAATGGATTCCATCAAATGCCAGAAAATTTTCTTTGGGGAACAACGAGCCTTACAACTTTAAAATTACAAGATAATTATATTTCAACAATACCACGATACTTCTTGAGAGATTTAAAAAATTTGAAGTTTTTAGACATGAGCGGAAATACAATTGATCATCTACCTAATGACGTTTTTGAATCGTTAAGGCAACTTACGAATTTGAATTTAGCAAAAAATCGAATTAAATATCTAAGCTCGTAAGTAATATTTTGATCATTGAAATTCACATGTCATATCAATAAATATTTTGTCTCTTCTTTAAAACATATCATTTTTGTCTTTTTTTTTTAGAAATCACCTAACTGGATTGTCATCACTTGAAATCTTAAATATGGAAAGAAATAATATGGTTCAAATTGATGGGAATGCATTCAAGGACTTGGAAAAATTGAAAGTTGCGTATTTCTCGTACAACCAACTCAATTTGACCAACAAAGGCTTGAGGGATGAATATGGTTATCGATCACCATTTCATAAATGTGTTTCTACGATAGAAGAGATACATGTCCATCATAATAACATTGTAGATATGTTCCAAGACTGGACAGAAATGAGCCATTTGAAGATATTAAATGTGTCGCATAATAAAATATTTTATTTACATGTAAGCTATTAATTCAATTTTTCATATAATACGTAACTAAAGATATATTGATGAAATAATTTAATTAAATCATTTTTTCATTTTTGTTTCAGGCAAGAGATTTGACATTATCGTCGAGAAAAGCTGAAGTAGATTTGACATATAATATGATTGAGTCTATTAATATGTATAGAAACGTCTACGAAAAATTGATTGAAAATTACCCTCATGATGCAGTTATAGACATCGGATATAATCCACTCAAATGTGACTGTCAAATATATGATCTTCTTCAATACTTTGAAGGAGAACTTCCTTATCTACACAACAGGTTTTACTTGAAAGCAGAAGATTTAAAATGCCAATCCCCAGTAGAAATGAAAAGTCTTGTAGTTAAAGACTTGAAATCTAAGGATTTGACCTGTGTGTATCATGATTCAGAAGACAGCGGTAATTTATGCCCAAGCCCGTGTAGCTGTAAAGTAAGACCATCCAATAAAGCTTTCTTGGTTGATTGTTCGTACCGCGGATTGAGAGAAGCTCCACAACCTTTCACCAATCCAGGTCATCATGTTGAAATGGATTTATCAGGAAATTATTTAAAAACAGTGCCTTCGTTAAAACAAAAAGGATATGAAAATATTACAATTTTACGGCTGAACAACAATAATATCAGCAGTATTGACGCTAATAATTTATCAGACACACTAGAAGAATTATATTTGGATAACAATAACATGACTGAGTTGGACAGTCAAGTTTTGAATGTGCTGAAAAATTCAACGAATATCAAACATCTTACTTTGAACGATAACGCTTGGAGGTGTGACTGTGAGACTCGTAATTTATTTGAATTTATTCAATATAAACGAGTAAAGATACCGGAGTTACAAAACGTCATTTGCGGTGGAACCAATATACCAATCTTTTCAGCAACATTAGACGAATTTTGTCCATTTGATATGTACTGGGTAATTGGAATTTGTGTCGGCATTGCTATATTTGGAATTCTTATTGGCGGAGTCTCAGTATTGTACTATCGTTATCAACATGAAATAAAAGTCTGGCTATACGCCCATCAGTGGTGTCTCTGGTTTGTCACCGAATCCGAGCTTGACAAGGACAAAACCTATGACGCATTTATAAGCTTTTCTCACAAAGATGAAGAGTTTATAGTGAACGAATTAGTTCCAAAACTTGAACAAGGACCAAAACCATTCAAAATCTGCGTGCATTATCGTGACTGGATGGCCGGTGGATGGATTCCGGAACAAATTGCACGATCGGTTGATGAATCACGGCGAACAATCGTTGTTCTCTCACCAAATTTCTTGGAAAGTATCTGGGGTAAAATGGAATTCCGTGCAGCCCATAATCAAGCTCTTAGTGACGGTCGAGCTAGAGTTATTGTTATTCTGTACGGCGACATTCAACCATCTGATATCACTGATCCTGAACTCAAAGCTTATCTTACTATGAACACCTACGTCCAGTGGGGTGATCCGTGGTTCTGGAACAAACTCAGATATGCTCTTCCCCACTCCAAAGATATAAAGAAAAAAGAGAACAATGTTTTTGAAAACCACCAGCCCACTTTGCAAATAGTAAATGAAAAAAAAAATGGATCGATACCACAGCCGACAGCTCCAAGCTTAAACAAGACCATCACAGATGTTTAAGCTATAATGTATAAAGTGACAAGTTACGTGTATAGATTCAATCTAGTCAAGAACATTCTAAATTTAATCGATAGAGTTCTGATGGCTAACCATATAAATTTTTTATATTTCCTCTACTATTTCAATTGTTGACGATATAGTTATATCAATGTTTTGACTTAATAACTCAATTTGTAGTTAATTTTAAGCTTATATTAAGCTCGTTCAATTAAGTTTAGCGTCATTAATACCATTTGTAAAATAAACGGCATTTTCCATGTTCATTTTATGAATTTATCGTATGTTACCGATTTTATGAGTAAGCATAAGTGTAATTTTTATTATTATTTGTAAGTAGTACTAAGGTTTACCTTATAATTATATCTTGATTCTGAGTGATATGTAAATTTAATGTTTATATTTTGCCATATTTTTATAAAATTGTATAACAATTTTATTGTAAGATTACGAGAAATAATAAAATAAGTAAAAAATAATTCTGTCATACCTTTTTTTCACACGCTAATGAGGTATTCCATTGAATCACCAAATGACATGTACTTTCTTCAGTTATTATAGGCACAGCCTCGGAACCTTCTGGTGAACAACGAAATGCAATTATTGTGAAACGACTTCTGTTTCCTTGACACGACGATCCATCCGTATAATTCAGATATAGACCTCCAACAGTTGAAATTAATTTAGAATTAGCTTTTCCACCGACTATTCGATTATGCGCTGAACAAACGCCTAAAAAAATTCCGTTTCATTTTTATAAATATAAAGATTAATAAAATTAACGACAGCAAGATTTAAAAGCTTACCAGCCGAATCATCGTTCCCTTTTTTACAAAAATTTGTTAACAAAGGTCCACACACACTGAATTTGTACTCATCGTTAGCTGATCTTACAATATAATCTTCTCCTTTTAATGAATCTAAGTTATATCTGCATAATAAAGTTTTTAATAAATTTTTAGTTCAAATTTTTATAAATATCATAATTAAAACAGTACTCGTAATTAGTGATTGGATTCGTAAATTTACAGGAGGCCGATGTCTTTTGTTTGTATTCTTCGGCTTTTTTATTGTCACAAGCAGCGATTGTTTTCCATATAATATTATAATGACAATCATCTTTCAATTGTCCAAGCGCTGGTTGAGTTTCCTGTTGGAAAAAAAAAAAAAAAAAAAAAAAAAAAAAAAAAAAAAAAATCAATCAGTCAATTATTTAAATATAATAATTATAGCAAAGGAATAGAAATAAAAATAATCAAATTACGTAAGCTTTAAAATCACAAACAAAAGAAATTGTTGTATCACTGTGGGTCATGTCTGCACAAAGCGCACCAGTACTATATGTTAAAGTAACGCTACCATTTACAATTTTCGGTGATGCTACATCTCCAATACTTGAATAACTAAAATAAAAATTAATAATTACATGATGTAGAAAAAAATGAAGTTAAAATTAAAAATTAATTATCCAACGTACATTGTTGAATTTGTACTATTTCTCAAACATGCTGCTGAGAATGGACAAACTACTCCACTTCCAAATACGACTGTATGACAAATATTTAAAATTATTGATGATTTATTATCTATATGGACAATATAATTATCTGACGTTTTTTTTAAACTTCCTAAATCATAAAATGTTTTGGTTTTTTCGTCGGTCACTTTACAATCAACTGAATGTTCAGATGCTTCAAAATTAACTCCACAAGCTAGTTTTGTTTTCCAAACAGCAATAAAATTGCACTGTTTTTGGTCCTATTAACAAAGTTTATGTTATAAAAATTAGTTTAATTTGTTTATATGCATAGTATCATTATATCATGCAAAAAATTTTACTTACGTAAGGAAAGAGTTCAGGATATGAGTATTCAGCTTGGGAATCACATATCATTATCACATTAAAAGAATAATAAATTTTTTCTCCACATTTTTCTCCGACATAGCTAAATGAAATTCTTCCATCTTCATGTTGAACCTCAGGTACTTTTCCTGCAAAAAAAAATTTTTTTAAACAGTACTTTCTAAAAAAGAAACCATTTCTTTTCTAATTGCATTAAAATTTTTTTATAAATAAATTATTTCAAACCTAATATTATTTGTTCGTTCCCTCGAATAAGACATCCTGCTACGCCGCTGGCTTCATTGCAAGTTTTCTTCAATGGTTTACACAGTTGAAATTTGATCGTTTCATTCGTACTTTCATGCTCAAGAATATAATCATCATTAACTTCAGAAAGTTTTCTAAAGTCAAATTTCAACGCGTGAACTCCTAAGTCAATTTCACAATAACTAGGTGGTATGACTTGCTGTAAATAATTAAAATAATCAATTTAAAACATCAATAGAAAAAGTTCATAAGAATAAAAGTAACAATTAAGAGTATAAAAAAAATACACAAAGTAAATTTAAAAGAAAAATATATGATTCACGATTACAGCCGGCAAATCACGAAGCAGCAAAGTCATAAAAATATCAAAGTCATAAATATATTTGATAACATAATTCTCAGTAAGGCACGTAGTAGATTTACATCTATGTATATCCAATTACCTTATTACATTCTCCAAAGTAACATTCGCTAGCTAACAATACAAGTATTATTAAACGACCCATCGTTTATTAATAATTAATATTTATTAAAAATTATCTATTTTCTTCGATCATTAATAAATAACTCAATTTTTTAATATTCCACATATGTAAAAGGATTAAATTTGAACTATTTATACATATGAGAATGTATTTATGAGTGTATGCACTACGTTCTCACTACACATCAGAACAAAATTAAATTTTAAATCATTTATTAATTAATAAAATAAAAATATCTTTTTTTGATTAAAAATAATGAATACTATTTTTGAACTTTATGCCGATTTATAAATATAATACACACATGAGAATTTACATAGTTGCAATAATAAGCGACTGCATACGCGGTACTTATATCGACGTTACTGTTTTGTTTTAATAATCGATACGAAAGTAGTTTCGCGCGCAAACGCTTGACATCCATTTTTAAAATTATTTCCTGCCTGAAGTGAGTCAATCAAGCTATACTTACTTAAGGTATAATCTCGCCGCTTATTTTCTATACTTTTACGCTGTATTGCGCTGTATGTTTCCGTTTGTACACGAATGATCTGATCAGCTGCCATTTTGTAGATTAGCTCTGTGAAAATTGTTGAGTTGCAACCATTTATCAGTGTTATTTAATAATAAAAATAAATTTATTAATTACTCATTTTATATAGAGTGGGACCCTACAGCAGGGGTATGACATTTAATATTTTTTATTTCGACATTTATTTAGAATTTATTTTTTGTTAATGAATTATAAATATTTGTGGGTTAGCGTCTACGTGATGCGGCAATTCATAATTTCATCGTATTTTTATAATTTTTAAAATTATTAATTGCGTATTTCCATTGTTTTAATCAAAATTTTAATATTTTATATAAAAGCCAATACATAAATTAAACATTTATATAACATTGTGAACATATATTTATTTAAAAATTACAGAATTTGCGAATAAAAATGTCGAATGGAAATGGAGATCATGAGGAGGAAGGTTACGTGGTGAAACTGCGTGGTTTACCTTGGTCGACGACAGTGGATGAAATTTTAAAGTTCTTCAGTGATTGTCGGATCTCCCACGGTAAAGCTGGTATACACATGACTATGTCACGGGAAGGACGTCCAAGTGGTGAAGCTTACATTGAAATGGAGAGCGAAGAGGATATTGAAAAGGCTTGTAAACGTGACCGGGATCATATGGGACATCGTTATATCGAAGGTATTTACAACTTGATTTAATATTGATAGGAATTTTAAAGTTATTTAATTATACAAAATTTACCTCTTTGCTGTGTTATTTTAGTATTTAAAGTTAGACGAAGCGAAATGGAGTGGGTCGTCAAAAGAAGTGGTTTGAATTTAGAAAATGCCATGGATGATGGCTGTGTTAGACTGCGAGGATTACCTTTTGGTTGCTCAAAAGAAGAAATAGCACAATTTTTCTCGGGTATGATAACAACTAATATCTTTTTTTATTATTTTAATCATACACTGTTTTTTAAACCCATTTTAAAATTGACCTTGTTTGAAGTCATTACTATTTTAAAAATTAAAATTTTAAATGCATTATACTTCTAAAAAGTACTTTTTGATATATATTTTTTGGTTTAATAGTTTAAAAAATCAATTTCTCATGCTGAAAATTGAGAAATAAAATAAAAAATTTTTTTACAATTGTAAATATAGTGTCTATTGTAAACAGCATGATTGCTTTTGACAATTGACTAATGCCTAAATTTAAAAACTAAAAACAGTTACAGTATTATTGAGCTGGTTTTTAAATGCTGTTTCTTTGTGTTGTTATTTCCTGCCTGAAGTGAGTCAATCAAGCTATACTTACTTAAGGTATAATCTCGCCGCTTATTTTCTATACTTTTACGCTGTATTGCGCTGTATGTTTCCGTTTGTACACGAATGATCTGATCAGCTGCCATTTTGTAGATTAGCTCTGTGAAAATTGTTGAGTTGCAACCATTTATCAGTGTTATTTAATAATAAAAATAAATTTATTAATTACTCATTTTATATAGAGTGGGACCCTACAGCAGGGGTATGACATTTAATATTTTTTATTTCGACATTTATTTAGAATTTATTTTTTGTTAATGAATTATAAATATTTGTGGGTTAGCGTCTACGTGATGCGGCAATTCATAATTTCATCGTATTTTTATAATTTTTAAAATTATTAATTGCGTATTTCCATTGTTTTAATCAAAATTTTAATATTTTATATAAAAGCCAATACATAAATTAAACATTTATATAATATTGTGAACATATATTTATTTTAAAATTACAGAATTTGCGAATAAAAATGTCGAATGGAAATGGAGATCATGAGGAAGAAGGTTACGTGGTGAAACTGCGTGGTTTACCTTGGTCGACGACAGTGGATGAAATTTTAAAGTTCTTCAGTGATTGTCGGATCTCCCACGGTAAAGCTGGTATACACATGACTATGTCACGGGAAGGACGTCCAAGTGGTGAAGCTTACATTGAAATGGAGAGCGAAGAGGATATTGAAAAGGCTTGTAAACGTGACCGGGATCATATGGGACATCGTTATATCGAAGGTATTTACAACTTGATTAAATATTGATAGGAATTTTAAAGTTATTTAATTATACAAAATTTACCTCTTTGCTGTGTTATTTTAGTATTTAAAGTTAGACGAAGCGAAATGGAGTGGGTCGTCAAAAGAAGTGGTTTGAATTTAGAAAATGCCATGGATGATGGCTGTGTTAGACTGCGAGGATTACCTTTTGGTTGCTCAAAAGAAGAAATAGCACAATTTTTCTCGGGTATGATAACAACTAATATCTTTTTTTATTAATATTTTTATTATTTTAATCATACACTGTTTTTTAAACCCATTTTAAAATTGACCTTGTTTGAAGTCATTACTATTTTAAAAATTAAAATTTTAAATGCATTATACTTCTAAAAAGTACTTTTTGATATATATTTTTTGGTTTAATAGTTTAAAAAATCAATTTCTCATGCTGAAAATTGAGAAATAAAATAAAAAATTTTTTTACAATTGTAAATATAGTGTCTATTGTAAACAGCATGATTGCTTTTGACAATTGACTAATGCCTAAATTTAAAAACTAAAAACAGTTACAGTATTATTGAGCTGGTTTTTAAATGCTGTTTCTTTGTGTTGTCTCTAATTACATTATTATCATTTTATTTATTTTTATTTAAACTTACGTACTGATATGAAGAGGACAGCATGAGTAAAAAAAAAAGAATAATAAAAGATTTCTCATATTAAAGGAACTCTCAGCAATGAACAAATTCAATAATAATAATAATAATAGATAATTGAAAAATAATTAAATATTGGGTTTCCATTAATTGATATTATAATCAACATGCAATGATGGGTTAATTCGCTACAATATGGTTGTTTGATTATGTGTGGGTCAGGGTTGGAGATATTGCCGAACGGAATTTTGCTACCAACAGACAGCTACACGGGCCGCAGTACTGGGGAGGCTTACGTTCAATTTGTTAACAAAGATGTCGCGGAAAGGGCTCTACAGAAACACAAGGAAAAGATAGGACACAGGTGGGGCACTGATGCTAGAATGGGTTTGGGTATTCATTTATGATTTATCAATATAAGTATTTTTATTAATTTAATATCTTGATATGGTACAGGTAGGCATAATTATTTATTTCATAAAGCCGTCGGTTTAATAAACCCTTGGGTTTAAATCATTATTATCAATAAAGGTAAAGGTACGCTAAGAAAAACCCTCCTCCACTTGCTATTTTTTTATGTATTATAAAATAAGCTATTTTTATAATATATAAATATATACAATATACATCAAAACATGTATATATATATATATTTATATATCGATCGATCGAAAAAAGTCTTGTGTTTGAGATGACAGAAAAAAAAAAGTAAGGAAAATCACAATAAATGATAAAATGTAAGCTAAAGTACTGTTGGCCCGACTGAAACCTTTGGGTGGGTGCCGGGCGGGTGGTACCCCCTTACATCATCATCAAACCCCATGGGAGGTGGGTTATAAACTATCCAAAGGCTTTACTTATCTTCGTGGATAGGTGGATACTACCGAGGTAGTAAACACCATTAATATTTTGAATTATTACTTCAACGTCACACTTGCTCGTTCAACATAAACATTGTAGTATTTTTGATGATTTATATTTGTAATTGAAAATAATCTACAATATCAAGCTTAATGCTCATTGATTGTATAAATACAAAATTTAACATGTTCATTTTATGTTGAATGTGCACTTGTTTTAATTTTTTCTCATTAATATTAATAGACTTGCTGTATGTAGATTCGTTGTGGATTTATTTATTGTTACTTGTTACTTATTATAATTGGCAGTAACATATTTTATTAATCATTTTAATTAGTAATAAATATTAATTTTATATTTATATAATTAATGTTAATGAAATTTCGTAATATAAATTAAAAAAAAAAAACGTACGGAAAGTCTAATTTAAATTTTTAGTAAGCTAACAAACACTCATTTATGAGAATTATATTTCAACAGGTACATAGAAATATTCCGAAGCAGTTTATCTGAACTGCGAGCAAGTTTTGGACCTAAAATGCGAGGTTCAATGGGTGGATTCAATCAACGGCCGGCACCATATGATCAAAGAGATCGATTTGGCGGTATGAACCGCTTTAACAATAACAGAAACGCACGAAACAGAGGTAACTTTATTATTAATATATTTAAATTAAATCTGTTTAAATGAAACTTAAATTTTATATTTTAAATTTCATATCTTTATTTTCAGACTTTGATAACGGTCCATGGGGAAATACAAACAACTTTGGATCACGCGGTAGCGGCGGCGGTGGTGGTAGCGGTGGTAATGTTGGTGGCGGCAGTAGTGGTGGCGGTGGTGGTGGTGGCGGTGGCGGCGGCGGCGGCGGTGGTATGGGTATGAGAAACAACATGGACATGAAGGGTGGAAATTATCGCGGTAATAATGATAATTGGAGCGGAAATACCGGTATGCATTGCATACACATGCGTGGATTACCTTTTAGAGCTACAGAGCAAGATATTGCAGACGTAAGTTGTATTTATCTTCTTGTTTATTTATTTGTGATTTCAATAATTAATAAAATTTTTTATTTTCATATTCAATCTTTCAGTTTTTCCGACCGATTAATCCTATAAATATTCGCATCATCTTGGAAAACAATGGCCGTGCATCAGGTGAAGCTGACGTTGAGTTTGCAACTCATGAAGAAGCTGTCAAGGCTATGGGAAAAGTATTGATTAAATTATTTTCTTCTCTTAATTATTAGTAATTTTTATTAAATTGAATACTAATGAAATTTTATTTGTCTAGGACAAAAGTCATATGTCACATAGATATATAGAATTATTTTTAAATTCAACTAGCGGATCAAGCGGAATGTCTTTGAGTGGAATTGGCAATTTCTGTGGAGGTATTATTTTATTTTTCATCAAGTATTTCTATTATGCTATTGATTAAAGTTATTTTATGAATTTACTTCTTTTTTTTCTTTTATGCAGGTTTAGGAAACAATTTTAGACCTGGATATTCACCCAATAATCGTGGTTACAACAATCAACTTGGTGGTGGAAATAATTACAATAATTTCTGAAATAGAAATTTTTAAACTGAAAAGAAAAAATTAAGAAATTTTTTCATTTAATTACCTAGAAGTTAAGTAATTTGTTAAAAATTAATATTTAACAAAAAAGCAACAATCAAGGTATCCATTTTCATATAAAATTTATATTAATAATCCCTATAATTTAAGAAATCTTCATTTATCGATGAAAAATCAATTTCATTTATATAAATAGTGATAAAATAAGCAAAATATCTTTCTGTAATATATTGCGAATTATCTTGATTACATGCGTTACATTTTAAAATGAAATAAAAAAAACTGATGAGTAGATATTAAATAAGCTTGAGTAATTAGCATATAATATAATTGTAACAATGATATCAAAAATAATCTCAGGCTTAATAAATTTTTGATAGTACATTAATAATAATAATTATTATTAAAAAATATTATTTGTATTATAATTAAAGTAATTGAAATATAGCTCATAGAAATAATCTAGAATTTTTTGCTGTTTACAATTAAAAGTAATCAATTACTTATTAAATTATGAAAATTTAGACACTCCTCTTTTGTAGTTTAACATTAAAAGTAAACACAGTGATTGGATTTATCAATCGGGTAGATTAATTACTCGAGAGTAAATTCAAATAAATATTTTATATAAATTAAAATAAATAATAAATAATTTGACATACTAGTCTGTTGATTGCCGATATTTTTTCTTATGATTAAGTCTATACAAAATACATAACATTGCTTATTGTATAATTAAAGAACGTGATAATAAAAAAAATAGTGATACTTAAAAATTGTTTTCATTGAATACTTAGATACTTTTCTATTAGTCATAATTATATGATAAATATATGGATTAATTGTTAATTTATTATAAGTTCTAAGAGTATTACTGAATATTAATTACACTCGACCTTCATATAAGACTGGAAGAACTGAACTGATAAATGTGTAATGAGTATGTTCATGTGTTGTAGAAGGGGAATTATATACTTAACAAACCAATAGAAAACAACATGAATGCTGTTTTTTTTTTTTGTTTTTTATTTTCATATTTTAGTAACAAGAGTCTACAGTCTAATATAAAGTACTGATATAAAAGACATAACCCATGTCTGAAAGTAACAATCAACGATAACAATATAAAAATATATCATTTTAATAATACTCCTAGACTGATAAGAATTATGTTAGCTGAAACCTGTATATTTTAATAAGATTTAACATTTAAACGGCGTTAATCGTGATAAGGTACAACGATAAGCAATTGAAATGAAAAGTCCAATCACCCTAGCAGTATCCAGTAACTCACCGTAAGTATACACTTATTTTACTTGAATTAAGTACTATACTAGTTAATTTTTATTACTGAGTTTACTTATTCATAATTTGAATAAACAAAAAATCTGATAATCCTGGTACTATAGTATACGATATGAAACTGTATGACAGATAGATTGATAAGTTGATAAAAATTCACATACTGTTATAATATGTCAAACAGAAGATTCAACTGTCACTTGGATTGAAGAAAAAAAAATTATCTTCCATCTGCTCGGGATCAGTTCAATGCCACTTGGTAGAAGAAGCCATAAACCTGCAATAAAATGATAATTGACGAAATTGGAGTCAAGGACAATTCATTCACTCCAACAAATAGGTAAGAGATTATATTTTTTTGGGGGATAAACTGAGAAAAATATCAAGATGAATGTGTATGTGTGTGTATGATATTTTAAATTGTGAAATAGTTTTTCTTAGTATAAAAAAATCTAGATAAGAATGTTTTCATAAGCATGTACGTCACTTGTTTTTGGCGGTCATTTATTTAATTTTGATATTAAATTAAACATACTTTATCTAGCATTCATTAACATTCCAAATCTTTTTCTGTTCCTTCCTTTCTCTCCTTCCTCTTTATGATTTCATTTACAATTTAATAATCACCAGTAGTTGTAGATGTGTAGTTGTAGATATAGTCGTGGTAGTTACTGAAGTTTAACAATACTAATTTTATCACGAGGTCTACAGTTGATATTCACTCTTTTGGATACAAGAAAGAATCTGAGATGTTTAGAAATGAATATAGAAAAAGCCGAAAATTATCTCGGTACAATAATGCACTCAAGAATCTTATTCCATTTCGTCTGGGCAAAACGTATGTATTAATTTTTTTTTTTTTTTATCAATTTATTTAACTGTAAAAGTAATTTTTATTTTTCTGATTAGTTCTGATGAAGAAATGCCAATTGACAAAGCCGGATTTTTTTCAACCATATCCTTTTCATGGATAACTAAATATTTGTGGGTGTCACATCGTAAAGGAATTACTCTAGATGATTTACCAAAGCCTTCGCCATATGATACAGCTGATCACAATGCAAAGAGGTACTTAATTTTATTTCTATTAATTCTTTTTTATCTTAACTTTATAATTTTAATCTTTTATTGTTCTAATAACTGTGAGTTTACTTGATGATTAGTAGTTATTGTTACATATTTTTTTTTAATATCGTGTTAACACTATTTTTTTAGATTAGAAGCTTTGTGGAATGATGAAGTTATGAGAAATGGTTTAACAGGAGCTTCATTTTCTCGAGCTGCTTGGAAATTTATTCGTACTAGAATATTTATGGCGTCGCTCATGTTTGGTTTTTCTGCTATCCTAGGTTTTCTTGGGCCTGTAATTATTTATTCAAAGGATAAATTATATTTATTTGGACTATAGCTTCCCAAATTATTATTTTATTTTTTTATTAACAGGCGATAGTCATGAGAAAGTTATTAGAATATGTAGGCTCTCCAGATGGCTCAATATACACTGGAATAATATGGATAATTTTACTGATGATCTCAGATTTATTAAGAGTTACATTTTTTAGTTGGGGCTGGAGTGTTTGTTATAGAACTGGTTTGAGAATGAAATCAGCATTTACTAGTGTAATGTACAGAAAGCTTATCAAAACGAGTAATCTAAGTAATCAAGATTCCGGCAAAGTATGTTTGATTTTTTTTTATTAGCACCACCACAATTATTTTTATCTATTAACAAATTATTTATGTTTATTATAGTTAATTAATATGATGTCTAATGATAGTCAAGCCGTATATGATCTCTGCATCTATACACCAATGATAATTGCTGGGCCTATTATAACAATTTTAATTATTATTTATATCCTACTTGTTTTGAGTCCTCTTGCTTTATCAGGATTTTTATTTTTTTTCTGCTTTTATCCCTTGCAGGTATTACAACTTTTTTAAAAATATATTTTGACAGATTATATATTTTTAAAATAACTATTTATTTTATTTTTTGCAGTATTTTATTTCTCATCTTAATGGCTACTTTAGAAAAAGAAGTATTACAATATCTGATCAAAGAGTTTCTGCAGTTACTGAAATTTTCAATTGTATTAAATTAATTAAAATGTACGCATGGGAGGATCCCTTTAGCTTGAATCTCCTAGGTAGTATTTTTTATACCTAGAAAAATATCGGAGCCGTTGCAGTAATAAATAATTATTTTTTAAATAGAACTACGTAATAAAGAAAAAACTTGGCTTGCAAATATGTGCATAACTCGAAGTTATGGTTCGTCTTTGACAGTTACCATTCCAATGATTGCTGCAATAATTAGTTTCTTGGTTCATGTTGCTGGAGGGTATAGTTTAACTGCTGCACAGGTAATTCATTTATTTAAATAAATCATTAGAGTTATAAGTTATAACTATTGATTTTTAATATTCATACAATTGAATAAATGAATAGAAGTTAATAAAAGTACGCCAACAATTTTAATAGGTATTTGTATGTCGTAAAAATAATAAAAAAGTGATATGAATTGTTGTTCATAATAAGATGTTCTATTGATTTGTAATTTACAGGCTTTTCCAATTTTATTTATTTACATAAATCACATGAAGATTTGTCTTTCAGTAATCCGAGATGGATCAAAACAAATTGTCGAGTCTAATATTGCTTTTGAAAGGATAAAGGTTTTTTTTTTATTTCAATTTAAAGTTTACTAAATTTTTTTTCGTTCGCTTACAGGCAGCAGTTCATTATCTATCAATTAAATTATTTCATTAATTATAAAAATTTGATTAGACATCAAAACAAGCTGTGTAACTTGAGATAATAATGAAATTTTATTAACTATTTCTGAAAAATTAATACAGAAGATATAACTTTAAATATTGCATGATTTAATTTATTTTCAGAAGTCATAAACTAAAATTCAACTAATAAATTAAAAATTATATCATCGGATCCTTATAACTATAACATTAGAGTTTATTTGCAGGTATTCCCATTTGTACTATTATTAAATTCGCAGACCCGCCATATGATATCATTTTTCGAAGTGGCTATAACAACGATTGTTAATACAAAAGTATCTTTTGCTAGAATAAAGGTGCATATTATTTATATATTTATACAATTTTATGAACCTTTGCATCTTTCAGTGAATGTTACTTTATTTAAGTTCTCAAATCATAAAATAAGATTGCCTTTTTTTTTGTTAAAGTACCAGCAGTTATGCAAGTTTCCACAACTAAAGCTTCATACTCTACTCATATGCAAAAGGTGATGTCAAAATGAAATAAATGCATGAACATTTTATCAATCGTTGAACCTGAAAACAATACATTAAATATCGTTGTTATTTTTTAATCATACACTTTTAGTATAGTTTTTTTTTTTTTATCTACACCACAGCTTTAAATGTTTTTTCATAATCATTCATCATCATGCTTATAACTGTTGCCTGTAGCTTTCTCAAACTTATTGACGTTAACTGAGTTTCTTTGTGTTATTAATACTTTTATTGGAATTATTACGATTATTTTATTTCAACAGAGTATAATGTGTATGGAAGAAAACAATAGCTTTATTCAAAAACCAATTGTTAAAAGTCAAGCGTTATCTATTATGAATGGAACGTTTGTTTGCGATGTTGATTCATGTAATCTAAAGTCTGCACAGAAGAAAAAGTAAATTTCTTATGAATTTTATTTATCGATTAATTTATTTCAATAGTATATATTGTATGGATATTTATTTTTATTTTTTTCAGAAAAAGAAAACTTAATAAAGATGATTTGGAGAAAAATGAAATAGAGTCATTGATGCCGAAACGTATTGAAATTTTAAGTGACATTAATTTCGAAGTCGCTAAATCAAAATTAATTGGTATTTGTGGGCACGTCGGAAGTGGGAAAAGTAGTCTTCTGAGAGCTGCTTTGGGACAAATACGAATTACCAATGGAAAAATATCGCGAGATGGTAGCTGTGCGTACGTTAGTCAGCAAGCATGGATTCAAAATGCCTCATTAAAAGATAATATTTTATTTGGGCATAAGTTTGATTCTCATCGCTATTATACAGCAATAGATGTATGTTGTTTGCAAGAAGATATTGATTTATTGCCTGCTGCCGATGAAACCGAAATTGGCGAAAGAGGTGTTAATTTGTCGGGTGGACAAAAACAGAGAGTTGCTCTTGCACGTGCTTATTATGCTAATCAGTATGTATATATTTAACCAATTCCATGGGCTTTTATATTATATTAGTTTTTAATTGTTTATTTATGTTATAGAGATATTTATTTTCTCGATGATCCCTTGAGTGCAGTAGATATCAATGTTGGGTGGTATATTTTTGAAAATTTGATCCAAAAAGCTTTAAAAGACAAAAGTATCATCTTCGTTACTCATAAAATTCCAGTAAGATTTTTTTTTTGTTAATAAATAATTTATTGTCATTATCTAATTTTTTTTTTCTTCAACTGTATTTAGTATCTTAGTCGATGTGATCAAATTTATATGATGAGCAACGGAAGAATTGTAGAACAAGGTGACCATGTATCATTGCTGCAAGCTGGTAAAGAATATGCTTCAATGGTTAAAAGTGATAAATCAATGATGACAAACTCAATATTTAGTAATAGGTATTCAATTTTCCTTGATCAGCCAAATTTTTTTGTTAATTAATTCAATAACTATTTAACAATAACTATAATTTTTATAATAGGGATAATTATGACAGATTATCAAAAATGTATGAAAGTTCTAACGATTTAGCTTTTAAAGAAGATAGAACTAATGACGAAAATGATGAAAAAATAAAGAACGACGAAGAAACTATCGGTAAATATAATTATATTTAGTAAAACTTGATACGCTGCTACTACGTTTTACAAAAATTTATACTTATTTATAGACGGTATGATTATTGAGCCAGAGTATATGGAGAAAGGATCAATAAAAGGACACACATATCTTCTTTACATTGGTGCTATGGGTGGTTTTTTCGTCGCTTCTATTGTGCTAGTCAATGTTCTTATAAATACGGGTTGTCTTTTATTCAGCAGTTGGTGGCTAGCCACTTGGATAAAAGCTGGTAGTGGAGTAAGTATTGATTAGAAATGATTAATAATAACAACCCTCGGAATACACACCTCCGAACAAAACTTTGTAGTACACACGGGGTCAAATTGACCCCATTTGACTTTCGAAGAATTATATCTCAGAAACTATGCATTTTACCGGAATTCACTTTATTCATTTTTGGTAGATATTTAAAACAATTCCCTTTTCAATACAATCATCATTATTCTGAATTAAATAGTTTTTAATGTTGAAAAAATTAATTAAAAACGAACTTATTTTCGAGAAATATTTTAGGATAAGAAAAATTCTGGGGTCAAAATGACCTTCAGTGTATTCCGAGGGTTAAGAATCCAACTGATCAATACATTTATATAAATTTTATAGTAAATGTTTTCTATTATTTATAGGGCCGGACAATCAATGTCGGAAATGAAACTGTTGTATCGAATAATATTATTGACAATCCTGATATAGGGTATTACCAGATTGTTTACGCATCTTGTATCCTATTTATTTTAGGATCGAGTCTTCTTCGCGGATATGTCTTGACTCGCGTCGCTCTAATAGCATCTACCACATTACACAATCAATTATTCAAAAAAATAATGAGTACAACAATACAATTTTTTGAATCGACGCCAAAAGGACGACTGCAAAATTTATTTAGTCGGGATATTAGTGAATGTAAGTTCTATGAATAATATCATATTCTCTTGGAGTTATTGAAGTATTAATTTTATTTTCAGTGGATGGCCAATTGCCAGTAAATATAGAAAATTCTTTGAATAGTATTTGCCATGGTGTATTAAATGTACTGATGGTTTGTGTCATACTTCCTTATTTGACCATACCATTTATATTACTGAGTATTTTGTTTTATTTCGTCGCCAGATTATTTAGGTATGCAACAATTTATGTTTAATTTTTATGAATTCAATAAAAATTTTCAACAATCGTTTTTATAATTCTAGAAAAACTTTAAGAGATTTACAACGGCATGAAAGTGCGTCAAAGTCACCGATTTTTAGTTTTGCCACAGCCACTCTTCAAGGGCTTGATACTATCCATGCGTTTAAAAAAGAAACGCAATTTATTGAAAAGTAAGAGGGAGTTTTATTGTAAATTTAAAAAAGAAATTAACAAATATTTATAAAAAATTCATTTGATTTTAGATTTTATGAATACATCGATATCAATGGTACGTGTGAATTCTTGTCATCTGTATTACTCCGATGGGCCGCAATTAGATTCGACTTTTTAACTATAATTGCGTATGTGTGTACTGGATTTACGGTAGTTTTATTAAGAGGTAGCATACCACCTGCAATGGCAGGTCTTGCGCTATCTTTCTGTGGCCAAATGACTGGTTTTTTGCAATATACTATAAGATTATTATCGCTAACTGAATTGAAATTTATCAGCGTTGAGAGAATGGGTTTTTATTTAAAAGTAAGTTATTAAAGTTAAATATAATTTAAAAATATAAGAATCAATAATTATGAAGGTATATTTTTTTGTAGACTTTAAAAAGTGAAGATGAATTTACAAAGGAGCCTACGTCAAAAAAATCCTATGATAACTGGCCACAAAAAGGTGCTATTGAATTTAAAAATGTTGAGTTAAGGTATAGAAAAAATACTCCAATCATTTTAAATGGTTTAACGTTTAATGTAGTAGCTGGTGAAAAATTGGGTACGTTGAATTACTCATTGACCATAATTATATCAATATATTATTGGTCATATTATTTTAATTTGTTTTTGCAGGAATAGTAGGTCGAACGGGCGCGGGAAAAAGTTCTTTAATCACTGCGTTATTCAGATTAGTAGAATTATCAAATGGTTCTATAAAAGTTGATGGAAGAGATATAACAACAATAAGTTTAAATCAACTGAGAAGTAAGCTATCAATAATTCCCCAAGATCCTATTTTATTTAATGGATCAGTAAGATACAACTTGGATCCGTGGAAAGTAAAAACTGATGAAGAAATTTGGTCTGCTCTTGAAATAACAAAACTAAAAAATAAAGTTTTAACAATGCCTGGGCAATTAAATGCATTTGTTGATTCTGGTGGGTCTAATATGAGCATGGGTGAACGACAATTGCTCTGTTTAGCGCGTGTTCTTTTACGAAAAAATAAAATAATTATTTTAGATGAAGCTACGGCATCAGTAGACCCTCTAACCGAGTCTATTGTCCAAACGACTATACAAGATCAGTTTTCTGACTGCACAATGATGATAATTGCCCATAGATTACAAAATGTTTTATCTTGTGATAGAATTCTTGTTATAAACAGTGGTAAGATTGTAGAGTTTGACACGCCTGGTAATTTACTTGATAATCCGGAGTCTCAATTTTCAAAAATGATGAATGCTGCGGACAAAAAAAACAATAACTATTAATTTTTATATAAATGCGATTCAATCATACAATAATCAAAATGTATTTTTAATCAAATAACAGTGTATTATAAATAAATAATTGCATATATGTTTTGTATATAAACTGGGTGTCTTTTAATTTTTTTAATTAAATTTTCCAATTGCACCATGTGTTGAAATATGACAACTCATATACCTATACTTGTATACCTATTGTACATATAATAATATAATATAATATATTAAAGTAAATACATAAATAACGGTATCCTAAATATTCCTGGCCAGAGTTGAGCACCCTGTTATATATACAGCGCAGTATCAATAATAAATACGCCACATAACACGATAAGTTCGTAGTAAGCTGAAGCGCTATTCCATTAGTTACTATGTTGTAATATTTACATCAATACATAAGGTTGTTGTTTTTTACGTCTATGACACTGCCACTCACAGAGTGAAAACTTTTTGAGGTACGTAATTTGAAATTATTATAAAAAAACAATTTAATATACAAAATACAACTGCTATTTGCTGAATAATTTAAAATTGAACAAAATTTTACATTGCTATGTTAAAAAAAGACTCTTTTTAATAACCTCTATTTTCACATTTCCAAACGATGAAACTGAATTTAAAAAAAATTACAATTATTTATTAAAGTTAACTATTATATATCTTGTTTTACTATCAATGTTAGTTGATGTATTAATATTGAAGTGACGTAGATTGCTATCATTAATCGTAATTAATTTTGTAGAAAATAAAATTAAAAAAATTGATAATATTTCACCATCATAGATAATCTATATTTATGTTGACAGTTATTAAGTTCTGAAGTATTAAAAAATTTTAACTAATTTTATTTAATCCACAAAATTAATTAATTTCATTGCTACTGTTTTTTAGATTAGAAGAATAAATTTTTACCTTTGCTCAAAAGATTCATAATACTGTTGAAATATAAAAATCTTAGTACAATTTTATTTACTTAATAAAAGGATCAATACTGGACGTCAGATAAGTTCACATAGATAAAAAAATAAAACTTACTGGCCTTGATATTCAAGAAAATGGAGTTCAATTGTGGTATACATACATAATTTTATTATTTATTAAATTGATTAAAACTAAATGCACAATTTCAACGTAAATTATGAACAATAATTATATTTTTCTAGGACAAAATACATTCGTGCCATTCACTTCAACCGATGAGATGGTTAAAAATGGTCTCGTGTGTATCGTATCAACAAAATATATGACCATCTCTATGATGGAAGAATTCAGTGATAAATCATTCGAAGAACTGCATTTAGAAAATTACAATGCGAGAAAGTCAAGTTTCGGCAACAATAATGAAGATTTTTCAGCTTCTAAAAAAAAAAGTACGAATGATCCTGTAACTAACGAAAATGATCAGTTTAATGATATTAAGGATCTCATGGACGAATTAGTCAAAACTTTATGTAAAATAATGTTAAAAGTGAACCAGACTGCTTTTAACAACCTAACACCATCTACAGCTATTGAAACACAATTAAGCAGTTTTCCTTCTGCGAGTATCAAAATCACACCATCTACCCATCCATCGAAATTCGATCCTTTTCTTGGCAACTTCCCTTTTACCGTCAATACTACTACTATAATGTCAACTGAACCATCCACTAATGTAACTAACTCTTTTAAATTTAACTGTACACCACCAACTAATAATGTTTCTTTCGCACCGACGACAAAATCCTTTTTCAACACTCCAATGGTAAATCATATTCCTACTTTCAGTCCCGTTCAATCGAATAAGGATTTATTTCCATTACGAAATACTAATTCGAATGCATTAACTACTTCTACCTGGCCATCAAAACCCTTCACTAAATCTGTTTTTGCTCCTAAACAATCTACTTTTAATAAAACCTCAACTACAGAAACAGCATCTTCTACTTCAAATCCTACTTTTCAATCTGATCCATTATTGAAACCTTCAGGATTTGTTTTTAATCCAACAACATCTTCATCATATTTTTTGAATAAAACATCAACTACACGATCAGACCCCTTTATTAAACAACCCACATCATCAAATCACAGTTGTTGGTTTAATTCACCTCTTGATAACCCTTTCACAAAATCAACGACCACTCCTGCGGCCTTTAATTCTTTTCCATCATCAAATTTCAATAATGACGCTAAAAGTTCGGCTAATTTTTTCCATTCCCATTTAAATAAGCAAAATCAGAATTCTTTCTCAACTCGGCCATCAAGTCCTCCTTTGTCTGACCTTACTTTGACAAATGGTATCTATATTCACAAACCATTCAGAAAAAATAAAAGGTAATATTATTCTTTCATGTTTACTTAAAAAGTTGTGAGATAAACTGTATATAAAATTTTAATTAAAATTTTTATTTTCAGCAAAGAAATAGGTGAAAAAAAAGAACTCAATGCCGATGAATTTGTGTTATCGATAATAAATTGCACTGAAACGCTGGAAAAAATTGCTTTTAAAGCTCATAAATCAAAATTAATTGGAATCTGTGAAAAGTATAACACACATAAAACTAACATTTTAAAGTCTACATTTGTTCAATTACAAGTCATGAAGTCAAGGTTTAAATCTTATGAAAAGTTTGCTTTCATCAGTGAGTCTGCTGGATTTTTAAACGCTACAGTAAAAGATAATATTTTGTGTGGCAATACGTTCAACCCTCAACTCTATTATAGTACAATTGTATTATGTCGTTTGAAAGACGACATTGATTCGTTCCCCTTTGGTGATTTAACGCAGGTTGGAGAGATTGGGATTGAATTATCAGATGCACAAAAACAAAAGATTGGACTTGCTAGAGCATATTATGACAACCAGTAAGTAAATTTTATATACAATTTATTTGTATGTTTATATTTTTTTTTTTAATAAAATTTTTTTTTTATTCACAGAGACATATATTTCTTGCATAATGCATTCGATAAAATTGATAGTAAAGACGCTCGTTTTATATTTGAAGCTTTAATTCTTGGTGCTCTTAAAGAAAAAGTTATTATTCTGATGGATGATAATCCTTCTGTAAGTACTTTAATAATTTCATTTATTAGCATTAATCAACTCTTTTTATTAATAATATAAATTTTTTAGCGTTTTGGTCATTGTAACACAATTTACATGTTAAGTAAAGGTACAATCGTTGAAAAAAATAATCATAAATCGCTGTTGAAGAATAATGAATTTTATGCTGCATTATTTAAAAAGCATGATTTCAATAGTGTTGTAACTGAGAAAGCAAATGAAAATGACAACACTGAATCGAAGAAAGGAATTCAAGAACAAATTGATGATGGCAGAGAGATGTATAGAAAATATTTAGGGCTCGACAAAAAGAACGAGGAAGACTATATTGACTTTCCAAGTATTCAAAATGAAAACCAAATTAGTAATATTGAAATAAAAATACCTGATCAACAAGAAGACAAACAAGAAAAACAACTCGACGAGCCTGCAAAGGATGAGCCTGACGAAAAATCTATTGATACTAAAAATGATGAAGTTGAAAATGATTTTGAAATTTGCTAAGAAATATATGAAAATCAATTTAACAGACATTTGATCATTTTTAAAATTTTTGTAACATAAATTTGGCATGTAGAAATTTAAAAAAATTAAAAATCCAATTTTTTAAAAATAATTTTTCGGTACAAATTTTTTTTATTAAATAAAATTTAAAAAAATGGTCAAGTGACTGCTAACTTTCATTTCATAAGAAATATTCAAGTTAGTTAAAACTTTTTCAGAACTTTGTAATTTAAAAAAAAAGAAATTATCGTAAGAAGTATACTTTATCTAATATAATTTATGAAATATTCAAATAATAATCATTGTTACTATAATTTTTGGTTCTTTATTCATTAAAAAATTGCCAGTGTTAATTTTTAAAAGTAATCATCCAGAAATGGATGTAAACAATTCTATAATAAACATAATTTATCATAAAATGTTTGTGAAAAAAGTATTTATATAAGATTTTATCTTTATACTCTCGTGTGCTATGTTTGAGAATGTTCTTTCTATCCAAAAATATAAAAATATGACATATTTTCTAATTAAAAGTTTTGTTATTTCTCCCTATAAAATTGCTTTTATGATACAATTTAACATTTCAAAATATTAACCAATAAGTTTGAGTTATCAGTCATAATTGACCAATAAGACGATACTCCGCAAATTCGTTTGATCATCACAAGACTTACGACAATCAGCGCTACTGGTGTACTTTTCTATCATTTGTCATCGAGCAACGCATTAACTGGTTTGTCGTCAACTGTCGATTGTTTAGTCTTAGTCAGGTTTGTTTTGTCATTTAGTATTGTTATGTGTATCTTTAATATTTAATCCAATCCATGCATTGTCAAACATAAGCATCCAAATATTTTTGCAATGAGTCAGCATCCTTGTTCATAAATTCGACACTTGTAATATTAATTCATCATTAGTGGTATCTTCATTTTTGTGAATAGTGTTAACGGCATATTTTGGACGCTTCGCTTTTAGTTAAAAGTAAGATTTATTTTTATCAGTAATTTACAATAATGGTTTGTGCACAATATTCAATTTTATATAAGTCATATTAACTCTTGTTTGATCAAGTGACAGTATTTTTATTTTATTATTGCAACATTTTATAAAATTTAAATTAAGCCACGTGCAGTGTGTTATTTTTAATTGAATTTGATAATTTATTATTTTCAGCGTCCATCATGGATAATTTTCCAGATAAAAAACTAAACAATCTGAATTCACCTAAAGTTGCTGAAAAAGTAATTAACGTAGATGAAAATATGTCCAAGAATCCAGAAGAATCGGTTAATTTGCAGAGTAGTAGCACAAAACAACTACCAGATAAAGTAATATTGCAAACTACCCAGATAAGTGCTGAAAGTTTACCACATTCTCATTTAATTGAATCAACTATTCATGAGACAAAGATGACTAAGAAATCAAGATTGCATAAAAGATCTACGCCAGAAGACTCTCAACGTGGTCATGAAAATATTTTTTGGGACCAACATGTATCTAAAAATGATGAAAGTTTAAATATTAATTCAGCGAAAGCTACAAAACCACCTATTAACGATGGTCATATCGGCAATTTTTCTTTACCAAAATTACCGAGTAAAAATACTCCGACTCAAGGGCTTAATGATGGACTTTTTGTTTTCGGTGAGCCAAAAGTCAATGTTGAAACGAAACAATTTACGTTTTCTTTAAAACCCAAAGAAGTTCAAAGAAAGTATGAAATATTTTTTATTTATTTATACCGAAAGAGCTTTCAATGTAATAAGCTAATTTAATTTTTAATATTTTAATTTATACTGTTTTTCAATTTAAGGAGTGCTTCGCCTGATAAAAAACAACTCAACGAAGATGAATCATTGATTTCGCTCCTAACGTGCATTAATAGTTTAAACACAATTATTTCTAAAGCAGAAAAATCAAAGGTGATCGGAATCTTTGACAGCCCGAAATCTAATGACACAAATACAATTAAGTCCGCTTTGTTGCAACTACGTCTCGCGCCTGATAAAGCTCCATGGGTTGAAAAAGCTGTTTTTGTCAACAATCAAGTTCCAGCGTCTGAGTTTATTATTAGAGAAAACATTCTATTTGGAAATGAATACGATGCCCAACGTTACCATTCAGCGATTGCACTGAGTTGCTTACGAGAAGACCTTAAATTGTTAGCAAATGGTGATAAAACTGTAATTGACAAGAAGCATTTACAATTGACAGACACACAAAAAGAAAAGCTTGCTCTTGCAAGAGCGTTTTACGCTAACACGTAATTAATTTTTATACTCAATTTTTATTATAGTAAAAATACTTTACTAAAATTAGTTTCATACTCTTTCAGAGATATTTATATCTTAGAAGACGTTTTGAATTCAATTGATAAAATTACTGGAGAATGCATATTTGAAACTCTTATCCGAGGCGCTTTAGAAGAAAAAGTCGTTATTTTCATCACTCACAACCCAACGGTAATTAATTTACATACAAGTTTTTATATTTAATTTAATAATATAATTTTATTTTACATTTTTTAGTACCTTAGTCAGTGTGATGAGATATATGTAATAACAAATGGTGAAATAATAGCGCAAGGGGATCATCGATCATTATTACAATCTAATGAGCTTTATGCATCTATGATCAACGCTTCTATTGATAGTATCGTTAATAAAAAGTATTTTCAACTATTATTTTACAAATTATTTATTACTATTTATTTGAATTGTTTTCGTAATTAATTTTAATTTTTACAGCGTACAAATAACAATGAAGGATGAATTAAATTCCAGTGAGAGAAAAAAAGCCGCGGCGCGTACTCTGCGTCTCAACATCAAAATAATGATTATTTTTTTCACAATTGTATTGACGTTACTGTACGTGCTTCAACACGTGTCAATGGAACAGTTTTGCAGTTATGTGAGTTATGTAGCATCTACGATAATGTAAGTGTCTTGACTAAATTTTTTTTATTATTTCATTTGATAATCGTACTTATTCCATACTTATTTAATTTTTAATTTTTAATTTGTTTTTAGGAAAATAGTAACAATTTTTGATGATGTATAGTATCTCGCATGTTATCTTCTCGAAGTTTAATTTTCATCGCGCCTCTAGAAAAATCATAAGCTGCCGATGAAATTATAGATTACCATCGATATTTTCAACCAAAAAAATTTAGTTAATTACTTTTCATTTTGTATTTTTATATCTCTGCATACATCATAGTATTTTCAGTCATTTACTTCTATCATTTCATAAAATTAAATTATTTCCTCTTATTTATTTAAAAAAAAAAAAAAATGTGTTCTGTAATGTTTAAGTCGACTTAAAATAATAAGTATGTTATTTATATTGTGAAATTGTTTGCGTTCGTGGATTATATGAGCCAAAAAAATTATATTAAAATGCTATAAAAATTTATGTTTCAATATTTGTTATAAGTACAAGAATTACGATTTATGTTGAATAAAAAATTTGTATGTAATGAATAACTTTCTTGTTGCTTACTATAATTTGTCAATTTATATTATATTTTTACTTTTTATACATTTTTAATCGTTAAAATTCTGCTTGAAATTTTGAAACTCAAATCTCGGAATCACATGGTAGTGGGGTCATCTGAGTGATCCAAACGGAAATGTAGCCAATGTAATAATTGTAAAGGAATTCAAAAAGTAACTTGCTCTTTAACAAATTATATACATTTAATACTTCATACATAACACTTAATATATGTCAAATAATAGTAAATTCTATATAATAAAATACACACATTAAAACATTTAAATATCATATTTATGAAAAAAATTAAACTGTAACCCATGAAACATTACAAAAGAACGACAATTGATCTGTCTTCTAAGTCTTCTATGAAAAAAAAAAGATGTTTTTGTTCCTTTAATATTGATAAATTTTGAGAAAGTGTATAAATAAATAATAGTTTAAGTTGAAACAAATAAAAAACAGTTTGATTTTAATATTTTATATAATTAACAAAAAATTACTTTATAAAGAAAAATAAATAATTTCCCATTAAATAAGCGATTTTTTGTTTTATTTTAGTAATCAATATTTGTATATTTTAATAAATAAAAACAATAAATATTTTCAAGAAGAATTATTCTTATTTAGAATAAAAAGGTTGTGTTTGAATTTAGATTATATAATTTAAATTTCCTTCACCGCCAGTTTACCTTACCGAAAAAAAATTTACCTTACCGACAACTAATTTCTTACTTATATGACTTAGAAGAGACTTAGAAGACAGATCAATTGTCGTTCTTTTGTAATGTTTCATGGGTTACAGTTTAATTTTTTTCATAAATATGATATTTAAATGTTTTAATGTGAGTATTTTATATGTATATAACTTGTTAGAGAGCAAGTTACTTTTTGAATTCCTTTACAATTATTACATTGGCTACATTTCCGTTCGGATCACTCAGATGACCCCATCGTAGTGCGCATATATACAACGTGCGGAAATCTATTTCAGTTATGTTGCTTATTCGTGTTGTGTACTCAATCGGTAATGTAAATATCTACGAATAAAATGGAATGTCAACAATAACATTTTAAATCATTACACACGTTTTATTTAATATATAAAAATAAAATACTGAGACAAAATGTCAGTGAAGATGAAAACTAATGTAAGTTACTTTTAATTAAGTTATTCATTTATTGTTTCGCTTATTATATGTAAATTGTCAATTAGTTTTTGTTGAATTATTTTTACAAATGATTTCTCTTTCAGATGTTCTTTCGCATGTTTGTAACGAAAACAAAATACCTTGCACAAAAAGAACTTCGTTTACTTGATAACGATCAGATAGAAACGTCACAAAAATTACCTTTTAATGAGGACACAGATTTAGAAGTCAATAAATCTGACGACTTGGACGAAGAAGTCTCACTGGGAAACATCAAAGGCAATGCAAAGGTTATCAAGGCACTGAAAGACATGGGCGATGTTGATGTAAATCGCATTCCGCAAATTTGTTTGAGTAAAGTGCAGTCCCCTAAGTTACTATACTTGTTAAATAAAAATACCGCTAAAGATCTTGCATCAATAATTGCAAATGATATCATTCAATCTAATGTACCTGTCGTAGAAGTTAATTCCGGTCCTGGATTTCTAACTGAAGAATTACTTAAAGCTGGTGTTCCTCGAATTTATATGAATGAAAAATACGAAGAATTTTATTGGTATCTTGAACCACTTTTGAAAAAATATGGCAAGCGATTGAGTTTACGAAAATACAATCTTTTACAACTAAGTTTTATTCAATCTTCAGACAACAGAATTATTGGCAACAAAATGCAAGATATTTTTGGAGGAATTGATACAAAACAATGGGATCAGGAACCATCAATGCAAATAATTTCAATAGTACCTAATAAACCATTTTTATATAGCGTACAATACTCAATGATAGATCAATATTTGTCTAGCTTTGGACGTATTATTTTATACATCGTGACCAAGCCATCAATAGCTAAAGTAAGTATAATTATATAAAAATATATATATTTTTAATAATTTTAATTAAAATTTTTTACATCATTTTTAAGGTTTTTGAAGATATTCCTGATTCTTCTCTTCACAAACCCAGAAATATTTTTCTTCAGACGATGTTTGACTCAAAAGTACTTGGTTCATTACCAAGAGCATCATTTTTCCCATTTAATTCTAACACAAAGAAAAAACGACCGAATTTGAAACTTTACATAGATGATAATGAAAAAATGTCTGTCATGAGATTAGAAGCCAAGAAAGATTTTTTATCTGATGATTTTACAAAGCACGATGCTTTAATGTTTCTATATTTTTTAAAATCTCATATGAGAAGACGTGATGCGCGAATTATACCAGAATTAGAGTAAGTTTTAGTTAACTCCAAATACAAAAAATTTTATTAATTCTGTTCTATGTACCTAACATTTTTATTATATTCTTTTTAGAAAACTAATGCCAGGCTGTGGGAGACAATTGATACGACATAATTTGAATATTTATTCAAGATTTTCAGAATTGTCATCGTATCAATTATTTATTTTATTTAAAATAATCAAGTCTTGGGCGCAATTTGAAAACAGTTCATTTGTCGAGGATTTGAAGTTTCGATTTGAGCAAGAAACGTAGCCGTATTTTTATTTTTATCTGTTTACTCGATTATTTAAAAGAATTATAGTTATTCAAAAAATTCATGTAAATATTTATCAGTTGTGAAAATGATTTTCATTAAAATTGTTGATCGTTAATAACTTAGCTGTATTTTTAGGTAGATTTCATAGAAATCAATCTATTGCATTGGTCCTCATGTCGGAATTCATTCGGAATTTTGTCGTAATATCACTTAACTAGTCGAGTAAAGCTTAAAAATAACGTTAGTTAAAAAATCGAATCTAGATGAAATTTGTTACACATATTCTTTAGATAATAACCTTGAATGAGTTCGAAGATGAGCGAAATCCATCGATAAGTTTAGAAATGGCAGCTCTTCAAAATTATCAAAATAGTGAAAATCACGTTTTCGGTGACTTCATTAATGTATAACTTTTGGTTGAAATGAGATGGCTAATTTTTGATGAATTCATGTAAAAGCTCATAAAATTGCCTTTAATTTGACGTATATAACATTGACATTTTGACCATTTTTAGTTATTTTATCAAGGTTAAGAGTTTGACTGAACCATTTTCAGGCAATGTGTAGTGCAGGCAACTTATGAATGTTATTCTGTCGAGAATTCGTAACAGATCCCAATGAAATTTAGTATACAAATTCATTTGACAATTAGCTTGCATGAGCCTTAAAATGAGCGAAATCCTTCGATTAGTTCAGAAATAGTAGCTCTTCAAAATAATCAAAATAGGAGAAATTATACGTTTTCGGTGACTTCATTTATGTATAACTTTTAATAGCAAAAAAATAGCTCATTTTTGATAAATTTACTCAAAAACTCATAAAAACACTTCTTATTTGACGTATATAATGTTAACTTTTTGACCATCATTAGTTATTTTATCGAAGTTAAGAGTTCAATTGAACCATTTTCAATTGAACATTTTCAGGCAATGTGTAATACAACCTACTTATGTATGTTAAAATAAATTTCATTCCATGTCAAACGAAAGTTATTAAGACAAGATGATAATTAATTCTATGAAATCTACTTTCCATTTCGGGTATGGCCGAATGGCGTTTTTTTATATATTAAATTAATTAAAAATCTTCAACATGAAGATAATCATTACTTTTCATTTAATCTTACTTCGTTTGTGAACTTTAATCTTTCGTTTAATCTAACTCGACTGATCGGCCACTCTTTGAATACATTTATATTAAGTACTGACTTGTTTTTAAAACGAGGAAAAAAAAAAAAGAATTAAACGTTGAAGGTTTCAATGCCAATAACTTTCTATTTTTGTATAAATTATCTGGGGATTTTCGAGCATCACTTGTCAATTTTTTGTTTCATCTACTACACACGCCTGTACCAAGAAGTTTACTTTATAATGATAAAAGAAATATTTTTATTTTTTTCGCTTATTGGGGTTTCTCTAAGTCAAGATATTGCTTTTCCTGATGATGATGATGAAATAAAAATTCGAATTCATACTACGTCAACAACACAAAAAACTACAACTAGTACTACTTCTACAACTCCTTTTAAAATTGTAAGTAAATTTCCGATTAATTCATAGCTCATAAAAAACTTAATATATTAACATAATTTTTTTTATTGTACATGTTGTATACTAGAGTGAAACAAGCGTAAAAGTGTGTCCGGTGAATATGACAATTGTCACCGAAAATGGTGAAACTATTTGTGAATGTGTCGCAGGATATGTTTATTATTTGCCTTTGGACAGTTGCTTCCTACCTTACAGCCGGGGACCATGTACATCAGGATATCATTTAGCTTTTCCTAATGGCGCAATGGCAGTTGAGTGTTTAAAAAATCCCTGCGATGATGATTCTGTAGTGTACCAAAATAAATGCCACAAGCTTCTAAAATCGGGCCCACCATGTCCTGAAGGTCAAACATTGACTGTCAGTGAAGAAAATTATGAAATAATGTGTCAAGAAGTAATGCCAATTATCTATCAATTAATAGTGGCTCCAACAAAACGCTGTTCGGCTGGTTCACGTATGGCAGCTCGCGGAATATGCCGACAACTTTTATAAATTTTGTTTCTTTATCAATACTTTAAATTACATGGAATAATCAATGCCGATATTAAATACTAAATAAGTTGGACAAATTTATCTTTACGCAACCATTTTTCACGCTCGAATCATCGATTGGATAGTTCAAGGACGTGTATCTCAGTGATGTTTTTATTTTAAAGTTTTTTAATAATAGTAATATGAATCTTTGCTTTAATTTTTTTTTTTTTTTTCTGTAAAAATTAATGATAACAATTTTATATCATCAGAGTTAAACTTTTATTTTTGTTAATGGATATTTGTCAAACTTAACTAAAAATTAAAAATCCTTAATAAAAACGATTTACCGTTAACCTTAGTATTTAATTTAATTGATAATCCTTTCAATTTTTATGCTAGTTAGCCTTGAAACTTTTAAGTGAAGATTATAGATTATAGTTAATCTGTTTATTTTTCAATTTAAATATTAAAAAAAAAAACTGAATTTATAGTGACTAAGTACAGAATAAATCTCCCCCATGAAAATATGAGTATATTTTTCTTATTTGGAGAGTCCCATCGGCAATCTAATAATAGGAAGGGAAAACCAGTCTTTCGTCAGTTTAGATCGAGTTCACGGTAGCAGATCATTTAATAGCATAAAACTCATCTGATCAAACAACATCTGCCTTTTTAAAAGATGATGTGGATTTACTTATCAAGTATTTTAATGTTTGTAATGTGCAATTCTCAAGATATTCTTTTTCCAACTGATGAGGAGACGTCATATATCAGTGGAAATATAACAATGGTGAGTTTTTAATTTTAATAAAAATTAAAAAAACAGTAAATAAATATCTAATTATTTTTTCGTAAAATGTAATTTTTTCGTAAAATGTAATAGTTGACGGAACGAATACCAGTTTTTATTCCGGACACATGTCCAGACAATATGTTACTTTATCCAGGAGCCGGTAATAAAAGTGTCTGGATTTGTGATTGTAGACCAAGATTTCTCTACTTTCCATTAAGTCATTCATGTCATGAAGCTTACAGACAAGGTCCATGTAGCAAAGGCGAATATGTCGTGTTACCTTCAGATGAAGTTGTACCACGATGCCAAGTTAATCCGTGTGGTGAAGACGATTTAGTTAATTATAATGGTGTTTGCTACTATCTAAAAACTAAAGGAGGTCCCTGCGCACCTGATGGAGTACTTGGTGTTAATGAAACTACTTTTAAAATCCAATGTATATCAACCGATCTTGCGCCATTTGTTATTATAGATGTACCACAACTAACGTGTCCTCCAGGAAGTCGGAGAAATTCTCTTGGTGTTTGTAAACCACCCCTTAAATCTATACCATAGACATCATTAATAATTTATCAATTTTATTTTATTTAATACGTTATTTATAATATTTATTCAAATAATAAAAATTTGTATTTATATAAAACAAAATATATTTTTATTTATACTTTTAGAGTAAACAATCAATTAGTTTTCTTCTTTGTTTAAACTTATATACAGAATTTGGTTAAAAAGTTTTTTTTAAATTATTGATGAATAATTTTTTATGATATGTACATTACTTTTATCGTCGTAATTTTTTGAATATAAAATCTAACAAATCTAATACTGGCTACAAGTTATACATTTTTGTAGTATGTAATACATTGTATTATTAATAACGTAAGCACATAAATTTCATACAATAAAAATTTTTATTGTATTTTTATTCTTTGGAATAAAAAATATATCAATTGGAAAAAAAAACTTTTTGTTCTTATAGTGACTATAATATGATATATTAAATTCATTTACAAATAATATTTATGTCTGTATTATAATATCAAATTTTTCAAGAATATATGTAATAATAAGTAATGGTATATTCATAGATGTGTGTAGAAAAAAAATATTTTTCACCAAAATGATTGTAATAATTAAATAAATCAAATATTATGCATTGTTTATTAATTGATATTCAAAGTAAATTATATAATTATAAATTATTTATTGGTAAAATTTTTAAATGAATCTGTAATTAAATTAAAAACGTAGTAAGTTTTGATGTAATAGTACATTTGTCATGTTCGCCTACAATCTTACGAATATACCACGTACAATAATGTGAATTGTTATCAAATAGTATTTTTGAAATGAATTTAAAATTAAAATAATTTATAAAAAAACTAAAACAATCAGTTAGTTAATTTCGTATGGTTGGCTGATACCTGCACCCTCTATCAATCTTTGTCTTTCTCTAAACATGGAAACTTTCATGTTTTCAAGCTGATGATACTTGAGTAATTTAAGAACAGCGAAAACTGAAAGACCAACCCAAATAGAAAGACTGCTCCAGGCTCCAAATTGAGCGACACCTAGTTCAATATAAAATCCAGATGTATTAATACCGTCATTCTTATCAATATCATTACCAGCTGCTAGATCACAAGATGGAAATCTCTTGGACATGCATTGGCACCATGTCATGAAACCGAGAGTTATAAACGTCGCAGCTATCAGAGTCACAGTCGCTAGGAATATTGAGCTGACTACATCCACAAAAGCTGACAGAAACGAACTATCTTCTCCATGATACATCAGCATTGAGAGTCTGTATATTTGTACCAAAGACGTAATCAGAAGGATTAATCCTACGAATATCGTATAGTTGCAATAAATTTGTGATCCCCAGCTGACAACTAATTGTCCGTCTGTTTCTTGCCAAACTCCAGTTGAAAAAAGAAGACAATGTCCTCTAAAAAAAAAAAATTTTAATTATTATTATCATCAGGTAATTAAATAGTTTTTTTTCTTTACAATTATAATAATAATAAGAAGAAGAAGAAGAATAGATTACTTAAATTCATCCTGATGGAGACTCATAGGTACAATAATGCATAATGACAGTATTGAAGCGACGACATATCCGGCAACTTGACTTATCAACAAAACGTTTGTCAAAGCCATGATCGGTTACTTTTGTTGTCTCGTTACTTCCAGATGAGTAATAAATAATCGTCACAATCTCTTTATTGAAGATTCACAATTAAACTCACTTTTAGCAAAATTGCACGTAAACGAATTAAACATTTGATGTTATTTTTTAGGGAGAGTCTAAATACACCATTAGTCGAACTTTATTTTTGTAAATAATATTTAACAAGTTTTTATATTTATTATAAATAACATATTTTGTAATTTTGTAAGTGCGTGCAAAGTCTTGATTTCATTGTGTATCTTTTTCTGTCATGACAGTGTATATAAATGAATTGAGAGCCCTCTTTCGTCAATTACCAATAATTTTTAAAAAAGAACATTCTTTTTACCGATTATCAGTTATTTCAGGAACTTTCTTATCGATTTAAAAAATAAAGCGGTTTTTTAAATATTTAAACTCAGGAACTAAAATAAACGAAAATTCTCTCATTCCGTAATACTTGAAATAAAAAACTTATTCAACAATATCTAAATCATAAAAATGATAATAAAACGTTGAAGAAAGGAATAATTATAAAAGCTTTTGAAAATATTTATGTGGTCAGTTTTAAATGTTGTTTTTTTTTTAAACAACAAGTACAGTTTCCCACTAACAACTAAATCCATTCAAGGAGAGATTAATATACTAGTTAACAATATTTATATTTTTAATATTAATCAAGAGCTATTACTACGATCCCTTATCTCTTAGTCATCGTGATAAGAATTTGCAATAAGTATTACATTTATCTTTATCCCTCGCAGTAGCACTAGAATAACGTCATAATGTGCATTAACTTCAAATTTTGTGTTTTTTTGTTTATCGCTTCAGCCTATGGCCAAAGTAAGTCTTATTGACACATTTATTATAAAATAAAAAAAAAATTTATTTTTTTTATGCAATAATGTTACTTGATTCAAGTTTATTTATAATATTCTTCTTCTTCTTCTTCTTTCTAATCACCAGAATGTTCTTTTAAACGGCCAAATGGAACTGAAGTATCACCAGATGAAATCAAATATGGAATCGTGTTAGATCCGATTCAAGATACTGCGAGCCCTGGACTTATATTGTTAACTTATATTACAACTGATGTAAGTTCCATTTCAACCCCAACAACTTCATCTAATAAAGGACGTTTTTTTATGACACCATCTTTTCAAAACAATCAGTTTCAAGTAGTTTTAGCTGATATTTTTGCAGACTATGAAAAGTATGAGGTAATCAATAAAATTAATTCATTTTTCATAATTAAATTAACATAAGCACCACAAAAAAATGTAAACTATTTGGAAGGTTTTATTCAACAAGAAGTCAAAAATTAATAATTGTCAATCTTTAATTAATATAAAAAATTATTATCATTTTTTTCAACTAGACTAAAGATTCTAACAGTATCTACGTAACATTCAACTGTAATGGAGGAACAACAACAACCCTGGTAATTATTTATAAAGAAATGAATATCTCATTATAAAAAAAATATTAATTGATCATTAATGATATTCCAGGAAATAATCTTACGTATAATAGACACAAATAATCATGATCCGCAGTTTGTAAATGCGCCGTACAGTTATAAAGTATCGATGCCCTTACCGAAGAACTTTCCTCTGCATGTTCTCTACGGAATTTCAGCTAGAGATGTCGATTTGACTAACAATAATATAACGTTTTTCGTAAATGAATCTGACATCAATAGTCAAGGATTTTCTGCGTCCTGGTTAGCAACTGACTCAGTTGATACTAAATTACATCGTGCTTCATTAATCACTACAACTGCTATTAATTTTAAAAACGACTTCTCATTCAAAGTTTACGCTCGAGTAATTTTTATACTTAATTATTAACTTTTTATCGCTACTTTTATCAAATGTTATTGATAAATTTTTTTTTAGGATACAGGAAGTAATCCCAGAACAGTTTCTGCGCCAGTGACGATAATAGTTGATAAAGATAATTCTATTTTGCGATTCGCAAAACCAATTTACATTGCGGATTACAGTGATCTGACGCCTGAAGTGGCTAATGGAACAATATTTACATTTCAACAAGGTGATATTTTATTGAGCGTCGGTGCTGATGATTCTGTTAAATATTATCTTCAGGAAGAATCAAACGGTAAATTTTATTAATCAACTTATTCATAACAAGCCAATAAGTAGTATAATTTATAAATAAAAAAAAATCCTCTTAATAGAATATCAAGAGAATTTTCACTTGATTACACATTCAAATGGATCAATAAAATTACAACTGATAAATCCTCCCAGCAGATTTTTCAATGAAAGTTTTGTCCTATTGATACTCAATGTAAGTATAAATTTAATTAATTTTATAAACATTTTCAAAAGCAATAATTATTATTCAATTCATAGGCGACAAAACCGGGAGTCGATGATATTGCAGTTTTGCATATTTCTCTTCCCGGAAGATCAACATATAAAAATTCTTCAATATCTACAACAGAATCACCTAAAATAGAGTTTAGTAATGATGATAGTGCCGACTCTACTGCTTTAATTGTTCTAGGAGTTTTGTTGGCCGTAATTACGATCGCGTTGATTGTTATGATCATTATTTACAAGAGGTAGAACAATAGAATAGTTAATTTAAATTTTTAATTAAGTATTATATAATTTTTATCTCATTTATTCAGACGAAGTACACCTGTAGTGACGGAGAAAGTAAATGGCATTCAAGAAAAAAATGAAGATATGGTAGAAGTTGAGAGGTAAATTATTTATTTTCTTTTTGCAAATAATTACAGTAGTAGTTAAGTATAATTAAACTTGATCGTTCTCACGTTTATCGAGTTTAAAAAATAACAAAGGAGTTACCTTAACAGGTAGTTTTATTAGAATCTAAAACCTAAGCGCGTGGTGATGATCAAATGTTTTTATTCTATTTATCTTGCGTTGTTGCCTAACCATATACAAATTAAGTAGTAGGAAAGAAGGTCATGGTGTATATATGCGTGATAAATCCTTGCATATTATCACGCACGATCCACAATAATTTTATTCAGCTATTGTTATATTGGCTAAACTTTTGTTTTGATTTATAGATAAATTTAATTAATTAATTAACAATAGGCATACAATGCTCAATAAATTTTATATTTTTCAGAAATAGTTCAAATCCAGTTTCATCTGCGAGAAGATCAGTTGCGTTCAATGACATCGTTCAGGAAATCAAAATTGCTAGACTATAATAAGTCGCTATTTTAAAATAATAATAGCGTAACCCGGAAGCTCACTTACAGGAAATTATAAATTTACTCATACTTATTTTTAAGTAAAACATAAAATAAAAGTCATTTTTTACAAGACTAAATATTTAAGAAAATACCTAAAATTTTATTATTACAATGCTTAAATAATTATAATTATTTAATAAAATAAAAATATTTATATTATTGCAAAACTTGATTATTAAAATGCAATGCAAGCATCTTTGCATTCTTTTGCGTCGTATAAAAATTGTAAATCGATTTTTTTATTTACGCATCAATTTAATTTCTTCTATCCAATTACTTGTAGAAATAATTAAATAGATTAATTGGGTAGATAAAAGAAGAAAAACATGTCTTAATTTTTGGTGATATTTTTAAAAGCGTTGCTCAGAGTTTAATCCAAGTCCATTCAATCAGAGTACATAGATAGATATAATATATGTTTCTGACCATTCTATAAATTGAGTTTGACCTTGTAGTACTCGGTAATCATACAGACATACCTACTTATATATAAATATAGTCAAGACGTAACTCCAAATTACGATCAAGTAAATTTACATGAATTTGTAATATAAATTTAGATTGTTATATCTATTCCATGAGAGTTTATCAAGAATTTGAGGATTTTTCGGACAAAGTGGAATAGGGTACGTATATAGACATGTATTAAGTAGGGAGAGCTGGTTGTTTGTGGTTGTTCCCCTCCATAATCGTAGTTGCTTCTGCTGTTGCTGCTGGTACCGTTTTATTATGTCGAGCTCGCGATGAGTTTCAGTTGCCGGTTACGGTTGCTTCTTATATCATATAAAGGCAACTCACTTTAGTTTTTATCTTCATATGTATTAGATCACTTGCCAGATCCAATTGTACAGTTGAGTTTGTTTGTTTGTTTGTTTGTTTACTTATTTGAATTCCTTATACTTAAAACTATAATTATTCATCTCCAAAATTAACTTATGAGATTACTTGCTTTTGTGATATGATTCAGTGAACAGTTTACGCGTCTGACAGGTTCATGCAATTATTTTTGGAGGCTGCACGAACTTCTCCGTAATGCGAATTTTCTTTCTTCTTAATTCAGGTATTTTTATTTTTTAAGTAATAGTTGATAAATTAAAAATAAATTATTATTATTATTATTATTATTATTATTATTTAATGACATAGTTTAAAAATATTAGAGATAACAGCATTTTAATTAATTACAAAGACACGTTTGAAGTTTATTAGTTAGTAGTAAGTTATTTATATACTGTTTTGATCGATATGTAACATTGATGGCCAAGTAACGGTTAAAGTTGGTAATTTTTTTTGTTATTAAATATTAATGGAATGAACTTGTATCTAGTCGACGACACCAGCAGTGCAAGTTTGCCTATGTGAACTTGTATTTTATTTATTATCTAAGTGCACGTTACTACAACTATAATAACGCGGGAATTTTTTTTTTCTCATTACTGTTATTACACAGGATAATTTTATGACGTACATAGTTTTTGCACTTTTGTATTTTTAAATTAAAGTTATTTTCATATTTGAATAAAAAAATTTTTTTGCATATCTTTAATCATATTGATCAACGTGTTGCGAGATAATAACATACCTGCTAATTAAATCGATTGAATGTATAGCGATATAAATAATTCATTGAATTACATAATAAATTTAATTGATTTTCATTGTCAAATATTAAAAAAACTAAAATATCAAATAAGTTAAGTGACTGCAACTTGTATATTGGAGAATTTGATCTAGTTAGTTTGATGATTGATGAAGTAACAATGCTGATTAAGACCACGCCTATCATACCTCTAAAGCATTTATTACTTGCTAATTTTGTTTTCAATATAAATAATTAAATAATAACTATGATGATAAAAGCTACTAAAAAAACTATAATTAAAAATCAAAAGCTGTAAATTTGAGTGAAGAAACTTATTAATGTTGATGATTTGAATTTTCAGTTGACGTTCACGTCGATGAATGTTATCACGATTGGTGATAAGAGTTACGATAGCGATACCAAGTCTAATTGTTAACGTGTAAGACAACTGCAAGTACTGTAGTTGTATATATAAATATATATATATATATATATACAATACATAGATCAGTTAAGGAAAAACAAAACGACTATGGCAATCGCGAAGATCAAGAGTTTTCTTGACAATAGTCTAAAGAGTGTAACGACTCCGCTGGATCGTACTACTACTTTAGAGCCTGAAATAGGTATCAGGATTATTCACTCACCGTATGATAAAACATTGAGGGTTACTGTTCTTGGTGCAAGACATTTGCCACAGAATTTTGGATTTACAAGAGTCAACAGTTATGTTGTCAAGGTAAAATTATTTTAATTTATTATAATGATTATTGTTGAATTTTTTTTTTATTTGTGAATATAATTAATGATTCTTTATAAATTCTTTACAGGTTAAATTCTTCCCAGGCAAGGAAAAATTTGAAACGACCTCGAAAAACGAATCTTGGCCGCAGTGGAATGAAGAGTTCACGTTTCACTTGAGAAAAGAAACTAAAATAAAATTTGGCAAGTCAAAAGTCACTGAAGAGTTTCTAGATGGATCTAAACTTATAATAGCGACGCTTTATGCGATTCTTGAGGACAAACCGCTGATCGCGACTGATAAGAAAGAAGCAGAGAAGGAAAATTCAAAGGAAGGAAGTAAAGATGGTAAGAAGGATGGAAAGAAGAAAGAAGGAGCTACGACGTCTGGATCCCAGGAGTCGAAATCTAATAAACTACTCGGTCAATTATTCAGCAAAAGTTCTGATAAAGAAAAGGATAAAGAGCCGGTTGTTGAAAAGAAAAGTATTGACAAGAGACGAACTGTTGGAGCTACCACCATTTCATTAGATGTTAAGAACTTTGTTACTAAACCACCTAAGGCTAAACATTCGGATGAAGTGTCTACTGGTGATATTTGGAAACCTCTCAGACCTATTGCCAGCGGAATATCTGGTGCTGAAGATAGGGTAAGTAGAGAAATTTTGAAACTAAAATCTGAAATTTAGAGTTAAATTTTAATCATTTATTTTTGTTTTTTGTCATTAGCGAGAAAGTAAAAAAGGACAAGTAGAAATGATTCTAGTACAAGAAAAAAGTGATAAAAAAGATGTTAGTGAAGGTCGATTGATATTGAGCTTATCACGATTGAGATGTTCACTTCAAACAATGCATGAACAAGAGTCGCTTAAAGGCCAGTTGTATATAAAAATGTCTGTTGTTGATGGTGGCAGAGTGACTCATTTTTGGAAAAGTGATCGATTTAATCCATGTGTATCGATGAAATTTGCGCAGGACCAAGCACAAGTTATCGCTGAAAATCCGTATGAGGGTGCATTGAAAGATGTCAGTTTTGTTGTTAAATTTGTCTCTAAAAATAAAATAGGTAAATATATTATTTATTTTTTTTTTTTTTTTTTTTTTATTTAAATGTAATATTAAGATATTCAATTGTTTTAATTCTGAAATATTTTAGGTAAAAAAACGACAATAGGACATTTTGTTATTGGCCCGGATGTAGGTGGAACGTATAGCGAACAATGGAAGCAAGCTATGGCTAAACCAGGAAATGTTGTCACTAAATGGCAAGTCTTTGAATGAGTCCATTCAGAGAGTCTGAATAAAAATTGTAAATTTTTTTTATTTTAAATTATACCTTTATCAAATGGATTATTAGTTTTAAAATATGTACATAAGAAACCAGTAGCCAGTATAACCGTCCGTTTAAATTCCAAGCAGCTTCTACTCACTTGTTGCTCTCACGACTCACGAGATGCAATAACAGAGAATTATTTAAACTTTTCTTGCAATATTTAAATATATTGTTGTTAAGTAAACATATTGATAAGTAAAGAGATTTTATCTTTTTCGATAAAGATGTTACGGTTGGTGTCTGATGTTTAGTGGTAATTAGTATTAAGTAAAAGAATTTATTACAAAAGTCTCTGGTGTAATAGTGATCTTATGAATCATTCGAGTTATTACTACGATACGGGTGTGTCACATAATTGACAGACGTATTCTATATATAAAAGAAAGTACTATACGTCAATGTACACATGCTACTCGACAATCGTTAGAGTGCCATTAAACAATACAAACATAACAAATGAGATTTTGTATTAAATATTTATTTTAATTTAAGAAATTAAAATATACAAATATTAATAATTATTTTTTTACAATTGTATTTAAAAAATTATTAAATTTATTTTAAAGCGCTTTAGTTTTATGCAAAGTCAATGATTATTTTATTATAATATAAAATAAAATGTTTTTATTTAAAAATTAATTTTTGTATTGCAATAGATTACATACGCACCTATATAAATTTTTTTTTATTCAATTTAAGTGTAATAATAATTAAGAATTTACTATTATTCTTATTTTGTTGTATAAAATTTAGTAAAAAAAACATTGATACTCTAAAAATTTGTTCTAATTTATATTCACATTTTTATGAACATATATGTAAAAAATTATAAAATTTATTACTTTAAATTAAGTTAGCTTATATTTTCAATAAGACGGACAATATAAAAAATTTAAAAAATTATTGGCCCTTATCAACTAAATTAGTTTAACTTACTTTGCAATTGGACGGAATTTACAATATAACAATATTTATTAATAATGAGATGATAAATATATCTCGTTTGAAGATTCTCATATTTGTACTCTATGAGTATGAGATATAAAAAGTATATCTACTCATAACTTCAGATCGAAGACAGTAAGTATATGCGTAAGTATTTTTTTGATCGTGGTAACGCAAAATATTATATATAAAATATAAAATACAGTATAAAAAAAAACTCTGGACGTGATAAATCACAATTAAGGCACACGTTATTAACTACTTAGCTTTTTTTGTTCTTTTTAGATTAAATTCATTTGGAGCAAACTTGGGCTTGATCAGTAGAACTTATTACTGTACTGATGATTATTAACAATTATTTTGATCACTTAGCTGTTAAATAGTATCCTAGCGTCAATAAACCAGCAATTAATGAAACGATCCAAGAGCTGTTTATAGATGTACCCGCATTACATCCATCTTTACTATTGCACGTACAATATTCCATAAATATGTTGTAAGATCCTGTTCTCATCAAACAAAATCTTTCATCACCACCTATGCCGGGTTCTCCTAAGTATGCACAACTTCTTATGTATTTCCAAACTCCATTGACTATAAAAAATTTATAAATTGATAAAAAATAAATAAAATTGATAACCTTTTGAACTTTTGATTCTTTTACTGACCTTTTTGTCTGATTTTACGACACATTGTTGATTTAACGCCTTTTAAATGACTCAATTCACGTTTTTCAGAACAATCTGCTATTGGAACCGTAGAATTATCAAATGGATCAGCACACTTTGGATCAGAATCTGATCTGCACTCCCAACATTTTATTGCCAAACCTGATAAAAATTTTATCTTAATTTAAAATAATGCAATTATATTTTCTTATAAAAATTAATTAAAACATTTTAATATTTACCTTCGTGAATAAAAAGTACTAATAGCGATAAAATAATCAACTGTGCACTTCGTCCCATATTTATTGTTTATTATTAAATTTTTGAAACAAATTGTACAAGTGTATGAGTAATGTTTACCACGATTTTTATTACAGCTTAATTTTTGACAACAATCTGGACTATTATAATTATTTGTTTGTAGTTGATAAATATGTCAATAGTTTTTTTTTTTTTTTTTTTTTTTTTTTTTTCTATTATATAGTGTTTATAAATTTTTTATAGTAAATAATATAAAAATAACCACGATGGACTCTCACTCGTACATTACATTTGGCGACGCCCAACTTCGAATCAACAGTTCGTGAAAACAGACATGTATAGATATAGAATTATGTATACTTACTTAAATATACTACGCGTGTCGAATGAAATGTTCATTTTCTATGAAATAAATTTGTAATTCATAAATTAATCATTATTACAGTATAAATTTGAAAATATAATATTTGTGAATTTAAAAATTCTAGAAATTATTTTTATTTTAAATGCAAAAATGCATAATGAACAGATTGGCGGTAAAAATAATAAAATAATCGATTTGCCATCCGTAAAATTATCGATTGTTGGAAACGTTTATCGATAGAGCACACATCGATATATTCTGTCAGAAACGTCAGAAATGCATTAAAGATGGCAGTTGCATTACTGTTTTCAAAAATATAACTCACGTGTACAAAAGATTTGTGTACAGTTAACGAACCTATTCTTCGTCGTCGCGTATATAGGTAAGGAGATTATAAATAACAGAATTAATTTATTTAACATAAAAAAACATTATAAATTGTGAAATTGTTACTTTTTGTTTCAGAGTATCAACAACTTATATAATTATCTGTGGAAATATTTTTTTTTTATATTCAATTCAATCGTGGAAAACATTTTCCTTTCATCTCACCAGTGACTTGCGATTTTGTTGTAGCTCTATAAGACCAAATAAATATGGTAAATATATTTATTTTATTATTTTCTTATTTTATAATTACATACTATAAATTAAACAGTTGTACTTATTCTTACATAACTCTGATTTTAAAATAATAAATAAATTTTGATAAAATAACAAGATGTAAGAAAGTATAGTTTGGTAACTATAAATATAATGATGAGTATGACATTTTGGAACTCAAAATATGTGTCTGTTTAGGTATAACATACATATGTAATATATGTTGAGTATAATAATAATAATTTTTTTTTTTTTCAGGGTCAGAATCATTCAGGTAGTGGTGGCGGACGTAAAAAAAAGGATGGTAATGATAAAAAGAAAAAGTATGAACCACCAATCCCGACGCGAGTTGGTAACCTCAAACGTCGCCGTCCAAAAGGTTCAGACACTGCTGTGAAATTACCTCAAGTTAAACCTCATACTAGATGCAAGTTGAAGTTATTAAAGTTGGATAGAATAAAGGATTATTTGCTGATGGAAGAAGAATTTATAAAGAACCAGGAGAGATTGAAGCCTACTGAAGAAAAAGATGAAGAAGATTTATCGAAAGTTGAGATTTTAAGAGGAACACCCATGAATGTTGGAACATTGGAAGAGGTGATCGATGACAATCATGCAATTGTATCAACTTCTTTGGGCTCTAAATACTATGTATCAATTCTTTCTTTTGTGGGCAAAGATCAACTGGAACTTGGATGTCACGTTCTGCTGAACCACAGAAATCATTCGGTTGTTGGTGTCCTAGATGACGCCACAGACCCGATGGTTACGGTTATGAAATTGGAAAAAGCACCTCCAGAGACTTATGCTGACATTGGAGGTAATTTTTTAAGTTTCTCCTATGAAAATTTGAATTTATAAAACTTCAACTTCTCAAAAATGATTTTTAAAATTTTGTAACTAGCTAGTATAAGACAAAATAAAATAATTATTTTTATTGACAGGTCTAGAAGAACAAATTCGAGAGATCAAGGAATCAGTGGAGTTACCGTTGACCCATCCAGAATATTATGAAGAAATGGGTATTAAGCCACCTAAAGGTGTAATTTTATACGGCGAACCTGGAACTGGAAAGACTTTACTAGCCAAGGCTGTGGCAAATCAAACCTCTGCAACTTTTTTGCGTGTCGTTGGCTCTGAACTTATTCAAAAATACCTTGGAGATGGTCCCAAACTTGTTCGTGAACTCTTCAGAGTAGCAGAAGAACACGCACCGTCGATTGTCTTTATTGATGAAATAGATGCTGTGGGGACCAAGCGATATGACAGTAACAGCGGTGGTGAAAGAGAAATTCAAAGAACTATGTTGGAGTTATTGAATCAACTTGATGGTAATATTTAAATATTATTTACACTTGATTGTAATCAAAATCATTAAATAAATTTATTAATTATTTTAGGATTCGATAGCCGTGGGGATGTTAAAGTAATTATGGCAACTAACAGAATTGAGTCTCTGGATCCAGCTTTAATCCGTCCAGGTCGTATTGACCGCAAAATAGAATTCACGCTTCCTGATGAGAACGCTAAGAGACGCATTTTCAACATCCACACCAGCAAGATGACCTTAGCACCAGATGTCAATCTCAATGACCTTATTATGTCTAAAGAGGATCTATCAGGAGCTGATATCAAAGCAATATGTACTGAGGCTGGTTTAATGGCGCTTCGTGAGCGTCGTATGAAAATTACCAATGAAGACTTTAAAAAATCCAAAGAAAATGTTCTTTATAAGAAGAAAGAAGGTTCACCAGAAGGCCTTTACTTATAAGCAATATCAGTGCAGTATTTTTTATTAATAATTTTGGATATTTGCTTTACCGTATTTGAATAATTATAAAATACATTAGATTCTCATCATTAATATTATCTGACAATGTGTATTCTATTCTATAATATATATTTGAAGTATTAATTTCTTTTTTTTTTTTATTTTTTATTTTTATTATTCTTGGCTGCTAAAACATGAACACCGGGACATTGCACGATACATGCACAGTACTCGGCTATTTTAAGATCATTAATCCCAAATCATTTTTAATTTAGCAAACGTGAATTAGAGTAGAGCAATCATTAAACGTTTTAAAAGTTGAGAAATAAATTGACCGTAAATTTATTAATAACTCGCAAAATCTTTGAATTAAAAAATTAGACTTGTAAGCTTTTTAATTTTTTATAAATTATTTAATAATTTTTAAATAATGAGAAAGAAAAAAATTAAAAAAATATCGATAAAGTAGTTATCGATAATCTTATAGCAAAAGATGTATATATGGATATAAACGTGTATAGTTTCAGTTAAAGTCCATTTCAGATGACGGAATGTCTCACATGGCAGGCCGTTAGTTATTATTGTGTTTTTAAGTTAAACACGTGGTGATATAAGTAAATTATAACATTAAATTAAATTATAAAAAATTACTTATTATAAATATTTTATTTATAACTTGTTTGGGTTGAAAATATTTTTATCAATGTAAGTAAAATAAATAATACAATTTTTTTTACATAGGATAATCATTTACTTTGTAGGTTATGTTTTTTTTCATTTGTTATTATAAATAAAAAATATACATTCATGACTTGCATTGAGAAATGATTCATACATTTATTTTAATGTTTTTTATCGGAAAATTTTAATTTAGAAATAATTATAGATATTGTTTATTTCAATAGTGATAAATACTTGGAGATTACTGTATAGAAAATTTAATTGATGATTTTTTTCAGTTGATTAAAAATGGCTAAGACTAAAAATAAGAAGAAAAATATGGCCGAGTTGGCGTCAAAGAAAAAAATGATGGACCTTCAAAATAAGAAAAAAATTAATCCATTTGAAGTTCACATCAACAGAGATAAGCACAAGGTTTTGGGAAAAAAATTAAAATCCGATCGAGGATTACCTGGTGTAGCAAGATCAAAAGCCATAAATAAACGTAAACATACTTTACTTGTGGAATTTCAACAAAAAGATAAGAATAATTTAACTATTGATAGTCGTATCGGAGAACGTGATCGTGGAATGAGTCAAGAAGACAAAGCGATGGCAAGATTCACTGCTGAAAAACTAAAATTACAGAAGAAGAATATTTTTAATCTCAATGATGATGAGGTGTTGACTCATAGAGGTCAGACTTTGGAAGAAATTGAAAAGTTTGAAGACCCAAGGAGTGATGACGATGACGATGATGATGACGGTCGTAATTCAAAGGGATATTTAGACAAAAAATTTGTCAATGAAGCTCATTTTGGTGGTGGAATGCTGTCAAGATCTGGGGAGTCAATCTCACGGTCAGATTTAATCTCCCAATTGGTTAATGAGTCGAAAAAACGTAAAGCTGAGAAACAAAGATTAAGTGAACAGAATCGTTCACAGACTGAACAATTGGATTCACAGTGGAAAGATCTTTTACCTCTTTTAGCTGCTTCTAAAAAGACTGATGAAGAGCGAGTGAATAAGCCCAGACCAGATGATTTTGATAGGACTGTCCAGGAATTGAGATTTGAGAGCCGAGGAAATCCTTCTGATCGCTTAAAGAATCAAGATGAAATTGTTAGACAAGAGAGAGAAAAATTGGAAGCTTTGGAACGAGATCGGCTGGAGCGTATGCAAGGATTCGCTGATTATGAATCTGAGGGTAATAATCATAGGTCTGTTGATGACGACGATGATGGTTTTGAAATAGAAGATATTACTTCTGACATGTTGGCTTATGATAAAGATGGTCAAATCGTTGATAGTTTTTTTAAATCAATGCCTGAAGATGATAAAAAAAATAAAGTTAATGGAACTGTTGACGATGATGACGATGACGACGACGACGATGATGGTGATGATGATGATGATGATGATGATAATGATGATAATGAGGACGAAGAAGATGATTTGTCTGACTTGAAAGCATCTGATTCTTCTAGTGAAGATGAAGAAGAAGAAGAAGAAGAGGAGGAGGAAGAAAAGGAAAATGGAAAAATACCACCTAAATTGAACAAATCATTAGATAAATCTAATGGCAAAGTAGAAAAAATCACGAATGGAGAAACTAAAGAACTACCAGCGAACAAATTAAATAGTAGTACAAATGAAGTAAAAAAAGACGCCACACGAGAAAAATTGATGGAAAAGGTTCGTCAAGAATTACCTCATACTTATCCAGCACCTGAAAGCTACGAAGAACTAAATGAGTTATTACGAGCTCAAAGTCCTGATCATCAGTCAGTTATTCTAGAGCGAATCATCAAGTGTAATCACATCTCTTTGGGTGAAAATAATCGTGAAAAATTGACAAATGTTTTCGAGTTTTTGCTACAATATTTGATGGACATTGCGCGAGTTAAGGATGTAGTACGGTGTTTCCAGATTTGCGATAGATTGGTTCCGTATCTTTATGATTTAGCTCAATTTAATTCAAAACATGCTGGCTCATGCGTCAAAGTTGTTTTAAAAGAAAAATTCCAAGAATTTAAAGAAAAGGAAAAAATATATCCAAAGTTGGATACATTAATTTTGTTTAAAGTGATATCATTGCTGTTTACAACCTCAGATTTTCATCATGCTATTGTCACACCTTGTTTTCTTTTCATGTCGGAAATATTAACAAGGTGTAAAGTTAAAACTGCCATGGATATTTCAATGGGTCTTTTTATCGTAACTCTTATATTAGAGTTTACATTGCTTAGCAAAAGGTTCCTACCTGCTGCGATTAATTTTTTGAGAGGAGTTGTATTTTTGGCGACAATCAAGCCTTTAAGTATACCCAAAATATTTTCGCCATTCAAGCAAACTGGTGAATTATCGAATTTATTAATACTTGAAAAGAGCCAAAAAGATTTAGAATTAGATGTCAATGGTGCACATATGAAGGTAAATGATTTGGCGACTAGAGAATTCGATGATGACTACAGAGTACGTATTTTTATAACGACAATAAATTTAATAAGTCAATTCAAGAGCCAGTTGGAAGAAATAGACATTGCTTACATTATTTTTAAACCTATTATTGAATTATTGGATATTGGAACTAATCCATGGAACAATTATCCAAAGTCTGTTAAAAAACATGTTCAGAAAGTTTCTGATGATTTGAAGTCACTGGCGAATAATAAACTGAATTACTTAGTCTTCGAAAAAAAGAGACCCAAGCCGTTTAAATTTTTGAAACCACTTGTTACAGTAGTGTACGTACAATTTTATTTATTTTATTTTTTATTCATTTATTTAGATATGCTTATTTATTTATTTATTTTTTTTTTTTTTTTTTTTATTTACAGATCCGATGTAAAGAGATTCAAAGCCAAATCTTCGAGAGAAGACAAAGCAGAACAGGAGAAATTGTCTCTAAAATTAAAGAAAGAAACAAAGGGTGCTATAAGAGAACTCAAGAGGGATGCTGCGTTCTTAGCTAAGGTTCAAATAAAGGACCAGATTAAGAGTGATCAAGAGCGTAAACGTAAAGTTAGAGAAATTTTCGGTGAGGCTGCTACACAACAGGGTGAACTTAACAAAATGCAACGAAAAAAATAAGTCAGTTTGATTTAGTTTTCGTTGCAATGTTTGTCTTTTTCTTGTTTTTATTGTAAAATATCCTGTAATTAGCATTTAATAAATTTAAATTACATATTTTGTAATTATTAGCAATAAGAATTTTGTTTTATTAACTATTGCGGTTGTGAAACTAATGACTAGATAATAATTTTAGTTATTAAAAAAAGTTATGATTTAGAAAACCATCGAGTAATGATTGTCTTTTTTTTTTTTTTATTTATTTACATTTATAGTTATTTATTAAAATGTATATTTATTTATTTTTATTGCTTTTTTGTATACAAGTAGAGTCAATCGGTATAAAAAATAATTTAGCCGATCAATCAAGAGCGTACGTAGAATTAAAGTGTAAATCAAAAGCTGTTAAAGATGATAATGTACTAAAAAAACCAGCCGATATTCCTGCAAAAAAAAATGAAATAAATAACCAAGATCGCAGCTGTTGTCATGAAAATTGCGGGTTATTAAGATTTGGAATAGTTCAAAAAATAATTTACACTCAAAGTAATGATGCTGAGGATGTTCCATTTTCATCGGCGTGTGTTCGATGTGGCTTGTGCCTTGCAATAGCCGATAAGGTCATTGCTCTGTTCAATTTATTCATTTTTAATGCAAATATTGTGCATTATTCTGTAGACGCATAATTTAAATAGTTTATTATTTTTCTTTTTATGAATTGCTCAATTAATGTATATTTATGTTATTAATGGTTTAACAATTCCGTGTGAAATTTTATCAATTATACAGATTAATAAAACATTAATCGATATGCATGATAATATGCCACCCGACCGATGGCTCAATGACACTGAAATTCATGTTCTTCTCAGTATAATATGCGATGAATCATTTATACGGTAAGTCAACTAATACATATTTATTTTTTTATCTATTATTTGACTAATAAAATTTTTTTCAGTTATCGACTACGTGAAATCAATGGTGACCGTTTCATTGGTGAAAATTATCCGGGGTCTATTCTCATTGAGTCCACCAATAATCAACTTTGGGAAGAAAAGTAAGTTTTTTTTTTTATAATGCTGTAATTAAAAATAATTTCATACTATTGAGTTTTAATTTAGTTTGAGAAAAAAATGTAATGAATTGATAGAAGATATTGGTGCTGAAAAAATGTACAATTATTGGAAAGAGTGGTATGCTGGTTACGATAGAAACTTTCGTACTATTCTATGCCGTGGCGATGTTGGAATATTACGTGAATGTCGCAGTTTCAAAGACGTAGTTGAATTACCAGCTCTTGAAGATGATGAAGATGATGAAGATGAAGAAGAAGATTCTGACTATGGTATCAAAATAAATGCTAAACTTGAATGTACCTATGATTGATTTGAATACCGAAGATTTTTTTACTCACACTTTATTAATTTTTATACTATACTACTGTATTTTTATAATAAACTGTGATATCTTAATTTCGAAAAGGAAAAATAATTTGTTTTGTCTGTAGTTGGTTGTCACAGTCATAATTAACTTTAGGGTTGAATTTTTTTACTCGAGACGATGAATATCTCAATCGGCGTTTATAAGTTTTGAAATGTAAATTACAGTTAATATTATTTATATAATCATTCAGAATTTCTTTGGGATTATTTTTATTGGTAAGAACCTCAGAAGTGCGCTTTTTCCTCAAGTAAATATCAATAATTTGCCGTAGTTTGTTTTTAAATTTCAGTCTTCTGCTCCAAATCCGCTCGACGAGGCCAATACAAACAGCTATCACGATTCCAATTGCAAGTATTATGAAAGCAGAGTAAACATCAGCTATCCTTGCACTGTGGAATGTTGTCGGGTCCCGGCACTTAGGCATGTCAGGTAACATTCGGTCACCTATTCTGTCAATAACTCCACGTTCTAGCATCCGTAAAATACTAAAAATACAAATTATAAATTTTTTTATCTAACAATGAATGATTTAAAGAAAAAAAATTAATTATTTACTTGAGGTTAATTATTTTTTCGTAAGGACTAAATTTTTCCATGGGTAAAGCAACAACTGTAAACGTTTGTCCTACTTCAATTTCTTTTAAAGAACATCTCTCTTGTATTAATGATGTTCTAAGTGTTCTCCTAGCAAGTGTTGCGCTTGCAAAAAAACCATAACTACCCTTGACGGCTTTCTGAAGACCTTGGTTCGTATCAATGCGTGATTCACGAGTATTGAATGCATTTATATACAACTTTCTTAAGTTAGTGTCATTAGTATTCTGAAAATGTACTTGGCATCAGAAAATGTTCAAATTATTTTGTTGGAGTACAAGTATAAAATATAAAATTACTCTCATAAATTCATCATCAAGATCACTGTATCCAACTTTAAAATTATTTTGCAATAAATCTTCAAGCGTCTTAATACCTGTTGCTTGAACAGATAATATTGAAGTAATGAATCCTGCGTAAGCATTGTACATAACTAATGCAAAAGTAAGACTAGCTAATAGTGCCATTTTGCCTGATAGAGTCATCGGCTTCCATGGTGTTCCTTAGAAAATATGTAAGTTAATAATAAAAATTAAAAAAAAAAAGAATTTAATAAAAAAAATTCCTTAAAAAATTTTACAAGTAATTAAAAAAATATAAAATATATATTAAACTTTTAGGTCCAGTTTTTCAATCCAGGATAAAAGTTTTATTATTATTGCTAGTATATTTATATATATATATGAAATATATAGATATATTTTATCATTGGATAAAATTTTATCCTGGATTGAAAAACTAGCCCTTAAAGAAGTCTAATACCTTGCATGCACATTATAGCAGTACACCAAAGTGTAGCTTCACCGAAAGTTGTGGTTCTTCCGCAATTACGGAAAACATTTCGCGTGATGTAATTTATGAGACTGATAGTAACAATTATCAGAACATGAACAAATGCAACACAGAGCAGAAGACGATTGTTGAATGGCTGAAGAAAAATGTCTCGCATGAATCCTGATTCCGGTGGTCGTATGTAAATATTTCTTCTATTTAATTGAAATAATTAAAATTAATTAAAATTTCTTTTTTAGATTAATAAGAATAATAATCATTTTAAATACATACGTATAACGTATAAGAGGATGTGAAAAACACATATCACGACGTCTCTCGTCATTGACCGTGATGTACCCAAGACCAATATCAACGATGCCATTGTTAACATCTCCAAGAAGATGAGTCCAAGCTTTATTGGTAAGTACTCCTACTTTTTCATGCATCACTGTCTCTAAACTAAAAAAAAATAAGAAATAAAATTGCGGGTTTAATTATTGTAAATATTAATTACAAATGATTTTATTAAAAATCATTTTTGGAGTCCAATAAGTTATAAGGAAAAAACTTTGATACACGTTGAGGATAACTTTGAGGATATGAACTTTTGATGACTCAGTTTGACCTTACGTTAAACTTCTCATTATGTAAATAGATGTTATTGTACACGTGTAACAAAATTTATTACTTTTTTTTAATTGTGTTTTTTACTAACACTCAATGTCAAGTTTAATGTATACGTAAGTAACTGGCCTATGTATAATATAATGGTGCTTATATTCAATACCTAGCATTCAAATTGCTGGCTAGAAAATTTATAAAATCATTCAGTGGACGATCTTCTGTCATCTGTTCTTCGTACAATGAATTTTCTTCATTTTGATCTTCGTTAGTCCCATTTAGAATTCCAATTATAAGTGGCAAATGATAAAAATTATTTCGCAATTCAACATCCACCTAATATTAATAACAATATTGCTTCGATAATTATATTTTATTATAAAAAAAAAGACTTATGATTTATTATTACTACTCACTGGAAGTTTTAGCATTAATTCACCCGGATTCCATGATCCCAAAGAATCTACAATAAGACTAGAATTGTCTGATATTCTTATTTTGTAAACATGAACTACGTAAAAACACACACTTGAATTTTGTTTCTGGGAATAATCAAGATTTTTTGTTACATTTTCATTTATTTCTTCTTCTATTATTGCATCTCTGTATTTGTAACTTTCAACATAATTTCGGAGTGGACTGCAGGTCCTAATGATTTAATCTAGATAGTTATTTATAATTACTTTAAGAAAAATATTTTTGAGACTAAATATACTGAGAGGAAAAAATTTCTTTTGACAAAAATGAGCAATATTCTAATAAGAAATTAATTTTTTGAAAATTTTCAACAATTTTATTTTTTAGCTGAAGAAATCAAAATTTTTCTCACAGTAACTTTCTAATTAAAAAAAAGTTTTTTAGATTTGTCAAAAAAAAAAAATTTGGATAAAAATTTGCAAATTTTTTTTTTTCCATATTACAAAAATTTTTTTTCATCAAGAAAGTTACGGTGAAAAAAAATTTTGATTTCTTCAGCTAAAAAATAAAATTATTGAAAATTTTCAACCAAATAATTTCTTCTCACAACAATGTTCATTTTCTTTTCCAATGAAATTTTTTTCTCTCAGTAATATATACTTGTTTATATAAAGTTTTGACGGTTCTCGTTGATTAGAGTTTGAATAAACAGACGTTGCGACAATAACGTCGGTATTAATACCAATTGTAAGATTACGAAGATGAGTATCTATTGATGTATCTTCAGGTCTCGATGCTATTAACAACCACGATACATAATAATCAAATAATCTTTTAGCAGAAGCCTTCAAAAAATATAATCAATTAAAATTTTAAATCAAGTTTTATACAAATAGATGAATGATTTATCAGTCATACCACTTTCAATACATTATCAGGAGAGGTATTGTTAATACTGTCAAGTAATACAATAGCGCCTATACGATATATATTTATTTGTAGCGCTTCTGGTAATTTTGGATTGTTTGCTGATTGAATTGATACACTTATTCCCTCTTGACTCAAACACTGAATCAAAGGTCATATGTATGTCATTACAGCGTCTTGAATAAAATAAAACTTATTGTCACGTGCGTCAGCAAATTACTTTCCTCAATAATTTACGATACTAAAAAATCCCGTATATTTTAGTCTTGCCATAAATTATTTAAATTTCTTTAAAACAATTAGCAAAAGTAATTATCAAACTAATAAAATATTTTCATTTAATTTTTCTTTGTATAAATTATCCAGAGTATTTATTTAAATTTTATGCTTACGATTTCTTGGAGATAAATCATCGAAAATGACAATTTGTTTCCATGAACGCCATTTAGAAATCTCGAGAATTAATTCCAGTGTCAAGGGTGACGGTGGTTCATATCCAGGTGCTGGGTTGAAGAGACACAATAAAAATAATACTGCGGTATTAAACATACTGTGCTTTTATTGTACTAAAATAGTTCAATGTTATATATCAAAACTCAGTTTCTTCTATTATCAAGTATAATTATTAGTTATTGAAAAGAAAAGATTAAAGTAAGCTTAATGCTCGCGTGCAATTTGATAAATGTCAAAAATAAATTCGGATATGCGTGAAATGTTATATTTCTCATTCTTGAGCCTTACAACAAATTGGATTGGTTTTTTATAAAAATTGCGGCTATTAGAGGTATGATGGACACATTGATTAACTAGGTAGATAGTGAAATCGATTAAACTAATTTCACAAATGAGTTATGACCTATCATCTTCTTTAATAATTAGTTGCCATAATAATAATAAAAATGAAAATAAACTAAAAGTTTTGTGGGCTATATATGATGGTTTTTATTTTATTATATGTAAAGGAAATTTAAATATTTGAATTGTAATTATACTAAAAGAAAACAATCTTATAAATCGCGTGTATTCTAATTACGATTAAGTATTATACAATAATTTTACAAACACGTAGAATAAGTTGAAATGTGTAAATGTGAATGAATGAATAAATTGTACAAAAAATTTAAATGAATTGAAGAATGAAGCCCCGAATGTTAAAGTTCATTAATAATTAATAGTAAGTTCATTGTACACAAGTATTAATACTTTTAAAATAGTACAATCGTATTTTAGCAGAATTTTTTTAACATTATGTAATATAACCCAAGGTTAACAATTAAAATGTGTAATAAGTATATTTAGTATCAAAGTAATAAATTATTAAAAAATTACAGGACTGTTAATTACTTTATTTAATTGTCACACACAAACTAACTATGGCTGTACTTGAAAAATATTCCTGAAAAAATAAAAAAATAGTAATTTAATATTAATAAAAAAAAATTTTGTCTATAGGTTTGGAAAATTTTACGCCCATATATTATTGATGCTTTCCTATTAAAGTATGTCTTCCCGTGAAATTTCAAAGTTAGTGAATGCAATTTTTTTTTATTCTCGTTAAAGTTAAGTCCCATTGTATACATTGTTCATTTAAAACAAATATGACGTACAAGGAAGCGTATATTAATCATTGTTATGGTTCTAAAAAAATTTGTTGTGTCACGAAAGACAATGGCAATTTTAATGGTTACCGGAAAATGAAAATTTGTTTATTTGTTTAATAAATCACAATATTTATTAATGATAATTATGACATATTTACGGCATTTCGGCTATATAATCTTGAAGATAAGTCGCGGGGCTTTATTGTTAATGAAAATTTTACTGGATGATTGTTTAAATAGTCAATGTAAAATAATAAATTGTAAATGAAGATTTTTTCACTCCTTGCGTACTACGTATGATAAAGAAATATTACAATAGCTGGCCATGATAAAAGTAGTAAAAAAATCAGTGCATCTGGTTAAAATTTTAATAAAAATTTTGACTAAATAAAGTTATAAAGTAATCTGCAATGTATTCTGAATCGATTACATTACAATCACAGCCTGAAGAAAAAGATGAAATAAGATTAATAAAGGGAAAGTTGAAAAAAAAACGTTGGTATGAATTTGAAACAAAAATACTTTGGAACAATGCTATTTTTATTATAATTATCCATGTGCTAGGACTGTATTACACCATTACCTTTCCGTATTTAGATCATAAAATTTTAACTGTATGGGGTAATTACAATAATCATTCTACTCTACAATTGTATCTGAGTATTTCGTGAAAATTGAAATAATCTGTGGAATTTTTAATAGGAATTGTCGTTGGATTTATGTCAGGAATAGGAGTAACCGGTGGAGTGCATCGATTATGGACTCATCGAGCATACAAAGCTAACGTTCCACTTAGAATTATTTTAGCCATTTTATACTACACTGCTGGACAGGTAATTTATTATTAATTATTATTAAATCACAAGATACCCGCAAAAAATTAAAAATTAATTTTAAGGTTCTATTTACAGTTGTTACAATCAAATTTTTTTATTTACTTTCCAGAACAGAATTTATAATTGGGTCAGAGATCACAGGGTCCATCACAAATATACAGACACGCCTGCTGATCCTCATGATACAAATCGCGGCTTCTGGTTTAGTCACGTCGGGTGGCTGATGATGAAGAAACGTCCAGAAGTACGAAAATGTGGAAAAGAAATTGACATGAGTGACATTATCAATGATCCAGTCGTCCAATTTTTTGACGGGTACTATCACAACGGCTTTTCTTCTCGTAAAACTATATACAGTGATTTAAAAAAAAATAATTTATCAATTTTTTTATTTGGTACAGGAATTATCTGTTACTCAACACACTATTTACTTTTGTGGTTCCAACTCTTATACCTTATTATTTCTTCGATCAAAGCTTAAAATGGTCGTTCATATCGCAAGGATTAATCCGTTATCCCATGGTTTTAAATGCCACTTGGGCCGTCAACAGTTTTGCTCACATGTTTGGTTATCATACTTATGACAAGTAATTATTATATTATGCTATATGTTTTTTTTTTTAAAACTATTATTAGTTATAGAATCAATCCTTTTTATTTTTAGATCTATCACACCGGCGGAAAATATGTGGGTGAGCTTTGTTGCTGGCGGAGAAGGGAGCCATTCTTTTCACGTAAAAAATTTTTTTTACTTAGTCAATGAGAGAAAGAAAAATTGCTAACTAGAAAAAGATTTCTTAGCTCAAAAATTTAAATCATTAAACCATTCAAATTTATTGATTTTTTGAAAAAAAGAATATAAATATTTTGAATTAAATATACTAAAAAAAAAAAATTATCTTGATTCAAGACATTATATTGATTCTTGAACCAAGAAAATAATTTTGAAGAGTTTTATTGTCTTCAATTAAGACGAAAAATTCTTGAATTAAGATCAAATTTACTTAAAAATTTGTCAGTTAAAGAATTTTTCTACTCAAATTAATACGACGCGCTCTTCAAAAAAATTTTCTTGATTGATGAATTTTTCTCTTGAATCAAGTTAATTTTTTTTTTCTTCAGTGTGAAAAATACTTTGATTATTCTGAAAAATTCTTCAGATGAGAAAAGTATCTTCAATAATTATTAAGAATATCTGGTCTTGTTTTTACAAAATTTTCTTAATGGTAGAATTTTTTTCTCTCAGTGTAGTTTCGGAAAACTTTACATTCATGTAATCTGACATATGCATCCATGTCTTATTGCCACTTCCTGTTTACAGCATGTCTTCCCGTGGGACTATAAAGCTTCTGAATTCAAAAGTGTTTTCTTCAATGCAACAACCTGTTGGATTGACATGTTCGCCCAAATTGGTTGGGCATATGATTTACGAACTGTATCTCCGGAACACATAAAACGCACAGTTCAAAGAAGAGGAGACGGTACACACCCAATTTATCACACCAGTTGAACAATAAAATAAAAATTTTATAATATAGAAAAAAAAATAAATAACAAATTCATTTTATAAAGTAGTTTTCTTTCTACAACTGAAAAAATGAAATATAATATTGTAAACAAGGAAAGTTGATTATAAAATTTCTTTAATTGATTATGCAAATGGAAACAATGCAATGAACTCTAGTGTTATTGACATTATTCTGTGATGGTTTAATAATATCTTTATGAATAAATGTAAAGAGAAAAACGATCAAAGAAGTGGCGTTGCACGTGCTACAATGTATCATTAGTTTTTAATAATTCATATCAATTAAAAATAATATTAAACAATGGCCTTACTTATATATTATTTACAAGTTCAAATTTCACTTACCACCGCATAATAGCCGGTAATAGCTGGTAATCAAATATTTGCCATCTCCGATCCTCCTCGAAGTTATATATATTCGTATCAATGACTCACGAAATTCACTGTAAGTTTTAGTTTTGTACCGTTCAATCCAGCGGAGAACTCCAAGTGTCTAATCATAAAACGGACAAAACTGAAAATTTCTAATAAGCGTTCGATTAGTTCAATAAATATATTTTTATTGATATTTTGTCTTCTTAACATGAATAAGTGCTGAAAAATTAAATAATTTTTTTACAATGACTATTTTACTGCATAAATTTATCATCTAAAATTAAAATTTCAAAACAATAAAGTAGTGAGACAATCTTGAACTTGGTTATTTGTTAATTTTTAAATAAAAATGCCGCCTAATTTTGCAACTTCGTACCGACGTCCTGACAAAGAAGGAAATATAAAGCAAGATGAAATTGAAGAAATTGTGGAAAATAAAAAGGAATTAACAAAAAAGCGTTGGTATGAATTTGAAACAGAAGTGGTTTGGAGCAATGTGATAATTATAACATTTTTACATGTTATGGCTTTGTATTACTTGTTTGCTTATCCGTATTGGAAGTATAAAATTTTAACAGTTTGGGGTAAGTATTACTAATATTATTGTATCATAATATTGATTGTAAAATAAATTATTGATGGAATTATTAATTCAAAGGGATTGTTGTGGGAACGATGGGAGGAATTGGAGTAACGGGTGGTGCTCATCGGCTGTGGACTCATCGGGCTTACAAAGCGAAAACACCACTAAGAATTATTCTGGCCATCCTGTTTTATACTGCTGGGCAGGTACGCTCAATTATATGATGTGATTATTAAATTCAATTAATAAATATGACAATTGCTTTTGCAGAATAAAATATTTGACTGGGTTAGAGATCACCGAGTTCACCACAAGTTTACAGAAACTCCTGCAGACCCTCATGACAGTAAACGTGGTTTCTGGTTCAGCCATGTCGGCTGGCTCATGTTAAAGAAACGGCCAGAAGTTATTGAAAAAGGAAATCTAATTGATATGAGCGACATTCTCAATGATCCAGTTGTTCAGTTCTTCGACAGGTATTTCTTTACATATTTTTTTTTTTTATTAAATCATTCAATTTTTTAATGTTGCTTTGCATTTCAGACATCACATGAAACTGAAGCTACTTTTCAACATGATAATCCCGGTCTTTATACCAATTTACTTCTTCAATCAAAGTTTCAAATGGTCATTCATTACTCAAGTATTTATACGGTATCCATGGAGCTTGAATTTCACTTGGTCTGTCAATAGCTTCGCTCATATGTTTGGATACCGCCCCTATGACAAGTAATTAACATTGAAGATAAATTTATATACATATCAATTTTTTCAGAGTGGTATAACGAAAAACAAACATTTAAAAAAAAATTTTTTTTTAGTTAAAAAAAAAAACATTTAATATCCGTAATTATTTATTTTTATTTTTATTTTTTTTTTTAAAGTACATTTAAAGACAAAAATTTCAAAAAAAAAAACATCCCAAAAAGTCAATTTTCAAAAAAGTTATGGTTATTTAACAAAAAAAAAAAGCTGTTTTTTTGTAATAACTCGTAACTTTTTTTTGGTAGGGTAAAAAAATTTGAAAAAATTCTGAAAATTGTTTTCAATAGAGTAGAGAAAGATACCAAAATTTCAGAAAAACCGAAAAGGGTCGGTGTCAAAAGTGGTCGATTTGGCATGGAATGCCCCATATATAGTAATAAAGACTCGTGTGAGTAAATCTTAATTTTTTTTTTAAGGAACATAGCACCGGCAGAAAATTTACTTGTAAGTTATGTCTCTGGAGGAGAAGGCCAGCACTCATATCATGTGAGAATTTTTTTTTCTTACTTCTATTACTTTTAGTTTTTGTTTAAAACGCCTTGCACATCATTTTCTGAAAAAATATTTTTTAAATTTGAATTTTTATATCTTGTTGTATTCAATATTGATCAGACAGATATTATGATATTTTCTGAAGGATATTTATTTCTTCCGCTAAGCTTCTTGTAAGACAACCTATAATATTCTGAAGATTAAAAATATTCTTTTTCATGTTATTTAAATGGAAAATAGAAAGTTTCATTGTGTAATTTCTAAATATTAGTACTAGAGGCTCAAATTTTGACATTTTCGGATGAAATACTAAAATCATTTGAAAAATAAAATTTGTGGATTTTTTATTGTGGATTACATGCCCTAATATAAATGTAATCATACCTCAAATTCGAATAATGATTTACAGCATGTCTTCCCGTGGGATTACAAGGCAGCCGAGTTCAAAAGTGTATTATTCAATACGACGACCTGTTGGATTGATTTATTTGCGAAAATAGGATGGGCATACGATTTGCGAACTGTATCTCCAGAACACATAAAGCGCGTTGTTGAAAGAAAAGGCGACGGAACACATCCGAAATATTCATGTTTATCAAAAAACTAGAATTACTTTACACAGTCATTAAACAAAATAAGCTAGTTATTGTTCACTTTAATATTTATTTTCTAATTTTATTCATGTTAAACTTATTAATCTTGTAATTATCAATGACGAACTTTAATTTTAGTCAATTCACCAAGATTTTTTGTTGTATATTTTATCTAATAAATAAATTATAATTATAATTACTATAATCAAAATTATATGGTCAAATTTCTTCTCTAAATATGCTTAAATTAAACTGATATGTATTACTTGAAGTGTATTTTCGTATAATTGTTTATTTAATCAACATTTTATTCAACCACTATTGTTTATCATAAAAGTTAAAATTACATAATAACGGATATTTTTTGTTGACATAATTTATGTAACAAAATTAAGGTCAAGAACTTTTGACTTTCATTAGTTAGCATTTTAAATAATAGGAATTACCTGACATACTTGTATCTAATTATTTATTTCATAAAAATGAGTTTTTTTATATATTCAATTTGTTAAAAGTTTGAATATAACACCTCTTTCTCTTTTCACCATCAATGCAAATTCAAGTTATGACATAAGCACGCGGCTCAGAAATGACACCATAGCGCCATCTGTCAGTAAATATTTTTGTCAAAAATTAAGCGATGCTGCCATATTTTCTTCGCTCCCATCACCAACGCACGGTTTTAAATTATTTTTTTTTCTTGTTAATATCGCCATTATTATTATTATTATCATTGTTATTATTATTTTAATAATCATAATAATAAAGTTGCCTCCAACAATAATCAGGTATCGTTGTCACAACGGAGCCAGCTTTCGTTAAATTACATACGAATGATTAAATTGTATTCCTTTGTTTTAAAAGTGTGTTTATTAAAAAAATTAAATTTTATAAATACATCAAGTATGCAACAGTGTATTTATTGCACTTGATTAATTAATATTTTGAATGGTTTTTTAAAATACTGGTAAGTATCTGTTGTTATTTACGTGGTACTAACTGTAATATTAAACGTACTATTTATCAATTAGATATAAAAAATAACAATCTAAAAATAATTAATTGATACAATATTTTTTTATTTACAACTAAAAATCAATCTAATTACCAAAATAAATTTAGATTTTACATTTGAGCGGTAATATTTATACACTGTAACCTACAAAATTTACTAAGCTTCTATTTAAATGCTTTCTCATTAAATTATAACTATAAATATTTTTTTCTATAATTTAGAACTCTAAAATGAATACACCGAATCCAGGAGAATCAACTGGGGATAAACGTTTACCCGAAACAAGTGTCCAGAGTGTGCCGCACAATCTAACGACTTTACAAAATGTCCAAGGCCTACAGACAGTGCAAACTATTGTCCAGAGTTCGGTACAAACAATTCAGTCGACCCAAAATATCGTAAATACAAGTACGGCGATCGTCGGTAAATCGATATCGTTAGATTTAAATCAAAAATTACCATTGATGAAGTCTGTCGTGCAAACCGCGCCGTCAACCAGCGAGCCTGGAAAAATACCACCAAATTTTCCTCCGGTTGGCTCAACTTTACGAATAACTGTACCTTCGACACTCACTGTTGATCGGCAAGGCCAGCCGCAGATGCAAATCCAATCTCAGCCTCAACAAACTACCCAACAAGTTGTTACAACCATCCCAGCTACGTATCATGTTCCTCGTGGACCAGCAGCAGTTGCTAATATTTCAGCACCTAGGTCTACTGTGGCTACACCAATCGTTAGAGCTAGTACTACTGGTCCATCTGTTGTTCCGATCTCAAGAGTCGGGTGAGTGATAAACTTTAGTTGAGCTTTTAATTACAACTATTTCTTATAATAAATAAAATGAGATATTTAATACGATGACGATAAACATTTTCAACAAAATTAATAACAAGAAAAAAATTTTTAATAATTTATGGAGAAGATTCCTGTAAAATTTTATATTCTAAATTTTTTAAATTAATTTTTTTAGAGTAACAGCGGCTGTAACAAATACTCAGTGGCTGCCAAAAGCATCAATGACGCATACGCAACCTCAAAGACTTCCAGTACCACCAGTAAATCGTGTAACAACACGACCGCCTAACGCTGTTTATAGTGGCCAACAACAACAACAACAACAACAACAACAACAACAACAACAACAACAGCAGCAGCACCAGCAACAACAGCAGCCGCAGCAACAACATCAGCAGCAGCAGCAGCAACAACAGCAGCAACAACAACAACAACCACCACAACAACAGCGGCTGGTAGCACCAGCTCAAGCACGACCAATCCAAACTACAGTAGTAGCCAGTGTAACTTCAGGAACTCCTTCAAGACTGTTGACTCCGGTTTTACAATCTAATAGTGCAATTACGCGGATACCTGTGGCACAGCCACGGCCTGTTGGAGCACAAATAGTCAATACCACGACAGCTGTTCAAGCGGCGATACGTCATACACCCCAAACAATCCAAATAAGTCAGCAGCAGCAGCAGCAGCAGCAGCAGCAACAGCAACAACAGCCTATTCGGCCTATCACCACCGTAGCTACCAATCGCGTTACATTGACAGCACCTGTAGGAACCGCTAGTCGGATAACTAATACAACTCCCGTAGTGATACAACCAACGATTGGTAGACCGCCGAATCCAACATCTGGAGTAACAACTGCAAGTTTTAATCGCGTTGTAATTCCTTCCCAACAAGTACAACAACCTGGACAGTCGCATCCTCCTGGTACGAGGGTCGTACAAACAATAACTTCTTTGTCAAATATCAATACCGTCTCGCGAATCATTGCCGCCACAACGAATCCATCTAATATTGCAAGAGTTACACCCTCAACGCCTCCATCTGGGCCAAGAATAACACTACATCAGTTGCCTATCGCGACAACTCGGACAATTCCCGCTCCAGTAAAGCCCTTGGTAGCAGGTCAAACTATCGCTCAAGCGGTTCAAATAAAATCTACAGGACAACCAACAACTTTGAGAGTCGCCCAGGCAAATGTTGTGAGTACTAGCTCTAATATTTCAGCAATCACGACAGCGGCATCAATTGTTACCGGTACACCAGCCTCTACCGCTACTATTATTATTAATAGTAACAACAATAGTAGTCATAATTCACCAACTCCTCAATCTGTACCTCAATCTTCACTATACACTCAATATCGCCAAGGAACTGTTCAGCCAGTGAGGCTTATCGTCGAGCCGAGTAGCCACGAAGAAAATCATGGAAAACCAAATGCTTCTCCACGTCCAAGTATACTTAGAAAACGTGATCACGATAATTCTCCTGCTAAAGGTTTTTTTTTTTATTTACATATTTAGTTATTAATTAGAAAAATTCAACTTTATAAATTTAATAAATTTATTTTTAGGTGCTGTTAAAAATTTAGTCCCAATGTTAACGGCTTTACCTTTGGTAACGGCACCTCCTAATTCAAGTCCACCTATGTCTCCACGACGGGAGCGAGACGGAGCCCGTGACAGCTCTGGCTCAACGACTGTATCAGCCACCTCTTCGCCGGGGTTAGACGAAGAGCCTGAGCAGTCTAGAATCCCGATGAATCAAACGATGGAAATGTCTCCCAGAAAAAAACCACGTAAACAACAGCTAACTGGTAACGAGCTCACTGAGCCGCGGTGCTCCGAAGAAGACATGCAATTTATTAGTGAAGAAAAGTTTAAACGAGACGCAAGAGATGATATCAAAGATAGATTTGGTATGGATAAAAAACAAAATTTAAACTCTCAACAGGATAGAAATGTTACGACCTCGACTGTGATTAAAAAGACACGGCCCACGTCAAGTTTAATCGGTAATTTTCTTTAATATAAAATAGAATAGTTGAAAGTATAAATTAGTTAATTGATTAATTAAATTTTGATTTTTTTTTTCTCAAGATCCTTCCTGGAAAAATTGTAGACTAAATCATTATCGAAGACCTAGTGATGTGAGACCGCGAGAAGAGAGATTACAGTCTGTTGCTGATATAGCTCAACAAAAATATGTATTACAAAGACTTCATGGTTGGAAAATTTATCAATTAACTGCTCAAATGGAAGATTTGGCAGAACTTGAAAAGCAGGTTAGTATTTAATCACTTCTCAATTTATGAATTGAAAATTAAAGTAATAATAATTATTTGTTATTATTTGTTCGGTGATTAAAGGTCCATGATAAATTAAAAACAACATTGTGTATGCTGGAATCTCAACAACCGAAACCGAGGCAGGATGACGAGTTGGAGCGGGTTAATGAATTAATCAAAGGAAATATGCAGCGTAGTCATTTAATAAGTGAGGGTATGACTGAAGCCAGGTCACAGCTAGTAGCTATTTTCGAGCATAAAAACGCTGTTAATAAAATTATCCAATGTTTCGGTAATAAAAGAGCTCAGAAGAAACGAGAAAAACAATAAATAAAATAATCCAACATTGTTGATTTTCTGTTGACACAGCAATCAAGTATAAATCAAATAACTGTATAGAATAATTATTATATTAACAAGATTTAAAAAATATTAAACATTTTTCTAATTTGTCAAAAATATATGTTATCGAAAATTAATAATAAATTAAAATTTTTTTAAATATTAATAATCAAAATATTTATGGCATTTATTTAATTGCGTAACCAAGGTTACGAGTAAACAAGTTTCTTATTAAACATATATTGTAAATTATGTACTATGCATAAAAGTTCAACATTCAATTGTTAAAATGTGGGGAAACAGTCCTGCTCTGGACTTTCAGCAAAAAAATATAAAAGATAATTCTGATAATAAACCATTAGAAGTATTGACAGTGGGAGCCAAAGATCCAAGACATATTATTAAAACTTTAGCTTCATCATCGGTAAATTATAAATATTTAATTAATTTTCATGTTGTCGAATCATCATTAGAACCTATTGCTAGATCAATTCTACTTCTTCATATTTGCCTTGAAAAAGACCTGGGTACTTTAATAATTAAATAAAATAATTTTCAACAAGATAGGAATCAATTAAAACTAACCAAATACTTGAAGGCTTACAGGTAGCAAGTAGATACTTTCTGGAAATATTGGGTAATTCTCTTTTGGTACCCGCAACTGCCAAGTACTTGACAAAAGCGGCATATCAATTGATCAGTGTAATCACTCAAACACTACCATGTCCTTGGATAAGTATTGAAACACTCAAATATAAAGATAAAGATTTATTAGAAGCTATTTTTAAGTAAGTAAATAATTTACCTCAAATGTTTTCAAGTTTAAAATTTTTTTATTGTTTACACTAGGTTCTGGATTCGTGCTGTGTGTGAAGGTGTACCAATCGTCAAATACTGGGATCAACAGATTAGAAAATCATTAGGGACGAGATATGATTACAGAGATGGTGCATTTGATTGGGATTATCATATGGTTTTAAAAGAAAAAAATATTCCTTATTTAACTTCTCATGAGTACAAGTAATTAAATTAAATTATCTCACATTGAGTTATGTACTAAGTATGATTTATTTATTATTAAAGATTTTGGAGAAATAATGGAATTGCATTCACCTGGTTGGAGACAGAACCTGCAAGAAGTAATCCAACTTTGATAAGTAGTGTAGTACCTTACAAAGAAGGTTTTATTCACAATGCATATGCTGGAGACATCGTCAATGGACCTTATTTAACTTGGCTAACTGATAAAAAAAATGAAAAAAAGTTAATAATTTACATAAGTCTATTATGTAACTGTATTGTAACTGTTTTTTTTTTTTTTTTTTATTTTTTTTTTTTTATTTTTTAGAAAACTGAGAGCAACAGATGCGGCAGAAGAACAAATAACAAAATTATTTTATCAGATACGAATGCATGAATTGTGTCCTGATGATCTTACAGCAGCACATAGAGATAAAGCAATTTTAAATGGGACATTAGTGACGGAGATGCCGGATATTAACATTGAGCAAGAGTCTTGGGTGTTGAAAAAATTAGAAAAGAAAGATTTTTCTTCTTGGATTGATATCTCTCAAGCAAAAGTATATATTAAGTAAATTAAGATATAAAATTTACCAATTTTCCTATTGATTCTTATTATGCTGCAGGTCATTTATCACTCAACTTCGTCTTTTTTAAAGTATAAAAATAAATGTGAATGGATAAATAAATTTGATGTAATATTTGTCGCTCACAATATGATTAATCACTTGGAAAGTATCGTGCCTCTGATGAATAAAAAAGGTATAATGATAGTTGAGTCCCGGCGATTGTTAGTCGAAGCAAAGAAGAAAGAGTTAGAAGAGTTTGCTAATGAATTACAAAAGATAGCCAATGATGTTGGTATAAAATTATCTGAAACGTTTAACCCTCATGATGATAATTTTGCTCGATTTGTTATTGATACTTAAATATAGAAATAATAAATTATTTTTTACAAACGATAGGCTAATTATATTTAAGCAATATACTATGATGATAATAATAAAAATGTGAGCTTTATATGATAATATTTACAAATATATATTATTAATAATGTAAGTAATGTGTTTAGAGATTTTTGAATTATAAAATTACACTTAATTTCAAAAATCGTTTACGAGGTATCAATAAAAAAATCGAATTGATTAATAATTATTATTAATTTTTAAATAATTCATCCCAGAAGTTCAAACTCTTCATCCGATGTGTCGTATTGCCGATCCAATTTTTCAAAGCCTAAAACTGGATAAAATTTATAATTATTCATTTAATTATCTATGAGATTTTTTGAAGTATTAGTACATACGATTTGAAGATGCTACTCCAAATGCCTCAGCAGCAACATCATCAACTGGTGACCAATGTGCGGGACGTTCAGCACACAATTCAAAAAGAGGTTGCTTTTCAGGAGTAATGAGTTCACTTTGCATTGATCTACATAATGATTTGAAATCTTTTTCCGTAGCGCAGAAAAAACACTGAAAAAAAATGTTATTTTAAAAACAGATTTACTTACTATAAGCTTTATTATTAATATTTGAATAAATAATTTTAATTACAAGTGCTACTGAAGGATCCATTTCTGTTATTGGAATTCGACTTGCAGCTTTACAATGATACGTAAAATCCATTTCAATGTCGTTTTCATCTAGCTTTTGATTTACACAACCGTATCTTTGGGTCGTGTGAGGATCCAAATAAATTACGTGATCGTCTGTATTGATATTCAAAAAATATTATATTCAAAAAAATATAGTATAAAAAAAAAAAAATGATTAAATTAAAACATACCAACACAACCGATAAAATATAATGCAAGATTTGGTTTTCCTCCTATGACTCCGAGAGACTGCGGTAATTTAAAAGATGTCTACAAAAAAACAATTGTCACTGTACCACTCATGTAATTTAAATAACAAGTTTTTAGTAAATAATAAATTACTTTAAGGCCATTAATGTAAACTGGATTGATGTCACTCAAGCCTAATCTTAGTGGTATTAAAAGTAATAAAGGTTTCCATTGACTAGGTGCTCTTAAAGGTTCATCGTCATCAACCTCAACAGCTGTCGTTCCTCCTTCAACTCTACATTGCCTCACTAAAAATATCAATGACTAATTAATAATAATTTCTTGCATGTTACTCAAAAATTATAAGTCACTTACAAACATCATTGACAATTAATGTGTTATCAAGCGCCACGTGAATAGTTATTGAACTCCATTCATCGTATACAACTAGCTTTCTGCGGTAAAAATAAATAATGTTAATGGTACAATTTTTGACTGATTGATATTTTGCTTTATACTTGTAGTAATTACTTTAATACTTGTGCTATGGTATTTGGACCAAACCACTGACCAACTTCTTTGCCTTCAGTTGCTCCCATAAGTGCTATTTGATGTATAGAAAATGGTGCCGTTCTTCTGTCTTCAAATCGACTTAAGATTTTTAAATAGGTACTGTCTTTTGTTTCTTGTGTCCATTGCCAATCACGTCCTGTGTTTAAATTAAATAATTAAATATTATAAAAAAATCAACCACTTAATTATTAAAATTAAACTTGTTAGTTATAAAATCAATATACCTAAATGAAGTGCAATTAACGCTTGTGCTAAAACCATTTGTCCACATCTTAACATACAACCCCATCCTTTGTCAGATGTAAATGCGGAACTGTTTCCGCCGATTGGTATAAAACCTTTGCGATAAGTGAACCATAGCTTCGATTTTATATCTCTTCTTATTGTTTCCAACTCTAAGTGATAAAAAACATAAATAATCATTAGTAATTACCTTAGTTTCTAAATTTAGTTAGTTGAAAAATTAATTTTTTAACAATAAAACCTTTCATTGCGTTGTATTTTTTCCCGAGTATCCATACTGGCTCGTGTGTTTGCGGTATATCGTCCAACTCCTCCGAAGTATTTTGCATAAATAAACTATCCATTGTTAGTTTATTTACAATGTCTGAATTCACAATGTCTAAAACACTGAACATTGTATAATTATATAATTATATCGCATTGATATCAATGGATTATACCTATAACAATATTTAATAATAATAATAACAATAATAATTAACAAAAGATAAATTAATAAAACATAATCGTGCATAAATTGTTTGTAGAAAAAAAAATTTTAAATAATAATACGATGAGGTTAGGAAAATTTTATCAAATAAACTGTCATCTCATGGTCTTACTCACAATTAAATATAAAATTTATATATATATATATATATATATATATATAAGTCATCATTTATTTAAACAGAATATAAAATTTATAGTTTTAAAGTAAAATTAATAAGGATAAAACATCATAGATTACTTTAATAAAAAGTAAAGAATAGAATTAAAATGTCAACAACAAAAGATTCAGACTGGTAGTGACAGCTGTTGTTATGATTGGAGATCATAAAAAAAAAATATATATTTATGTGAAAATATACACACATGCATGTTCTTGTATATATTTTTTTTCTTACATTACTCACAAAGTTATTGTTTATTTAAAAATTTCATTTATCAACATAAAAATATAAGCTAAAATTAAATGTATATAAATCAAGTTTGACAGTGTAGAATAATTAATCTAAAATATTATTATGATGATTAATTAATTAAATTATTTTATTTTTGTTTTTCTTCAGGAATTAAGTGGAAGAAATGAACAGTAATTTGATAAATTTAAAAATTAAAATGATTAAAATTGATCATCGCGAATTTCAGCAGGAGATTACTTAAAAAAATAAGTACTTCAGTCGTAATGGTACATACGTAATTTTCGTATGCATGTTCAACATATGTTATTTAAAATAATTGTAATCAATCTATCAAAATCATGGCCATGATGATGATTGTGAGGGATGTAATTTGCAGAGTTGAAATTAAACCACTGGATACTGAATCAGTGTCAAGTCAGCGAGTTAATCCACAGTGTATGACAGATAAGAGCTCGCGGGAGCTATGCTTTACCTGCTTTCAATTGCTTTCAAATTACTTTTACCACTGTGTCACTTTATCGTGGAAGGCTAAACTTGCTATTCAAACATTTTATCTTCGCTCTTGTAGGACTAGACAATGAGCTATTGAATTCTTTCAATATAGAACAATAAGGTATGAACGAGTTTTATATATTTTACATAAATTATTTAAGTGTCAATTTAATTTATTTATTTTGTGTTATTAAACATTTTACAGGTGTTTCAATTTGAATTTTAGTAAGAAAACCTCTACTGTCGAGACAGGACGATTTTATTGAGGCGCTTCAGTGAAAGTGTCAAAGTTACAATAAACGAACCAGCTGTTGAATATTTAAATGTAAGTATATAATATTTTATTATTAGATAATTATTGTCAAGTGCATTAGCTTCGAGGTTGTTTTTTTATTACAATGCACTATATATTTAGTCATTGCAAATGCGCCCACGAATATAATAATTATCGCGGCATAATTATCTCAGCGTGCGGTCTTATGGTTTTATCGGTTTGATCTGCATATACACATAAAATTGCATTCTTAGATAAAATTACTGATAAGGAAGTCGGTGATTTCTGTTTTTGTCAGCAAACTATGGATACGAAAGAAGGAAACGTCAATCTCAAGGAAAGTTGCCAGTACGGAAGGTAAATAAGTCGTTTTTATAATGATTTAGCTAGAATTTAATACTAAAAATATTTTAGTGTGCAGCGAGAGTCATCCGAAGAAGAAGAAATGGATGAACCAGTAGGATGGAAATTTTGGAAGAAAAGACGTTATGTTGTTGGAGTATTAGCATTTTTTGGATTTTTTACCTCTTATATTTTACGAGTTAATTTGAGTGTTGCAATTGTCGCAATGACAACAAGTTCACATGGGGTATGTTGATAAAAATTATTTTTTTGCAAATGTAAAATTGAATTTTTTAAATTTTACGGTCAATTAATTACAGGAAGAAGCAGAATTTGATTGGGACTCAAAACTCCAAGGACTTGTTCTCAGCTCATTTTTTTACGGATACATTAGCACACAATTATTAGGCGGGTGGCTAAGTGCGCGTATTGGCGGTAAAAGAGTATTTGGAATCGGAATCGCGGTAACTGCACTTTTGACATTGATAACACCACCTTTGACACGAGTCAGTGTTTATATTCTGGTTGCTTTACGGATAATCGAAGGAATATTTGAGGTATGTTTTTTTATGAAAAACAAGTAAATGCATTAATTTATGAATAAACGATTTTACTTAGGGTGTCACATATCCATGTATTCATTCCATATGGGCAAACTGGGCTCCGCCTTTAGAAAGATCAAAACTTGCGACTCTAGCATTCTCAGGCAGTTTCGTTGGTACAGTTTTCGCAATGCCCGCATGCGGAATTATGGCTGAACGTTTAGGTTGGCCATCAGTCTTTTATATTTTCGGAGTTGTAGGCTTAATATGGTTTATACTTTGGTGGCTCATAGTCACTGACAAACCAGAAGACGATCCCAGAATATCAAAGGCTGAACTTGATTACATAAAAAAATCACTCGGAAGCGGTAATCAACAAACGGTATTCAAATTTTCTTTCACAAGATTTTACATAATTTCAATTGGCAGTGAATAATAAATAAGTTTAATTATTTACAGAAAATTTCTCATCCTTGGAAGTCAATTTTTAAATCACCAGCTGTTTGGGCGATTGTCGCAGCTCACTTTAGTGAAAACTGGGGTTTCTACACGATGCTTACGCAACTACCGAAATTTATGAGCGGTCAGTAAGTTTAGAAAGTAAATGTCAAAAAGAATGTCTTTAAATTGACCCGTAAAACTCTAATACTGATATTAATAGATAATTATTTATAATTAGATGTGTTGAACTTCAAGCTTGAAAAAACAGGATTTTTTTCGGCAGTTCCGTATTTAGTAATGTCTATTGTATTACAATGTTCTGGACATTTAGCCGACCACTTACGATCAAAAAATGTCCTGAGTACCACCAATGTACGCAAAATATTCACTTGCGGTGCTTTTTTGAGTCAGACAATATTTATGATATCTGCTGGGTTCGCAACGACATCAATGAATGCTATTACTTGTCTTTCCATTGCTGTTGGCCTTGGTGGTTTTGCCTGGTCAGGCTTTAGGTATGTTTATAATAGCACTAATAACTAAACTATTTAATTATTGTATTTCAGGCTAATAATGTATTTTTTTTTTTTTTTTTTTTTTTTTTTTTTATTCATAAAAAACTCAGTGTAAATCATCTTGATATTGCTCCACAACACGCAAGTGTATTGATGGGTATAGGAAACACAATCGCAACTCTTCCCGGCATCGTCAGTCCTATTATCACTGGTTACATCGTTCAAAATAAGGTTTTTATCTTCATAATTAATATTATAAATATTTAAGTTATTGCTATTAAATTTATGATTAAAAATTTTTATTTACAGACTGCCGCAGAGTGGCGAATAGTATTAGTGATTGCCGGTTCAATCTATTTGATAGGTGCTGTAATTTATGGTTTATTTGCATCCGGTGAAAGACAACAGTGGGCTCTAGAGAAGAAAAATGAAGATTTAAAAGCGTACACTAATCAAGCTATGGATTATAATTCTCACGTGTAAAATAATTTTATTGTAAATTAAATACGTAGACAAAATTTGTTGATCAAATTTTATTTTTAATCGAGAATAATGTTATAAGTTTTATTAAGAGTTTTCTTTATATGTACCTCAGTTATATAAATACCGATTAATTTATTACAAATTACCTACTTATAAAAAATTTAATGATTTAGTTTTGTAAATTACGTTTAAGTATCATCTAGCTTGATTATAAAGATGTAAACATAATTATTATATATCACTCTGTTTTCACTTATTTTCATTATTTTTCCTTTGAAGATGAAACCCAAAAAAAAATATTATGATCAGTTGATCGTATTTATGAGCTTTAAATAATATTTAAATTTTATTCAATAAATAATTGAACAAATTTGCATTGCTTGGAAATAAAATCACGTATAATGTATTTTAATAACAGAATGGTATTTATTCATTATTGACACAAGGATAATCGGATAAATATTGGAGATAATTAATTATTAATGTGTTTATTGACTGATTTATAGTTAAATAATTGTATTTAGAAAGTTGAAATATTTTTCTTAACAATAAATAAGTATTGTATGAATCAATAAGGTTGAAAGCTGTTATTTATTATTATAATGTGTTTACATAATTATAAGGAACTTCGCTGCTAATGACAGATGATTATCGCGAGTCAAACGGGTCTGATAATTTTAATCGCATTTCGAAGTTTATTTGCAAAACAGTAAAAATTTATAAACGTTTGAAATAATTTATTTTTTAAAATTATGAATACTCAAGGAGAAGGATGTTATTACATAGACAGGTAATTATATTTTTTAGCTATTTTTTTTTTTTAATCTATAACAATGAAGATATATTTAAATGTCTAAAATCTTTTAGAAATAATAAAAAATTTATCGAAGAAATTGAAGTAGACGAAGCGGTAGGATGGAAACTTTGGAAAAAACGCCGTAATGTTGTTGTAGTCTTGGCGTTTTTTGGATTTTTCACTTCTTATATTCTGCGAGTCAATTTAAGTACTGCAATTGTTGCAATGACAACAAGTTTATCTGGAGTATGCAATTAAAAACTAATAAATAGAGTTGCAAATATATTGAATTTTCAAAATTAATGACATAAAATAAATAATTCCAGAATAAAGCAGAGTTTGAATGGGACTCAAAAATTCAAGGATACATTCTCAGCTCTTTTTTCTACGGATACGTGAGTACACAATTGCTAGGCGGATGGCTAAGTGCACGTGTTGGGGGTAAAATAGTGTTTGGTGTAGGCCTTGGAGTAACTGCATTTTTGACATTGGTAACACCACCCTTAACACGAGTCAGCGTTTACATTCTTATTGGCTTACGAGTAGTCGAAGGAATATTTGAGGTGACTTATCATTAAACCAATAATTCACTGATTAACAGATAGATAATTTTTTTTCGGGTAACGCGACTGCTGATCCGCAGACAATTTATTCGTGACGTTTGATTCGCAAAATAATGATAAAATTTTTTATTCTAGTACTTATTTTATAGAAATAAGTGCAATATATTAAAAATTAATAATAAATAATTTATAATCGATTTTTTTTCATCCGGATAAAGAATTATGAGGTGTTTTGTAAGAATGATAATTTTTTATAGGGTGCAGCGTACCCATGTATTCATTCCATATGGGCCAACTGGATTCCACCTCCAGAAAGAACAAAATTAGTGTCTCTCGCATTCTCAGGCAGTTTTGTCGGCACAGTTTTCTCAATGTCAACGTGTGGAATCATGGCAGAACGATTAGGTTGGCCGTCAGTCTTCTATTTCAGTGGAACTCTCGGCTTGATTTGGTTGACTCTATGGTGCTTTATTGTCACCAACAAACCAGAAGATGATCCTCATATTTCACAGTCTGAACTTAATTACATAAAAAAATCGCTTGGTCAAATTGATAAGCAAACGGTAGATATTAATATCTCTATAAATTGACCAAGTTTGACCATTTTTATTTTATACAGCAAATTTCTCATCCATGGAAGTCGATTTTTAAATCACCAGCCGTTTGGGCAATTTTAGCTGCACATTTAAGCGAGGCTTGGGGTTTTTATACAATGCTAACTCAATTGCCGAAGTTCATGAATGGTCTGTAATTTTTAGTCAACTAAACGGTATCACTTAATTTAATGTATTTTATAAATTTTTTGGATTGTCATTTGAAATTAGATGTTCTGAGCATGAAGCTTCAAAATACAGGGTTTTTCTCAGCGGTGCCTTATCTTATTTTGACAATCATTGCACTATCTTGCGGCCACGTAGCTGATTACTTACGTTCAAAAAAAATCTTAAGTACTACAAATGTACGAAAATTATTCACCTGCAGTGCTTTTTTAAGTCAAACAGTATTTATGATACTGGCTGGATTATCATCGACATCAACGAGCGCTATTATTTGTCTGACTGCTGCCGTTGGTCTTGGAGGCATCGCATGGTCGGGTTTCATGTCAGTTTATTATAACACATCAAATTACTTACAATTAATAAAATTAGTTGATTTTAATTGAAGTACATTATTTTTTTCTGTTAAAAATTTTAGGGTGAACCCTTTGGACATCGCTCCTCAACATGCGAGTGTGATTTTAGGAATTGGAAATACTGTTTCTACTTTTCCTGGTATCATCAGTCCTATTCTTACTGGTTACATCGTTACAAATGGAGTACTTATTATCAGTATTTTTTTTATTAAAACTTTCGAGAAGATAAATTAACCAAGTAATTTAATTATCTATAGAATGCCAGCGAGTGGAGGATCGTTTTTATTATCGCCGGGACAGTTTATTTATTTGGAATTATAGTCTATGGCATTTGGGCGTCAGGTGAACAACAAAAATGGGCCCGTGAGAAAAAAAATGACGACTTAAATGCATACAGCAATCCTGCATTGGAATATGTTCCTTGTTAATAAATTTATATTGGAAAAGAATCAAAAGAAATTTAAAAATTAATTTATATTTTTTTACTGTATAAAATTATGATAATATAGTATTAATATTTTTATACGAAATGAAAATAATTGTCACTGAAATCAAGGCCTATGACACAAAAAGCAAACAAAATTTATAACCAGATGTTTGGTTTGAACAGTGTCAAAATGATTTGAATTCACAATATTATTTCAATACAATCTTACCACTCATTTTTCATCATAATCAAATTCATAAATATTCATTCATTACAAGTTTTTTTTTTTTTTTTTTATTTTACTAAAATTAATTAGAACAAAAATATTTAACTAAAATCTTGGATGAAATTAAAAAGTATAATCACAGGATTGTAATTTACATTTATTATTAAGTTACGAAATATTTTTCTACTTATTTTCTCCATCTTCCTTCTGAAAAATAAGCCTATAGAAGATAACAATAATAATAATAACAATAATTATTATTATTATTATTATTATGAAGTGGCTGTCTACCAGGGTTTTAAATGTTGATAACATTTTTATTGAATAAACAATAATTGACCTAGTTCGCATTGCCTATACAATTGAAATCACTGTTTTTTTTTGACAGCAATAAAATTACTCTTGAGAATAACAATGTTATTGATTAAAGAGATAATCTTAATCTGGAATATCTTAAATATCATCAAATTGATGTATACTTATATCATATCTTATAAACCATTCAATAGATTATTGACATAGTTAAATAGTCGTATTCAGAGAGTTGAAATATTTCTCTTAAAAAATTAATGAGCATTGTCTAAATCGATAAGGTTGAAGGCTGATCTTTTATATTAAATTATGTTTATATAATTATAACAAGTATTATTCATTATTATCGCCAATCTCCCGTGTTAGACGAATTTGTTGATTATATCAGTTAACATATTTGTCAAATTCAAAGAATCTGTAACATTTTTTAATAGTTATTTTTTATAAAATTATGGATACAAAAGACAAAAATGTTCAAATCAAAGAATATTATCCTACAGACAGGTAATTTTGTTGCTTATCTTTTTTTTAATAAATAGAAATCTATTTGATTACGTAATAATTTTTTAGTGAGAAAAAAAAATTTCCTGAAGAAGAAATAGATGAAGCGGTTGGATTAAAATTTTGGAAAAAACGCCGTAACGTTGTTGCAGTGTTGGCGTTTTTTGGATTTTTTATTTCTTATCTCCTACGAGTTAATTTGAGTATTGCAATTGTTGCAATGACTACAAGTTCATCTGGAGTATGTTATTAAAAACTAATTAACTGAGTGTTCAAAATTAATGACACAAAAAAAATGATTTCAGAATAAGGCAGAGTTCAACTGGGACTCAAAGCTTCAAGGATTCATTCTCAGTTCATTTTTTTACGGATATGTAAGCACGCAATTACTAGGTGGGTGCTTAAGTGCACGTATTGGTAGTAAGAGAGTGTTTGGAATAGGACTGGGAGTCACTGCACTGTTGACATTTATGACACCACCCTTGACACGAATGAGTGTTTACCTTCTGATTAGCTTACGGATAGCTGAAGGAATATTTGAGGTAAGTTATTAATGAATCAAAATTTCATTGATTCATAGACTCACGTTATTTTTGATAGGGTGTAACGTATCCGGCTATTCATTCCATGTGGGCTAGCTGGCTTCCGCCAGCCGAGAGATCACAACTATCGGCCTTCTCAGCCTCAGGTAGTACCTTCGGTGCTGTTTTCTCAATGTCAACATGCGGAATCATGGCCGAGCGTTTGGGTTGGCCATCAGTTTTTTACATTAGTGGAGCTTTGGGCTTGATTTGGTTCACTCTGTGGTGCTATATTATCACCGACAAACCAGAAAATGATCCTCATATTTCACAATCTGAACTCAATTATATAAAAAAATCACTTGGTCATAGTGATCTGCAAAAGGTCTGCGCAGTAATTTTTAAAGTACATATTTTAATAACTCAACGGGTGAACAATGATTAATAGATTATATTTATTAGCTAGAGAAAATTTCTCATCCATGGAAGTCAATTTTTAAATCCCTACCCGTCTGGGCAATTTTTGCTGCGGGTTTAAGCGAGGCTTGGGGTTTTTATACATTGTTAACTCAATTGCCGAAGTTCATGAATGGTCTGTAATTCAGTCAATTAAATGGTATTACTTAATTTAATTAATTTTCTAAATTTTTTCGTTTATCATTTGCAATTAGATGTTCTAAGTATGAAGCTTGAAAATACAGGGCTCCTCTCAGCAGTGCCTTATCTTATTTTGTCAATCGTTGCACTATTTTTCGGTCGTATAGCTGATTACTTACGTTCAAAAAAAATTTTAACTACTACAAATGTACGAAAATTATTCACCTGCAGTGCTTTTTTAAGTCAAACAGTATTTATGATACTGGCTGGATTTTCATCGTCCTCAACGAGCGCTATTATTTGTTTATCTGCTGCTGTTGGCCTTGGAGGCATCGCTTGGTCGGGATTTGGGTCAGTTAACTATAATATAACATCAAATAATTGAAAATTTATATTATTATTTGAGTTTGATTGAATTATATTATTATATAATAAAGGGTGAACCCTTTGGACATCGCACCACAACATGCATGCATTATCATAGGAATTGGAAATACTATTGGTACTCTTCCTGGTATCTTCAGTCCTATAATTACTGGTTACCTCGTTCCAAACGGAGTATGTATTACCAGTATTTCATTTACTTTTTTGAAAAGATAATTTAACTTAGTTATTTATTATTTGAAGACGGCCAGCGAATGGAGGATCGTTTTTATGATAGCTGGGGCAGTTTATTTAATTGGAATTATAGTCTACGGTCTTTGTGCATCAGGTGAACAACAAAAATGGGCCCTTGAGAAAAAGAATGACTTGAAAGTATACAGCAATCAAGCATTGGATCTTCCTTGTTAATGTAACAGAAAAAATTTCATAAATGAATAATTCATTTATATTCTAATTGTATGAAGTTGTGATAATATTGATAAAATACTGTAAATAATATTATATGATTTACTTATATCATATGAAAATGATTGTTATTGAAAATAATAAATATAAAAATAAACTTTGTATATAATATATATACTCTACAAAAAATTGATTATTACAAATTTAATAATGTTGAAGTTAGTTGTCAGCAATTTTAAAAATTTTTTTAAAAAATCAATTACAATAAAAAAATGCTTCTAAAAATTTTCTAGTAATTTTTATTAATTTTCACATGTGGAATTTTTTATTAAATTTTTTTTTTTATAATAATTGCTATAAAATTCTAAAATAATTTCTAATGTCTGTCAACTTCAGTGTCATTAAATTTATAATTATATCATATCGTTTTGACTTTGTACCTTTTGTTTCGCGCTCAAGTTTAAACATTTATATACCACATGTGGTCAGACTCACCTGTTGTGATTGGTAAATTTTTATTTAATATTCCATTAGTCAAGTGTCATCAAGAAAACACTTTATTTCATAGCTAAAAAAAAATAAATAAAAACGTCATAAATATTTTCAGTCTATAAAAATGAAGGATTTTCTTTACCATAAATATATTTTTGTACAAACGTATTTATATTCCAGATGAATAGAAATCTTTTGCTATTAAACTATACAAAATAAAAATAATATAAATTACTGACATTCCACATACATATATTTAATTTTAATTTCATTCAGTGTGATATTTATAATATGTCATTATCAAATTCATAACAATATCATTCAGTATAAATAAAAGTATTTTGTTTCAAGCAGTTATTAAATGATGACTCATTGATGACGACGAAACATATATATATATATATATATATATATATATATATATATATATTTATTTATTTGATATAAGTATGTGTATACGTGCATGACATTTGTGTATAGAATCAGGTTAGAAGTAACTAGTGATAGTGACTGGTGAGTTTCTCCAATCCATCTCGCACACATATTTACTCCGAGTTGCATGAATACGTACTATAGATGTCTGTAAGAAAAATTATAATTTGCCTGTCATAAGTGCGTAAGTACATAGATATATTTGTACTGGTTTATGTGATTGATATTAATCAAAGATGGCTGCAAGCGCGAAAAACGTGACTCGATGAAAATGAATGGAAATAATCGACTCAACTTGGCATGTTAAATAATGCTTACAATACGCCATTGGATGTTAGTCTTGCGTGTTCATTCCAACTCAGTCAATAAATAACCTCATAGTCAACAGATTACGTTGGGTAGGACCAGAACACACAAGCTAATTCTCTAAACTATTGTTATAAAACCACTAATTGAAGAACAAAAGATACAATTAAAAGTATAACTGGTTTTCATAAAAAAATAAAAGACTCGTTTGAAGCAACAATGTTGGGTGTCATTGATGCCTCGATTCAGCGAGAGGAAGAGGACGATATCATGATGGAATCGTCAACAGACAGCTTAAGTTTGCAATATCAGTCTGAGTGCAAGTACAATAATTTGTTACCCTATGCTGATGAATTGGACGAAGAGGCCAAGATCCTTTTGGCAGACATCAAAGGCCAATTAGGTCGTGCTATTATGCTGAGACGTCTTCAACCTGATTGTTACCTTGCTATTTTAAAATTTCGCATGTAAGAATTCAATACTAATTTTATTACAACTAATCTCTAGGGTTTTTTTTTTTTTTTTATCTGCTGAAATACATTAACTAATATTAATGTCAAATGTATTTTTATTACAGGTACTTGAAGCTCTATCATTTTCGATTTACTAAGGATGACCATATTTTATTTATCAAGCTCATGTATGAGTTGGTAGTAATACCCAGTTTAGAACCAGCTTTCGTTAATTTACTCTGTAGTACACTGGCAAGTTTAATGAGGTAAGAATATTTATAATATTAAAACAAGTCATAATGTATATGTAACTTGAAGGAAATGACAATGTTGTAGAAAAAAGGAATTGATAGCGCCGAGTGAGCTGGAATTACCATGGAGGCCACTTTATGACCTCATGTTCCGTACAATAAAAAGAAATAAAAGATCCCAAGTAATATTGGGAATGCAACGTTTACCTATTTATATGGGTAAGACAGTTCGTTCTTTGATTCAAGATGTCAAAATATATTTCCCTGTAAGTATTATCAATCATCGATAAATGATAAAATAATTTATAAATATAAATTTTATTTAACAAAAGGTAACAGCCACTCAAGAAATATTAGATGAATTGAGACCTAAACTATGTCTTGTTGATTCTTCACAAATGGAACAAACTATAATGCTTCTGGAATGTTTTTTACCCGTTCAAATGCCACTTCAAGATCATCATCTGGGTTACAAACTTTGGCTCGAAGAATTCATGAAACTCTGGGAGATTTATCACAACGGTAGTCTATGGGAGCACTCCCTTATGGCGTTAATATCAAAACTAGCTTGGAATAATATTGGTTACATTGACTGGGAGCCTCATATACCTCTTATGTATACACGCTTCATGCGTAGTTTAAATTTACCGGTAACGTATAAACAAACAATTGGTGGTAGAACTCACCAGCTTTTAATAAGCTCAGTTGTCGAGTGGATAGTCGCTACTTTGGGAAACGGATCCAACGGACAAGTTCACTTAGATAAATTATTAAAAGCAATTGAAACTTATTTCTATCAAGCTAACAGCGGACCTTGGGTTGAGAAACTTAAAGATCTGTTAAGCAAACTCGCTTCACAATTTGTTCTGCGTCTGCACAACGAACGTTACGGAAAACGCACATGGAAGCTCCAAGTTCCGGATTCACATAAATTGACAGACGCTGATGTCGATGCTTTTGTCAAGTGCATGATGCCCGTAGCGATGACTGCGATGTTTGGACACTCTAGTGTCATAATGACATGCAAGGTACTCCGTCTATTAGCAACTATAAGACCCAATATGGTAATACCCTGCGTAATTGAGCGTATGTACTCGACAATAGAGTCTGTAACAGAACCGCACAAACTAACTGCCACGATGATGGCAGTCACTGCCATTGCACGTCCGATGGCTCAGGGTAAAAGAAATGTCAATCAAGGTTACACATACAACGAAGGTCCATCGAGAATAATTTCGCTTTTATTTTCATCGTTACCTGGCATTGATGCCAATGACATTAAAAAGTCATACGTTACTTTTCGTATGATCTTTGTTTACGCAATGGTAATGCCAATAACTGACTGCTCAAAAGCTGCTGCTTCAGAGTTACTGGATGAAGATGAACGACTTGTTTGTGAAGAAACTTCCCAGCTTGAAGATTTTGTTTTACAGTTTTTTGATCGTGTTTTTTCACTTATTGAATCAAGTACATTGGAATACGTCTCACAAGAAAGTCAAGACAACGTTTCAATGAAAACCAGACTCGAAACAATGGTTGAATATTCACTAACATCTGTTTGTACTGTCTTACTACTTCGCACCAGCGATGACATATTTCGATCAGCTTTGCACAAGCTAAGAGGATTCGTTACTGAACGTGTGCTTGAGACACGTATTTCTGGACCATTGGCTGCATCTTTGTGCCAAAGTTTTGCCCGCGTAAATGGTGCTGAGACACTGAAAGCATTATTGCCTACTATTTCGCAATCTATACTTGATATTCTCGAAGAAAGCGATGTTGCTAAAGAAGAAACAATTGAAGATCGTTTGCTGTATCCGATGTTACTTTTGTCCAACATTACCAATACCCAAGGAAATAATCTATCACCTTACATGGATACCTTGATTGATATTCTCGACAAGACATTGCACTTTAAGTCTCGAGAAGGCAGCAAAATGGCTAGTAAAATTCTGGGAAGTGTGATGACATCGTTGTCAAGTATTGCTCAGACGCGTAATTTTACGTGCAATGGAAAAGATTTCAATGATCCTACTTATCCTTATATCCTAGACTGGGGACAGGGCGCTGATACTAGCAATCTTGAGATGCATTGGTACGTACCTGGTGAAGAAGAAATCAGAATGATGCAGTGCATTTTTAATAAATTTATTCCTCCTGAAATTTCTAAGATCCAAGAATACTGCACCAATGAAAGCTCGAATATCACTCGGTAAAATCTATTAAATTAAATTGTCATTAAAATTGAATAAATTATTTTGTTTTTACTGATAGATATATATTTTTTGTTATAGACAAGATCTACTGACAAGTTTGAGTATTATTTATGTGACTCTTGATGGCTGTGGAGATTATTTGCCAACCCCACCTGAAGAAATAACTGAAGAAATGTCTATGAGTATGTTCATTCCTACTGTTGGAGTTAAAGATGAAATAAAAATGCCTGATGGTAGTAATGTACGTAAAAGTATAGCGAAAATAATGACTGAATTGCAAGTTACTATGTTGAAAAATTCTGAAGATGATACAAAGAGTTTATTTTATTTAGTTCAGGTAAGTCTTAGATCATGAAAAGAAGAAAAAATATTGTTACAATATTTTAAATTATTTATTTTTATAGATATGGAGTTTACTGCTACTTGGCAAATGTCGCTCTGTTGATAAACACCGAAGACAGTGGGCGAATTGGAAGCAAATAAAGTCTGACTTAAAAGACGAATTGGTAAAACGTAAAAAAGTGTTACCAGATTTTCTAATGGAGCGTACAGAGTTACAACATGATTTACGAATTTATTCACGTGTTTTTTATCTTACTGACTATCATAAACATATTATGCTACAATTATTTGAAATGGCAACCAATAGGTACACAAGCTTACGAATTCATGCACAGGAACTTATTTTTCAAGCGCTTCCATTCTTTCCTTTTACACGTAAAATTTTTATGCCGTCTATCCTTAATGTTTTATCCAAGGACCCAGAAGAAAATCATGAAGCTCAAAAGGTATAATTCATTTAAATTATTTAAAACTTTGTATTTTCTATATAATTATCCATGACATTCAGATAATGATATAAATTATTAATTTTATTAGGGACTGCACTATCTACTTTTAGGACCTCGGCCAAATTCAATGCTAATAACACGCAATTGGTCAATCTTAAGAAGTTTATGGCCAGCATTAGTTACCGCTCAATTATCTGAAAAAATGTCGATAATTCGTTTAAAGGGTGCTATGCAAAATATTGTTAGTAGTGGCTTATCAACAATTGCCTTAAAACTCGAATTACCCGATGGATGCGTTAAAACGGCTGCTGAATTGTGGAATTATACTCCAAAACCTTCAGTTATGAGACCAGGTGAAACTGAAATTAATGAAGGACTTATTAAGCTTCGAAAACAAGAAGCTGAAAATATTGATAACTATGACAATCTTATATGTGATCTTTTAAAAGCCATTCAATCAAATTGTCATTGGCGACAACGTACAATGGGAATGCGATTGATAACAGATCTTGCTCATTTAGATCGTCCATTTCCTTTAGAAGTTATTAATTTTTTTTTGAATTCTTTAATTCATGATTCTTTAGAAGAAAGAAAAATTGCAGCATCTGTGATTGCATGTATTTTACGTCAACAAAAGCGTGAACGTGTTAAGGTAATTAAATTACTTATTATTTGCATTTTTTAATTTATAACGTAAGGTTTATTTATTATTAAGTGTAATTTGACTATATTTTAACAGGTTATTATTGACATTCCTGATGAGAAAGAACGACCTGAAGACATTGAGTGTACTTGGGTTGGAAAATTCAAACCTGGTATTCGAACAGACAATAAATGGCTTCAGTATAATTATGAATCACGCCCTATGACTGAAGAACAATGGAACCAAGATAGATTTGTTCATGAGCGTCACGTCGGTTTTTATACCAAAGCAAATAAAGTTGAAGTTTACGCTTCACCACCAAATCAACCAAATTTTGATCCGCAATTTTCAGAGTTCACAGAATCTGAGAGACTGATTGATAATTTCTTCTCCGATCCCTCAAACATTGAAAAATTAATAAAATTCAATAGTATAGAAGAAAGAAAAGGCAAAGACAAATTTAACTTAACTCGTGCTTTATTGTACAAAGGTTTATTTAGTAATTATGGTATTCGTCATATGAAATTATTTATTTCCCACTTGAAGTCGCTAGTCGAGCAGAAACACGAGAGCAGTCAACGTTGTGCTGCTGAAATAATAGCCGGTATGATACGTGGCTCTAAACATTGGCCTTTTAGCATGATCGTTGAATTTTGGAAAGAATTGACACCAGTAATTAGAACAGCATTGGACAACGTTACCGATGAGACTATTCACGACTGGGAATTTTGTTTTGCCGCGTCGTTGTCGCAGCGTGATCCAAACAAACATCATTGGATACTCGAGTGCTTGATGGAAGAGCCACAGATTGAAAACTCGTCTTCTTTTAATGAATGTCAACGCTTGTACATATTAATGTCAGCTTTGAAGCAACAATCGTGGCGTGTTGCTGAGTTGATGGAACGACTTTTGGTGCGTGCAGAGAAAAAATTATCAGTAAATCCATTTCAGAATATGAGAAATTCATTGGGCTCACTGTTAATGATGATTTTTATGGCTGATTACAACGCCGGTACATTCCAATCAAACCCTCCAACACCACGTGCTCAAGAATTAATGGACCGTATTTTACCAAAGTTATTGGAGTTAGCAGATGTTTTCGAGAGTGCTGGTAGCGAACAAACAACACTTTTGCGTGCTAATGATATTAGTGTTTTAAAAATAATATGCAAATGGCTTATGGATTCTTCAATAGTTATGGCCAATGGTATAATACCAGACAGTGCTAAATTACTACCAATTTTATGTCAACTTGAAAACTGTGAAACAGATACTGAATTGAGAACTATATGTACACGTTCATTAGCATCAATTGCTCAGGCTTTGATACTTCCACGGGACATAGATGCAATACTAGAAGCCCTACTTAATATTTCTAAAGCTCCCTCGTGGTCTTCACGAGCTAGCTGTCTTAGTTTTATTGAAGTATTTGTATTTTACAATATGGGAGTTTTAGTCAGTAACAAAAAATGGGTTGACCAAATTCAGGAAATTGTTTTACGGTTACTTGCTGATGAAAGGCTGGAAGTCAGAGAAAAAGCTGGACAGGTTTTGTGTGGAATGCTTCATTGTGCTTTCCTTGAAGAGCAAGAAACTTTACTGGTATTTTATCATCATTTTATTTTTATTTGTTAATAAACTTTAAAGTATTAATGATTATTATTTTGTTTTCACAGAATGAGTTCAAAGTCAAATCGAAAATAAAAATTAAAGATCCAAGTGATCTGCGGGTGCGACACGCTGGTGTACTTGGCTTGTGTTCATTTATCCGCGCTCATCCATATGATGTACCGAATTATGTACCTTCTATTTTTGAATACCTCAATTTGCGCCTAAACGATCCTCAACCTGTTCCAGTAAGTCATTATCATTATCTATTTAACGGTATCATTTTCATATTTTTGATATTATTTTTTTTTTTTTTTTTTCAATAATAATTAATTAATGAATATAATAATTTTTTTTTTGCAGTCAACAATAAGAAAAACTCTAGGTGATTTTAAACGAACTCATTATGACGGTTGGGCATCTCACGCTCAATGTTTTACTGACCAACAATTGTGTATACTTGAAGATTTAACTGTACCTCCATCATATTATGCGTAGAAAGGATATACTTACATATCTCTCGATTTATGGTCAGTCTTTTCCATAAACTAAAAAAGACCAATATTCTTATTAAATGGCGATAATAAAAATAAATATATAAACTTATATTTAAAGAATAAAAAAATCATTTGGTGAATGTGTGATGGGTGTTTCCATGTGCATATATGATCTTGTGTATTATGTGGGTGTAATATATACATATATATATATATAAAAAGCGCACACCAGGTGGCAGTTTTTATTGACTAAAGACCTGTTCACTGTCTTCTTCTCTCTGTTCTGTGTTGTTGACTATTTGTACAATTTATTATGTTTTTTCCTAGTTTATAAATATTATTATTCATACTTAAATTTTACAATTAAATTATGAATGTTCAAAATATATATACTAAAATATGTTTTTATTTCAATAATACACATAAATGCCGCCCTTAAAACTATGAAAGTTAAAGCTAACTGTTTACCAGGTACTATTTTAATAAAATATTTAAATAGATATTTTTACAGTTATTAATTGGCCATTTTTTTAGCTGTTCCGCCAAAATTGGCACTGTCTATAATTTTCATATCGTCACTTTGCTGTATAAATTCATGGAACGGATCATTCGTTTTCGATGATTCGCCGGCAATATTAAATAATCCTGATGTCTCTCCACCAGAATCATCTTCTCTATCACCGCAATCTCCACCACCATCGGCATCAATATCATTAATTAGAGTATTGAAAAAATTAATCAGAAATGATTTCTGGGGTAATAAACTTACTCATAAACAGAGTCATCGATCCTACAGACCATTTACCGTTTTGACGTTTATAATTCAACGATGGTTGCGCGGTTCTCTCAATCCAATAGATTTTCACATTTTTAATTTAATACTCCATACATTTGCGTGTTTAATATTCTATTATTTACTCCTAAGATTATTAGATAAAACCGCAAGACATTTGGCATTTTATGTAGCTACTTTATTTGCGGTTCATCCTATTCATTGTGAAGCTGTAAGTATTTTTTTTTAAATCTTAAATATTACTATCATTCTATAAGTAATTACACTAACTGATAAATAAATAAATTTTGTTTTATCAATAGGTTGCAGGAATTGTTGGTCGAGCTGATATTTTATGTGCAATATTTGTATGGCTGTCAGTATTATTTTATAATCGTTGTATTTATGAAAAAAATTTAATTATTCTCATTAAAAATTTGTTGATGTGTGTATTATGCATTACATATGCAATGCTTTGTAAAGAAATTGGAATTACTGCTATTGTAAGTATAATTTAAATTTTATTCAAATTATAAAATTTAATAATACATTTTTTTTAAATTTATTTTTCAGGGTATTTGTTACGCTTACGATTTGACAATAGTTCATAAAAAAAATTTATATGATATTATAACAATTTTAAAAAAGGAATCTATAAAAGATATTATTGAAAAAAATAAATATAAATGTTTAGTACGCATAGTATTGTTGTTAACATGTGGGCTTTTATTGGCAATAAGATTTAACTTGATGGGTTACTCTGCTCCGAGTTTTCAACCAGTTGATAATCCATCATCATTTATAAATAATCTTTTTATGCGTTATCTTAATTATCAGTATATTTGGTCGTTAAATTTGTGGCTGTTAATATGTCCCCTGTGGTTATCGTTTGATTGGTCAATGGGGTGTGTGCCTCTTATTAAAACGTTTGAATTGAGATTATTACCTGTTATTTTATTATGGCTGATTTTTGGAGTATTTTTTGTTAAATACTTTTTGAATCAAAAAACTTATCGAGATCATAGGTAAAATTAACCAATTAATTATCTATTAATGAATTTTAGCTTTATAATTAAATTTTAACTAAAATTATCTTTAATTTATTTCAGATACGTATCAATGGGATTATGTATGATGATAATACCATTTTTACCAGCGAGTAATTTATTTTTTACAGTTGGATTTGTATTAGCTGAAAGAACACTTTATCTTCCATCAGCAGGATATTGTTTTGTTGTTGTTATTGGTTTTCAAAAATTATCACGTAGATTTTATAAATCACGGATGCCTTTAATTATGTACACGGTGCTAGTAATAACGTGGTTCACACGTTCTTGGATGCGTAGCGATCAATGGAGAAGTGAACATACACTTTATCGTTCAGGTTTGAGTGTATGTCCGCTTAATGCAAAAGTGCATTACAATGTTGCTAAAAATGCAGCAGATTCTGGAAATATAACTTTGGCTGAAGCTGAATATCTCGAAGCTTTACGGTATTTAAATTATAACTATTATTATTCAAATTTTTTTGTTTAGTTTATTGCAAAAAAAAAAAATAGTTATTTTTATTAATTGAATTGTAGATTAAATCCTCAGTATGCTCAAGCGATGAATAATCTTGGAAATTTATTAAACAATCAAAAACGGTATCAGCAAGCTAAAGATTTATTAACAAGAGCTGTTGGTCTGCAGTGAGTTGATATTTTAATTTTTTTAATTATTATTTTTTATTCTAAATGTGATATAATAATTACATTAAAGTTTAGACCGGATTTTGCAGCCGCTTGGATGAATTTAGGCATCGTCTTGGCTGCGCTTAAGCAATTTAATGAATCCAAGAGCTGTTATGAAAAGTCTTTATCGTACAGACGTAATTGTCCGGACTGTTTCTACAATTTAGGCCTCTTGGTATTTTATTAGTTTTTTATGGATCAACTGAAACGATATTCAGAGATTTATTAATTCAAAAATATTTATTATTTCAGTACTTAGAGCAAAAGATGTATCCAAGGGCGATGGAAGCATGGACAGAAACACTCAGACTAGATAAAAAGCATCGCAGAGCTTGGATAAATACTATCAGAATCTTAGATGACATGGGTAAAATTTTAATTTAATTTACTCAAATTATTAATTAAGTTGATAATTATAATTAATATATGTTGAATTGATGCAGGAAAACAAGAGAAAGCTTTGAGAGAAGGTGAAAAGGCTAAAAAAGTTCTTCCGGATGATGCAACGATTCGTTTAAATATTGCTAATATCTTGGGAAAATTAGAACGATTTGAAAAGGCTGAAGCTGAATTTAAACGAGCGGCTGAGTTGGATCCTACAAATCCAACAATTTTTACAAATCTTGGTAGGGAAAAAATTAATTTTTTAATTAATTTTAAGTATAAAATTTATTAATTAATAAACTTTAATCATAGGTGTCCTTTATCATCGCTGGCATAAACTTGATAAAGCTAAAGAAATGTACGCCAAAGCGTTAGAAATCAATCCAAATGCTCAAAGTGCTAAAAATAATATGAAAAAACTAGAAAATTTGATACGAAAACAAAAATTTAAAGGTTTATAAAATAAAGTTCAATAATAATGTGCAATATAATTATAAAATAATTTATTTATCTATTATTACTATTATTATTATTATTATTATTATTATTACTACTCTGATTTGAAGTTGTTAATCATTTTCATCAGTTCAGGGTCATATGGCCAGCGATAAGCTTTAAAGTTGCCGATTTTTTTATTATCCTTGTAATTAAAAGACAAAAAACATTTATCACAAAAGAAAAAGGAATCATGAGGTACTCGGTCACTGTCAAATGTTACCCACTGGACAATTCGCTCGCAAATCATACATGAAGGCTGTTTGCTTGGTTTTGCACGATAAATTCTTGGGTAATTAGCGATTGCCAAATCATCATCACGAGCTACAAACCTGGCGTCGCTAAAAACAATCAGATGCTCGCAGTTTCCTTGATGCTGATAGACCCAAGGGTATCCAAATTTGACGACCAGTGAACCTAGTGTGGTATCTTCCATTTTAGCTACATTAAACGGACCCAAGTTGCGTTTTTCAGCCCACTCTCGTATCGGTAAACTGTTGTCATGGTTTGTTGGATCTCTTGTGTCATTGTAAAAAGTATTTTCAATATAAAAAAATGACGACTTGTACAAATCTTTGTTGGAGACTTCAGTGTACTCTTGAGGATTACCACTACTTTCTCTAGAGAGTGATAAATCTGATATACAGTGAATTTTATCACGCAAATCAGCTAACGTTTGACAGTCCAGTACTCCTATCAAGTGCATTAACGATATCCGTTGATGTCTTACAGGATATTCTTTCCTATGATAATCGAATGGATTGTATACTCTTATAAATATAATCATATTTTTTCCAGGTACTGCACCAGGACCGCTCATTATCGGTTCACTATATCTAACAATCAATTCACTTTGATACTTTAACGATGGTCTGAATATTTTTGGCAAATACTCCATGTACTTTTCTTTCAACAGTTTTAATGTCTGTAAATTTGTGTCGTTGATTAATTTTTTAGCTTCGAGCTTTGGTATCATTCGTCGATGACCAGTGACCGCTGACTCTTCATCTACATCTAGCTTATCAATACTATAAAAAAAAAAAAATTATTTACAAAAAAACTATTTCAAATTATAAATAATTATAAATTAAAAAATAAATCGTATTACCTGATACTCTCGTGTAATTCAGTCAATTGCGCTTTGTTCATAGGTATATTTGTACGTAATTGTTCATTGGCCCCTTCGAATTGACTAAAATACTCAGCGATATTTAATTTTGAAGACGCGTTTGCTGTATATGATTGATATATGTGCTCCATTGTGATAAATTATAATAATCAAGAAAATAAACAAGTATTTGAATTTTCTCCAGCAATTTCAATTATCACATTGTGTTTATTTATATTTACGAATGTACAATCACCTGCACCAACCCTGATAGCTACAGTTTCAGACCAACCAAGTTGGTGTCAGATAGTTGCCACCAATTTACCGACAACTTGCGGTCAACTTCCGAATTTGAAACTGTTGGCTACAAGTTTCTGAGAAAAACAAGACCAATCTACTGCCGCAATATGTCGCCAAATTTCTCGAGAAACTTGTCGTCAACTTGGTGCGAAAGAGTTTCGAAAGCAATTTCTGCCGACAACTTGGTGAACAACCGAGTTCATTTCCAAGACTTGCCGCCAACTTACGGAAGCCTGGTTGGCTCACCGTCCACTTACGAAAAAGTGGCGCTCCTCTCGCCCACACAAGTTAACTAGTGCACTTGTGGACTCGTGGAGGCGACGCGATGATATTAGAAATGCCCCTTTTGGAAAAACGGACCACCGTTTTTATTTGTGATGACTATTGCTAAGAATAAGCAGAGAAATAAAATTTGGAAAAACGGACCACCGTTTTTGTTTATAATGACTTGCTAAGCATAAGCAAAGAAATAAAATTTGGAAATGGTGGTGTCCGTTTTAAAGGCATTACAGGGCTAAGCTATGGGGTGTTGTGGATCCGAAAGATCCGAAAGGATTGATCACAACGCTCTCTGTATATTAATATAGAATTACGTATAAAAAGATGGCTGCAATAAATGATAGCGGGAAAAACCCAGAAAGATTTAAAATAGATGTATTTATTTGTAATAGTATCAGTAAGAGAAATAAGAATCTTTCAAATATCATAAACCTTTCCCATTTTAAATTCTATTTTTAAACATGGGAATTTTTCTATCATAATAAATTTTAGGGTATAGACGAATTTATAATTACCGGAAACTCCCAAGGAAAAACTTATAAAAACTTTTAAGTGCCGTGCAGTTAGTCTAGACATTCTAAGAAAAATTTCTTTGTTAAAATAAACTTACGCTTGTAATTGTAATGGTCACTTAGGATAAGATGCCGAAAGTTTTGGAATACTCTTTATAATGATGGGAAAAACCCGGAGATCTTTTTTTATTACCCTTTTATTGCCATAATCCTTTAAGTAACTTATTTTCCAAAACGTTCGCTAAAAAAGGGATTACTCGAGTACCCAGGGCTAGGTCACAAAAACCAGACATCCAAGCAGGCTGCAAATGACCTGGGAACATCGAGGGTTGTCGTGACGTCATTTCAACATGGTCCCATTTTGCCAACTCGAGAAGGGATGCTAGCCGAAGATGAGAGCTGTAGAGGCGCGCGCAACTACCCTCACACCCTCTGGGCCTCTCCCACTCCAAAGGTACGAACATCTCAACCAACGAAAAAACAAGAAGACACAAGACACTTACCAAAAAGCAAGACTTATATACGCCACGCGAATATTTTCTATTTCGAAATTATTGTCGGTACTTTTTATTTTGTAACTTATTGAATAATAAATAATAGATTTGCGCGCAAGGCAAATCTAAATTAAACTAGAATAATCTGAGTATTTTAAATTTATTATATATATATATATATTATTTAATTTAACTTATTTGAATTTAAATCTACTTTCCCGCCTTAATCTATTTACACTGCGAGTTGAACGCGTACAACCCGGGTAAAAAAATTAATAAAAAATCAATTACCCCCCGCCAACTTAATAATGCCTACATGAATCGACAATCGACGCAATTGATTAAACTACTGGTACGGATACAGAGATCGCATCATACTTATCGATATCGATACAACATCGTTCCGTCATTAATCGTTAGTGTGTGTATATGTATTGTATTTGTGTATGTATATTTAGTGTCTTGTAAGTTGGTTGTAACGAGTAACGACGACAAGACCCAACAAGACCTACGAGATACGAAACATCCGGGCAGTTTAGTGTCAAATGCGACAAGTGTAGACAGTGTTTTAGTAGTGATTAAATAACAATATTGAGGTTACTGAGGGTTTTATTATTTTTAAATATTATTATTATTATTATTATTATTATATTTTAGTTGGTTAATATTCATTAGATATTTTAAATAAATAATTAACAATGGCAAAGACATATGATTATTTATTCAAATTGCTTTTAATTGGAGATTCGGGTGTTGGAAAAACTTGTGTGCTCTTTAGGTTTTCTGAAGATGCATTCAACACAACCTTCATTTCTACCATTGGTACGTTTTACATTTTATTTATTTTTATATTTATATGTTATGCATTACTAACTAACATAATTATAATTATTGTTATTCGTAATGTGGACTTGATCTTGCCAAGTCATTTAAATAATCCGTTATTTTTTAGGAGCATAAAATAATAAACTAAATATATTTATGTGTTATTATTATTAGTGGCACACCCTTTGGCGGAAATATTTTATACAGTTTTATTATTATTATTATTATTTTTAATTATTTTTTTTTTATTTTTATAAGATGCAATAAGTACAAAACAGGATTGCTAGGTCGGCTAAGTTTTAGAATAAAGTAATTCGCCAATGAACAAAGACTACGTTGTATCGTTAATGTATAAGTTTCTATGATACATGCATAATTAAACTTTTCTTACAGAATACAGAATAGTAGCTGTAGTATTAAATTACTTATATTAAGTACACACATACTTTGTTATATTATGTATACTACGAGTTTGTACGTACACAAACATAAATTGTTAATCAACATCAACAATAGTCACATTAATATATAATGACAAATCTTACTTTAAATATTGTGGTTGCTTGATCTGTCATTTATTATTTATATTTATGTCTATGTCTATTATTTTGGCTTATAATTATATATACATTAACTTTTTTGTTTTTTGTTACAGGAATCGATTTTAAAATACGCACAATTGAATTAGATGGTAAAAAAATAAAACTACAAATATGGTAATTGAATTTTGTTTTTTTTTAATTTTAAGTAAAATTTATCTTATTTTACGTAAATAATTGGATATTTAATTTTAATTGATGCACACAGGGATACTGCTGGCCAGGAACGTTTTCGTACAATTACAACAGCTTATTATCGTGGAGCTATGGGTATAATGCTTGTTTATGATGTAACAAATGAAAAGAGTTTTGAGAATATCAAAAACTGGATTCGTAACATTGAAGAAAATGCATCGGCGGACGTTGAAAAAATGTTGCTAGGTAATAAATGTGAATTGACTGACAGGAGACAAGTGTCGAAAGAGAGAGGCGAACAATTAGCTGTTGAATATGGTATTAAATTCATGGAGACTTCGGCTAAATCAAGTATCAATGTCGAGGAGGCTTTTTACACACTAGCACGTGATATTAAAGCTAAAATGGAGAAGAAATTGGTAAGATTTTTAATTACGGTTTTTCATTATTATTTTTATTCTTCATAATAATAATAATTATAATCATAATAGTGATAACAATAATTATAATAATAACAAAATTGATAATTAAATCGATTTTGTTGGGAAATCATATTTTTTGAAATTTTTATTTCTTAATTCTTGGTAGTTGGAGTAATTGAATTTATAGAATTTGTGTCACTGGCTTTATCATTCTATGAAATCTCACATTATAGTACACAGATAGAATGCGTCATATTTTAATTTTTTTTATATAGAATTACTAATTATTATTTCTCTGTTTCCTATGTCTTTATCTGTTTGTGGTGCGGGTCTATTACGGAAGAAGGTAAAATTCTATTGGCTAAGTGGTGATTGAATTTTTTCATTAAAAAGCTTCATGATTCATTCAATTTAGCAGCTTTTATTTCTTTTTTCACTTTGTTTTACTTATTGTGCATGTTAAAAACTGATAATAATTATGTAAAAGTGGAATTGCATTTTTTATGTGTTTTTATGTTATAAAAAATTTTTTTTTGCTTAGCGAATTGACTGATGAGAAAGTGAACGCTTAAATTTAATATTCTTCATCATAAAATTTTAAAGAGGGAAATTAGTTTGAAAGCGGGTTATTTATTTATTTATTTATTTATTGTTGAGAGTTTTTTCTGTTCGACAATCGCTTGAATATACACTGCTTTGTTTATCTTTGTTCATTAATTGTGAGTCAGATAAATGATTGAGAGAACTTTGTTAAAATATTATAATTTTATTGTGTTGATAAAAGTGAAATCCCACTTAAACATAATTATATGAATGATTAACTTTATAATTTTTGTGTGAATTTTAATGAAATTAATTGACGACAAATAATTGATTATTAATATTTAATTTTTTTTTTTTTTAATAGGAGGCATCGAATCCACCAAAAAGCGGCGGAAATCAACTAAAAGCATCAGAACCAGCGAGAAAACCACCGAACTGGCTTTCAAGATGTACTATACTCTGACCCTATATTGTTACTGTAAAAGTCATTTTGATGTCTACCGTTTTTAATTGTAAAAAATTTTTTTACGAATTTCAATTAATACCACCTAATATCATAACATCAACACAAAAAGCAAACGTTGAGACTGCAGTTGATAACAATCAGCCGTGCGATAAAAACCCTTGACGTATAAAATTATTCAAAACTTTTTAATCATTTTTAATAAATTGAAATCACAATCTTGTAACATTATTTTAATTAAAAATAAAATAAAAAAACTAAAAAACAAATATATATCGGGAACACAGGGGACGATGGTTGCCGTTGACCAAATCCACTCTTGCACAGAACTCTTTTTATTATTATTAATAATTAATTGATATTATTAAATATTAAAACATCTTACGGGTGGATGTGATTTTAAAGAGAAATAAAACGAAAAAAAAAAAAAATTTGATAAAATAAAACAATAAACATTTTACAATAAAACTTTCGCTCATTTCGACAGTACAATTAAACTAATTGTCAAATTTATATGATTAATTAACAAAGGATCTGTAATACCGTAAGACAAAAATTATTCTTCCTTTTAATGATTAAAAAAAGAAAAAAAAATGAAAAATTTATTTCAATACGACGAAACATCACTTGTAAGTAAAAGATTTTTTTTTTTGTAAGAAAATCACTGATGCATTTCAAGATGGGATTTTAATTATAATTACCAGAAATTATTTTATTATTAACTAATGTCATTAAAGTTTATTATAATTCTTTTTTACATAACTATTATAATTAATATAATTATTAATCATAGCTTTTACACAAAATTAACCCCTAACATATTGTGATGTTTCAGCTTAATGACTGTTGATTAATTTAAACAAATCACGGTAATGTGATGTGACTATATAGAACAAATATTTTTATTTCTTGCATTGATATTATTACAATTATAATAATGATAGTACTTGTTATTATTATTATTATTTTTACTGTAAGAACTTCCTAGATGTTCAAAAAAACACAAAAAAACACAAAAAAAAAAAAAAAAAAAAACAACAAATGCGTCATTCAACGAATATTACTAAGGCCGATGTACAATCACTAATTAAAGATCTCCTTTATTTGTTCATTGATAAAGCCTCAGCGCGTTTTAATAATTGTTTTTGCATTTATTTTTGTTTTACTTCATCTAGACTCATCTAATAAGCAAATTTATTATTAAAACTATAAAGATAAATCGACGACGACGACGACGACGACTATTATAATTATAATACATTTTATATTAATCCTATTAATCTGTGTTTTAATTAACGTTTAACCTTACATCTGCTAATTTAATTTAATCATTTAATCTTATTAATTATGATTTGACATTATTTGTTATTCATTATTCATCAGACATTGTTGACTCCATACGTTCCAATTGTCTACATAATTCATCTAGCTTTTTGTCTATTATTTTGTTGTGCTCAAGCTTTTCAGTCAACTCTTTTGAGTCAGAACACGCCTAGTGTAAAGAAAAAATAATTAAATAATTTTTTGTTAAATTAGATTAAATAAATAACTTACTATGATAGCTGGCGGACTTGAAGCACGTGGTACATAAGAAGCCAACATTATCTGTGACTGTGATAATTTTTCACGTAATTCTTGTAGTTCTTTATTATCATGTTGACTTTTGTCAAGAATTTCACGTCCAATATTATCAATACGATAATTTATTTGTGTTATTTCTTTAACAGATTTGCGGAGGTATTCTTGCTCTTTTTTCAAACTTTCAACATTACTGAAGATAATAAAAAAAAATAAATAATTGTTACTGTCAAGTAATTATAAATAGTAAAAAGAATAATTTAATGATCAACCTGTAAATTGTAGGACATAAATGGTTAATCTGCAAGCTCAAATCATTTAATGAATTTTCTATTAAAGTATTTACTATTTTTTGCTCCGCAAGTTCAGCTTCCAACACCTGATTGATGCGCTCCAATCGTACGTTTTCTAATTTAGCTTTTTTTATTTGATGAATTAAATTTTCTCGAGCTATTTGCGCATTTTCCCAGTTCATTTGTAAACGAAATGATTCCGATTGTTTGTGTATTTTTTCATTCTCCAACTGCGTTATTATTTCCATGGCCGATCTTAATTCAATTCGCAGCTGATCAGAATTTCTTCGTTCGTTTTCTAAACTTATTTTCAGCTCACACATAATATTTTCGTTTTTAGTCAACTGTGCTTGACATTTATTGAGCTCTTCCTAAAATATTCATCATGCTAATTAAATAATTACTTTATTTATCTATTTTATAATACATTACCTCTTTAAATTGTAATTGAGCAAATTTTTCATGTAGCTTTAATTCTAAATTTTGTATATTTGTATTAGTCATTTTTTTGATTACTCGCTTTGTTTATTTATCAATTTTTGTGGAATTCTTTTTTTTTTTTACATAAATTTTTTCAATTTTTTATTTAAATCAATTTATCAATTGATAAATAATTATTTATAAATTGAAAATAGCCAGTATTTTTTACTTCTCATAAACTTAAGTAACAACTTAATTTATGATAGCAATTATTAATTAACAAAGATAAAATTTTAGGTTAATTTTAAGAGCCAGAATTTTGAAAATTCAAACGAAATTTTCAACTTATAACTATAAGAGCCAACGAATAAAAATGTTTCAATCTTCATTCTTACAATCCAGGAGATTCATTAATAAATACAAGTACTTCCACTATTTTTGATCAAGTACTTATTAAAAAAAAATTTTTAATTCATTAATTTTGGGTCTATAATTACTTAATTACAAATAAAAGAAAATACAAAATTTGTAATAAATTAAAAAATTTATTGAATATTAATACAGTAAAAAATTTAATTTTCATAATGTCTCTAATCTTAAAATTACAAAAATAACAAATATTTACAGTCTTAACAATAAATTTAATAATTATCCATAAACTGGATTTCAGACAACAGCAATATATGACCAGGCAATTGACCCAAAGTCGGCGACAAGACTCGCAGAGTTTGTTGTACCATATCGACTTCGGTGACACAAAGAAACGAAGCTATATTCTTATACAATACTTCGTCGTAGCTTTTAGCATATGACACTGATAGAATATGATGAAGCCAATTTGGTTCCGGAGTAACAGTGACTAGCTTAGTCATATTTTCCTCAGGTTTAGTACCCAGCGGTACACATGAATCAGGAACAATTGCCATTCCAATTTTGTAAATAGTGACTTGATTCCATTTAATAATCATAGGATGAGGAGACAATACTGTTTTACCAATGCCGTAGTAGTATTCACGTATCCTCTGATCTCTTATTTCTGGTCTCTGAGCTTCGCTGGTCTCGACAACTCCACCACTCTTTGGTAGCAACACAACTTTTACAAATGAGGGTAGACTGGCCTTCAGGTCACTACGTAGTCGGTCTTTGTCTAAAACAAGAACAGCGTCGACTTCAAAGGCACCTGCAGCGTGAACCAGAAGCTTGTGACCTTCATCTGGTACCCACCCACATGTATTGATTATTATTCCTGATATATTGTCCTTCTTTTTTTCTTTCATACGGTCAAAACAAATATCAGCTAGACGAGAAACTTGAAGATTGTAAAGCGCAGGATTACTTTCTGGAGTTTTGTGTCCAAAGTGTAGAGCTAATGAGCCCTTTTTGCTGAATCCTTCGACCACATCAGCAAATCTCTGAACTGTAAGAGCTCCAATATTTCCCGGTATAGTGACTTGGCCTTGATCAACATCTAAATCAACAAGTATCGGGCTTCTTCCTGATCTAACGGCGTAGTTTAATAAAATGCGACAGAGAGTTGATTTTCCAACATTCTTAGGACCTACTATCATTACAATTGGTCCACGTACATTGCTGGGTTCTGTTGCCTCTTTCTTCTTAGCATCATCGTCCTTCTTCTTGGCTTCTTCACGTCCGTTGATTTCAGCAAGATATTTCTTGTTAGCTTCGTCTCTCATCGCTTCTAAAGCCAGATGAGCGTTCAAATAAGCATGCATTGGAGTCTCGTTAGCCACATGAACCCCTACTGCTTTTCCAGTCAGTTCAACCACGCATCCATGGTAAGTAAATACGGCAATCTGTGCTCCGTAGCCAAATTCGTACGGATCCTCCTTGTTAACCAGTTCAGTGCCGAATATTTCCGCAAATCCGCTTTTTAATTTGAGTAATACTTTTTCTTTTTTATGCTTAACTTCAAATCGCAGTTCACAATCAGGATCTAATTTAAATTCTTGTTTGTCCATTTCTGAAAATAAAAATAAGTAAGTGTTGCGGGTCTATTCAAAAATTTGTTTATTACATGCAAACTATTTTATTTCTACTCAATTATTATTTTCATTAACTTCAACTAAGGCTATGTTGTAAGTAATGTAATTTTATTCGCCACACTAGTCATGCAGAGTAAGCAAATAAATTGGTGCAGTCATAATATTAAAGGTAAATGGAAAGATAGGATGTTAATAGTTTTATAAGTTACCCATTAAAGTAGACATTGTACTGAGTTGATGATAAATAAAAATATAAATAAGTAGAAATTTGATGATTAGCTGAAAATATTATCAGTAAGCCTGTGGTTGAAATAAATAATTATTATACATTAATTTTAGAATTTTTTTTGTTAAAATATCCATTGTTTACCTGATTTTTTTTATGATAATTCAAGTTTACCAAAAACTTTTTTATTCCTAGCGAGTAATGAAACTGAAAATGAATAATTTTTATTAATGAAATGTTAAAAAATATTTTTCGTTCAATTGTGTACTAAATAATGTGGCTGCTTAATTGTAATAAAAATATAAATAATCTACATTTTGACCTTAGTAGTTTATGCGACTTTAAACAAATTAAAAAAAAAAAAAAAAAAAAAAAATCTACATTTAAAAATTTCAGTAATATTATGAATATATGATATGATTTTAAAAAAAATAATAACAATAAATATGGATACATACATTTTTTCACATTAGAAATTTTAATGCTTAATTTTTTATTTATAAATAAAAATAAATCGCCGTTTAATTTTATGAAAAAAAAAAAAAAAAAAAATAAAAAAACCATGTTATTTATCTTTCAAATAATTAGAGTAAATTAAATTAAGCTTAAAAGTATTGAATTTTTTATAAAATTACTTACTAATAATATTTTGTTATTGGTTTTGCGTTATTTTTCGATTGTCAACATATATAAAATAAATAAAACGTTGGCTATAAAGGTTATGATACGAGTTTATTATGCGCATGTGCGAAAATTTTGAGCGTTAGTTGTAAGTTTTGAATTGCGCGCTGAAATAACAGTAAACGCCATGACACCCATGTATACGCCACAGTCCGTTACAGCTCTCATCACGGAAGGCATTGCTCGTTTCGCGTCCGTAACAATGAACGTAGAAAATTCATGTCATAAATAATTAATAGCGTTCATAAACATGATTATTAATAAGTTTGAGCATCGGGTAACAATAATTTAAATAATGTATGAATCGTTCTATAGAATAAAATAGACGTTTCGTTAATATTATTTTCGAGTCTTAACACTGACAAGCGGTTTTCGAATCTAAAGATGGCGTTGATGTAAATTCTCAATGCAAAATGACAATCTTGTCACAAATAATAATTATTTAAATAAAAAATTATTAATAACGTGTATATGAACATTATGATTAATGAGCTGGTTAACGTATCGTATAAACTAGTTTTTCTATTTTTTTATTTATTTCAATGAGTTGGTTGAAAAAAAGTCTAGAGGTGTTTTATTTTAAAACCGAGTGTTTTTTCTCAACAGATTTTTTTTTAATCTCACGCGTGTGTGTTGTGTGTATGTGTCAGTGATCGTCCTTGCTAAAATGAGAATAAATCATTGGTGCTTGGTGAGTGTGAAAAATTTATAAAACATTTTTCTATCTTTACTATCTTTACGAGAAGTTTTATAGTTTTTTAACATGACCACTGTTGTTAATTTATCTTACTTCAATGATAATTGAATTGTGAAAATTTATTTTACACCATAAGATGGCACCACAAGCGGCTTTATTGCATGGCCTCAGTAATTCGTACTTTTTTCAATAAAACTAAAGTTTGCCGACGTTTTTAATTTTTTGATTTTTTTTTAATTATTTAAATTAGAACAAAAAAATATATTTTTTGAATGAAATTTTTTTTTATTTTTTTTGTAACAATTTTTTCAATAAAAATAAATTCTAAAACTTTTCAGATGTCGGCTAACTTAATTTTCATCTTTTCTCATTATTTTTTAACACAAATACAATTCACATGTAAATATTTGACTAAAAATTCAAATAATGACTATTATTTTTAGTATTTTTTCCGTAGATTTTGATAACGTGTAGATGAAAATTTCAATTATTTGAGCAGTCATAAATTAAATTTAAATTTAAATTGAAGTAATAAAACAAAAAAGTATGTAATATAATTTTACTTGAATTAATATTTTATTTTAAAGGCTCATTAAGGTAAAAATTTTTTGTTCGTGCTTGACTTCATTTTGCGTTATTTCTTTTTTGTTGTTTTAGTACGTTGTCGTGTTTTATTGTCCGAAGGTTGGGCATTGATTGCATCTTTAAGCATCTCTGCTATACACAATCTTCTTTTTATATCACTATTCCGTTTTATTATTCTATTCCTTTTAACTTTTCATATCCTCCTGATTACACTGTTATTATTATCTATTATATATATATTTTATAACTTTTTCTCATCAGAAAATAATTCGTGGAAATTATTTACTCGTTCGATGCGTCACACATAATCCACCCGTGAATAATATATATTTAAAATTTTATACCTTTAAACATAATTAGCTTAATTATGATGCGATGAATGTCACCGTAAATTATTATTACGTCACTGAGTGAATATCCAATTAGCTGCTCGGAAGTATGTCGAACATGAAAAGTGTATAAAATTTATAGGAAAAAGCGAATTTGGGTTATCGAACAAATTTATACAGCCACATAAAAATATCCTTGCTTTTATTCGGCGATTCGTGAAAAAAAAAACATTATTCTTATTTTTTTATTTAAACTGTTAATGTTATCCTTTTAAGTTGCATCGCATAAAATCCAGCTTATCACAATGTAACACGTGACTTATGGCGATTGTAAAACTAAAGTTAATAATAAAACCAATAAAAATAAAAGTGTGAACATTTAAATCTCAGAGCCACAAGTAAACCGTTTCGTAACCCCTTTTGTTTCTGAATTTATGGTCACGAAAAGCTCAAGCTACTCCTACTATACTATTATATCCTACAACTCCGAGTAAAGTGACGTTAAATAACGGAAATACGTTTATTCATGACGTCCATTCTGGAGTGTTGATGAGCTGAATGAATTCTATTAATAGAAATGCCTGTTTGCTGATAAAAATTCCTCTTTCGAAAACTATTCGAAATTAATTGCAAACAACGCATTCAACATCTTCTAAAAAAAAAAAAAAAACAGAAAAGATTAAAAACTCGTATACTGTTATTAATTTAACGAAGCTCTGTCCTTTTAATTAAAGCTTGATGAAGCTTTTCAGTGATGTAACGTATTACAATCTTTTGTGATGAAAATTTAGATCATATGAATTATATTTGTAAGTTTATTAAAAACTATGAGAATCCTCCAGTTATTATCCGACTACCTGAAAATTTTAATGATAGAATTTGGAGTAATAAAAAGTACTTTTTTTTTTTTTAATTACCAAAAATCATAATTTTTTTTCTCTAAAAAATTGAATGCTTCGCACGGTAAACTTTTTCTGTGAAGCGATAAATATAAAACTTTTCATCACGTTCCTCATAGCAGGTAGCTTGATAAATTATTTTTAAATAAAAAAATGAAAAAAATATCCGTGAATTAAAAACATGTCTGTGCTTTAATTCAACACTTGTTTTATTCTTATTGAGTTTTTATTTTAACCTTTTATTTAAAGTACCTCTTTCTACTATCCTGACGGGTAAAACAAAAGCTTCTTGTGTTTTGGTATTTAAATTAGGTATATTTAAATTTGTCGCACTTTGTGCATCGACTTAATGTACTGTGTCACACTATACCTAGAAATTTTGTTATAAAGTTTAAATTGAAAATGTATAATGTTTTAAATTTTTATTAAAAATAACATTGTTATTATCATTATTCTTATTTTTTATCAACAGTTTCTTGAGATTGAGTCAAAGTTTTAAGAAAAAAAGAATGAATAATATTTGATTATACGTTTTACAGTAAATTTGTTTTTAATACCTGTATCGTATACAGATTACCAGTTTCAAGTAATACATAATATAAGACGTTCTGTACATATATACCTTTAACGCTAGTAGAGGACATACGTATTGCAAGCCGGAGCACAAGTGGGTAGGGTAGATAGAGACGTGTTTTTGGCCGAGTACCAACGGTATCTCAGTTTCTCAGTTACGTAACTTTTGACCCCATTGAAACCGTCGTTGACTGACGACGAGAGTTCTGTTTGCATCTCGTTACATTGCTATTTGTTTACGATATTATGCTAAAACTTGTCGACAAATAATGTCTTCCTTTAAGTATTTTTATAGCGATCAAATACTTATAGAACAAACATGATAGATTTTCTGACACAAATCCTTTAATAATAATAATTATTCAACAGAACAAAAAATGAGTCTTTCTTCTCTTGAGCGATTAATTTTTTTGTAACACCTTCCCGCGAAAACATTTAATATACAAACGGTAATTGGCAGTAGGCTCTCTCTTGAGGATAATTTTACACAAGTGATAATGAAGAGTCGAAAAGAAAAAAAGTTTAAAGAGACCGCGAATTATTAACAAGCTGTTATTATTCCCACTTACACAATTCGTTGTAAAGTTTTTTCAGTTTTAGTAATATCAATTACGTAAAACTATCCACTGTATATTCTTTGTTATTAATAATGCCGTAATACTGGGTCTGATATTAACATTACTTCCTGTGTAGCGTCGTTCGTTGTAAATAAAGTACCGCGTTTTCCTCGCTGGGTTGGAGTGAGGGGTGCACACAAATAAAGCTTATTAGCTGGGCTTGTGTTTGTGTAGCGCAGAAAACCCTCATCCACTCACAGACACGCTCACATCAACACATAAATCTATACGTGCAACTTCATTACTATTTAAATTAAAATTGTACTTTGTATTTTTATTTTATTTTTTGTTTATATATATTTTTTTACGATACAAAAATTCTTTTAAATAATAACCGAAAAATAAAAATGATCCTGGTGAAAAAACATGAATTGATTCGCTAAATCAAATAAAATTGATTTATTATACATGACAAAATAAAAGTGTTTGTGAAATTGATCAAATATTTGAAGGGGTAAATAAAGGGATGTGGGTTGATTTTAAACTGAGTAGAGCTGTATAAAAAAATTGTAACAAAGGTTCAGTGACAACTCAACCGTATTTTTATTGTACTTGTCAATACTCGTAATAGATTAACCAAAGTTTAATTAATTTATACCTTTTTTTTCGTCTACACAA